TATTTGTAATATTAAATTTAACTAGATAGGTATCAGGTCAAAAATCAAATATACTCGGCATCAAAATCTTCATCTTCATCGTCATCTTCATCATCAGCCGTGAAATTAAATCCGTCGAATTGTACACCAGGTTGCTGTCTGGCACCAAACAAGCTTCTTGTAACAAAACCGTACAACCCTTGATTTAACCATAATTTATTCAAATACTTGTATCTGAATTGATTTAAGGTTGCCTTACCGGGTGTTCTAGGGCGTTTCGGTTCTCCATGGACAGTCAAATATGGAGCAAAGAGTTCAATTGTGAACTGATTATGCTCGATGTGTGTACTTACTTTGAGTACATTTAATCTTGGATAATAAAATATGGAAGTGTGCTTACTGCAGCCACTCATATGTTGAGATTGTCTCGATAGTTTTAACTTCGCTCCACAGTGCAAACATATAATGTAATCGTAGGTTCCCTGGATAGAGTTATTATCATAATCAGTAATACATGAGGTGTAATCTTTGGGGAGATTTATGAGCTGAATGACACCAGGATAATCAAGAGTCAAAACTCCGAGATGCATATGTTTTGGGATTTTTGCATTGAGAACAATTTCAAAAACTTTATATTCGAAAGCAAAATTTTCATCAACTCCAGACGATGCAATACCGTTAATAAGGTCCTGAAATGGTGCCAAACCCAAGCAGCTTGTTAAAGCATCGGAAGAATCAACCCTCTTTTGGTTTTTTATTTTTTCCCTCAATTCAACGAATTCACCCCGAGAAACGTAATTACTCTCCTCATCCATCAGAGACGTGAGCATATCTTTAAATATCGTCAAGTTCCTGAAATAAGGCAACAAGACCCTTTCAACGCTGTAATACAAAGCCCTCAAAAAGTTTGTTTTGTTACTTGCAATAGATTTAAAATCAATGGAATCCAGAAACATATCAACTAGCTTTGCAAAGTTACCATATTGTGCTTCGCTAAGCACCTTCTTCGTCTGACAAATACAATAAGCATATCCGGGATCACGAGAACATCTTTCTAGAAGAGAATATATCGTAATTGTTAGGAGTTTAGCATATCCAAGCCTTGCTAGTGTAATAAAAGATTCTTCGGTCTGAAAAAATAACACCACTACTTCATTGAATGTTCCGTCAAGCAATATATCAGATTGCCAAAAGGTCTCTGTTTGAAGTTTGAAATCATTGTGATTTGAGAGAAACTTAGATCGAGTTTCATATGCCGAGACCCTGCATTGGATCAAAGACTTAATCAAAATCTTGGCAGCAGATGGGAAATCATCTAAGAAAGTAAATAAGCTGGATTCACCATCTAAACGTGTTGAGATCTCATTCATCCGAATTACATCTGCGATTAAAACCGAGAGGTTTTGAAGACGATTGAAGCTTCTATCGTTTTCATTTACTTCAACTAGATATCTTTTTTCGCTGATATAGGGCATTAAATCCTCAACTATAGGCTTCATGAGCCTTTTAGAAGTAACTTCGTTCACAGAGGAGTACGCTGTATTGACTTGTGATGCCATTAGCTGCTGAGATTTTAACCGATTTGTTGAGGAAAGGATTTGATTATATTTGATGGTGGTCGGCTCTTTATCTGACAAATATCCCATACTATCAGATTCTGGCGGCATAAAGCTAGGTATAAATACATCATGAAGACTATGGCATAAAGGGCAAGGAAAGTGCTTCAAGCCATTAGCTGATCTCTGGTAACAAGAAAAGTGCATAAAGTGACCACATGTTGATAGTACACAAGCTTCAATCGATGCATTGTTTAATGGAGATTCAATGATTGAGTAATTATATCCATTGCCATAAACATCTCCATTTTTAGGGTTATCCTGATGATCGAGAGACAGAAATGCTAATGAAGAATAGTCATTTGCATCTTCTGGTATCTTCCACAAAGTTGAAGTTTTAGTTTTGTAAGCTAGGATTCCAAAAGGTTCATCAGTAGATTCTATGTCTCCGCAAAGAACGCACGAGCGGCTACTAGATTGCTCTGTTGTAATCTTCTCTTTTCCCTGAAAATCTTTATTATTTTCTAAAAATTTTTCACGCTTCTTTGCAAATTTCTTCATTATTTTGGCTTTGCGTTCCTCTGCTAACCTCTTTTTTTTCTCAGATTCCGATTCAAACAACCCCACCTTTCTCTTTTTATATGATTGAATGTAATCCTCACCAAAACAATCTATGAGGCTATCAAATATTCTTTTGTCTTTTGAAATAAACTGGTCCACCAAAAAGTCAGCTTTTTTTACTATGTGTTTAGACATCGTAGATTCAACTATAGTTAGCAATAAATCACTTATAGGAATACTGACAAAAGACTCGCATAAATAATCTGGACCATGTTTCAATTCGTCATCCTTTAAGACCGCATGGATCAAATGCAAAAGTTGAGGTAAATATGTCTCATCCGCATCATCTAGAGATGCTTGCAAAAGTTTGTAAAGCAACTTCGCGAAATCCTTCGTCTTAGTAAAATTCCCAATTCTTTCGTCGACCATTTCAACTCCACTTTTGAAAAGACTAGGGGTTAAAACAACGTCATCTTCACTTATTCCCTTACTTCTTGCAACATTCTTAATTAAAGCTTCTGATACGGACTCAAATTGACTGGAATCGAGATGTAAATTGAGGGGATCCAATTCCTCAAAAATATTAGCTTTGAGTCTGTATATTCCTGAATCAACTAATCCTGTTGGAGCTTGATAGTCTGCGCAATCATATAAGATCGAGTCGAAATCCTTCAACTCGCTGACCTCTAAATCAACGTGGTTTCTTAACTCTGAATAAGATTTGGGTTCATCACATAGCGTATAGCATATAGATTGCTTAGCATTATATATAATTCTTTCTTCAGGAGACAAGGCTTTAAAATTTGACCTGTCAGTGAGCAAATTGTAAATGAATACGACAAATTTCTCACATATAGAGCTGAACCTTTCTTGATAAATTGTCTTATCATGTGAAACATCATTCAAAAACCAAGTTAAAAGTTCCCATCTGTCTAAAAAATTGTACAAAGTAGCTCTTGGATCGTCAAGCACTGCAGCAACTTGATTTAAATGAAAATCTCTATAGTAAGCTAAATCGCTCATGAGAGTCGTGTATAAAGAAGCCTGTCTTGAGACGGTGATTCCATTTCGAATCCAAAACCCTATCTTAATCTGACTCGCCAAAACAATACTCCTTAAGGAAACATCTGAAATATTCATGAACGGCTCGTTACTATTTTTTAAAACTTCTTGATAATCTTCAAGCCTTTGAAATTGCAATAGATAAGAAAGTAACGAGTTGATAGGATTCACGAAAGAGGTGGGGTCTTTACTTACACGAAACTCAGCAATTCCAGGTGCTTGTTTCTTCAATTTTCTTAAATTTAAAAACTCGGTAATTAAACTTACAACTTTTCTTACTTGACTCTCATCTTTAATTGGATTCCTCGCAATCAATTTTGTGATGTTGAGAATTGTGGTAGAATATTCCAAGTGAACAACAAAATCTAATATCTCTCTTTCAACATGGTCACCGTATTTTCTTTCAATTGGCCAGTATCCCTGAAAATTCCTCAAAAATAATAAAAGCATTAATAGGTTATCCTGTTCCAAAAACTTACTTCCTTCATTCAAATTCTTGTCAGCTAAATAGCTCACATCCCTTATGCCTCTTATCACCGCTTTCTTTATTGATCGATATGTTTGGGGACGCCCTTTGGCAATTTCAACAAAATTGGGATAACCGCTATCATAATTCCATCGTGAGGAGTGTTCTTCAATAATTTGGGTAACAGGACCAATTAAGTTTCCTACATCATCTCTTTCTACTATTCCTGAAACGCATTTAGGGCAAGTTAAAACCTGCGTCGATATCTCATCGAGAATATTCAAATTTTCTTCCCTATCCGAAAGAGCCATCGTAGTTATCAAAAGAGGGTATATTGAAACAAATTGCTCGCTGAAATTAGCTTTCTTCTCATTATCTGCCATTATTGGAGGCAATAGCAAGTTAGGCAACTTTTTTCTAATTGCTGACGAAAATCTGGTTTGAAATGTCAATAGAAATTGTAATCTCGAGTTCTTTAAATTGTCAAGCTTTTTGCGGGTATCGAGTACTATATGAGCTGGACGCATAAATTCTTTAATATCACTATGTTTCTTTACCCTACAGAGTCCTAAATTAACCATCTGACCGTCATAGAGAATACCATTCTCGAAACATCTTCTTTTATCATTAATTGAGAGTCCTGTAATGAAGTCAGCCGGAAAAACTTTCGAGAACTGAAAGTTAGGTTCCAAAAGTAAATCAACCAAATAGCTCTTACTCATTTCACGGAACTTGGTATTTCCTGAAAAGTTTGTTATATCTATCAACCAGTTGAAAATATGCTTGACAATAATCTGTCTCATGTAGTCCCTTGCACTGCAAATCGTAGACACCAATCCGTCCATCTCAACAACACTTTTATACTTGAGCAATTCACGAAAACTTCCAGCCTCACGGAGGATATAGTTCCCGTAAGTATTGATTTCATGGGCAATTACGTCAGCTTTTCTTTCATCTGAGCCTGTAGCTGCCCTTATAGCCCTCTTCGCCTGTGGAAAGTCATGGTGTTCATCATTCCATAAGATCAAATACCACAAATCTTTTGAGTTTGTGTCAATTGCTCCACCATAGCTGCCAGCTGGCAAAGAAGAATAATTTGAGATGACCTCAGTTGTCAATGGACTACCATCTTTATCAATATTTGCGTGAATAAATGGTAATGTTTGAACAGAAAAATTTGTAACATCTAGAATATAGTCCAAACATACCCTAATTGTTTCTTCTAGAGAGCGGCCTATTTCAGTAATGTCATTTTCGTTATCCACCCCTATGTTTTGACTGCATTTACAATGTAAAGGCCTCACAAAGGCTTCAGGATCTCCACAGTCACATATTCCTCCGCTGCTTCCTTTTGATATGTACATGTAAACATTATGGTCAATATGGTCATCTTTGTTGAAGCAATGGACACAAAGCACACACGTATCATCATAACTACATTGCTCACATCGATAGACTGGCTCTCCCTTCTTAAATGGTCGAGCACATGCTTTGTCAGACGGATGACTATAGTCTGTCCTACTTGTCCTTATATTGTAAAATGGTCTTTTATCATTCTCAGTAATAACAGTATCCTTGACATACTGTAAAGATTCCAACTCTTCCTCTGTGATATGGGGAAATAATTTCTCAAGAGACTTACCATCATTTGTCGCCGAATAATATAGCACCCTATACAAATTCTGCCTGATTACCAAGGGTTTATTATACCCAAGATCGGACGGCAAACAAACCAAAAATCTTTTAAGTTGCTCGTTATTCATAGCCTCTTTTATATCATGAATTGGATATTGTTTCGTTATATCTCGCCATCTGAGTATGTATGAGTCTACTTGATGGCTTTAGAAATCAGTAGAACTATATTTTGGCTTTCTTGTATACAGTTTTATTCTTTTTTTCTTTTTTTTTTTGGCAGAATAGTGTTAGTCACAGCGTACAATAGATATACTGCTTATCAAAAGGAATTAGATCGTAGATTAAAAGTAGTGACAAGATGTCAGTGGCAAATGATAATTTAAAGAAGATCGATTTGATTACAAAAGGTTTACAAGAGTATTTAAATATTCAAATTATCAAAGATGTGATAGAGAAGGAAAAGCGTCCAGTAAAAATATACTGGGGTACAGCGCCTACTGGTAAACCGCATTGCGGATATTTCGTTCCTATGATTCATTTGGCTTATTTCTTGAAGGCTGGTTGCGAAGTGAAGGTTTTAGTGGCTGATTTACACGCTTTCTTGGATAATATGAAAGCCCCTTTGGAAGTCGTCAAGTATAGAGCTAAGTATTACGAGTTAACAGTGAAGGCCATTTTAAAATCAATTAACGTTCCCATAGAGAAATTGCAGTTTGTAGTAGGATCCAGTTACCAACTTTCAGAGAATTATACGCTAGACCTTTTCAGACTATCTAATATTGTTTCTCAGAATGATGCAAAAAGAGCTGGCGCAGACGTTGTCAAACAAGTTGCTAACCCTTTGTTATCTGGTTTGATCTATCCTTTGATGCAAGCCTTGGATGAAGAGTATTTGGATGTGGATGCGCAGTTTGGCGGTATTGATCAAAGAAAAATTTTTGTTTTGGCTGAGGAAAACTTACCCAATCTTGGATTCAAAAAGAGAGCACATCTCATGAATCCAATGGTACCTGGATTGGGTCAAGGTGGGAAAATGAGTGCCTCGGATCCAAATTCGAAAATCGATATTCTTGAAGAGCCAAAGCAAGTCAAGAAAAAAATTAATAGTGCTTACTGTGCTCCAGGTGAGCTCAATGAAAATGGTTTAATTACTTTTGCTGAAAAGGTAGTTCAGCCTATACAAGAATTGGTTTCAGAAAAGGATGGTATTTTCAGCTTGCCGATCGATAGACCCGAGAAGTATGGAGGACCAATTACTTACGATTCAATTGAGCTCTTAAAATCTGATTTCGAGTCAGGTAAATTATCTCCTGTGGACTTGAAAACAGGCATATCTGACAGGATAATTGAATTACTAGCTCCTATAAGGAAAGACTTTGAGTCTAATGAAGAATTTCAAGAGGCTAAAGCAAAGGGTTACCCAGAAGTCGCTCCAAAACAAGAAAAGAAAGCTAAGAAAGTGAAAAATAAAGGAACAATGTATCCGGGTGCATCTAAACAGGATACAACAACTGAAGTCTCTAAAGCTCTCGAATCAACCCAATTAGAGTAGGTACGGAGCCGCTGAGAAGCATTTTCTAAGGTAAATAATTTTTATTAGTCATTGATTATGTAATTAATTTAGAGAACCAATCATCTACATCTGAAAAATATGTTTTTTTCGTGATCTCAAAACTTAATGTTCTTTTACTAACTGATTAAGGTCAATTCATAATAGAATAAAATGGTATGTTGATTTGTGATATAGAGAATTCCTGATTCATGTACGAGCTTTCAAGTTTTTGCTTACCTTTGATTTTTTATATACTTTAGAGAAACATTAAGTTTTGCTTACTGGAATAATGGACCGTGAAATTTGAAGATATCTGACGAGAACAATTTTCGTTTAGTTCAGCCAAAAAATGGTTGTTATGTAAATGGATTACCGGATGGCGATGAATGTGTTTACATTTTGTATCGAAAGGACTTTTTAAGACAATCACACAAATGTATTACAAATTGTCTAAAAAGTCAAGGTAGCATGTACAATCAGGACCATTTTTTCATTTTTTTGCTTTTCTGGACATATACTAATTAATGCAGTCACTCTTAACAACTATTTTTGAAAGAAATTCCATCTTTGTTGCTACTATTTTAGGTGGTGCTTTTGCTTTTGAAGGCTTTTTCGATACTGCCGTAACTTCGTGGTATGAGAACCATAATAGAGGAAAATTGTGGAAAGATGTGAAATCAAAATTTCTAGAGGGCGGAGATGAAGATGAAGATGACGAGTAAATCTTTGCACCTGTCATATGCTCTTCACTTTGAAGTTTATTCCTTTGATATAATGATATAGATGCTGCAATCAAGAGTTCTTGAGGAATAAAAAATAAGTTAATTCTACTAGTTTCTTTATCTTTTGTTAGTAGTTTGAAAAAGATGAAGTAGAATAAGGAAGATCCGTATGAATAGAATCAAGAGAGAAAAGCGTAAAGAAAATTCTTGCTTGAATCCTAAATATCTAACGTAAATTGCATGTTATACATACTTTCACAAAAAAAGCTGTAGGGACTTTTATCACGTGTTCTAATCTCACGAGTCTGAAAACACATCTCGAAGCTGTCTTAAAATTTGACCATATCTAACAGTATATCATTGATTTTCGTTGGTCGTGTTATAATAGATGTTCTAAAATGGCTGTAATCAACCAACCAAGTAGTCAGATAAAATTGACTAATGTCTCTTTAGTGAGAATGAAGAAAGGGAAGAAAAGATTTGAAATAGCCTGTTACCAGAATAAAGTTCAGGATTGGAGGCAAAAAATAGAAAAAGATTTGGATGAAGTTATACAGATCCCCCAAGTTTTTCAGAATGTTTCCAAAGGTCAAGTTGCAAACAATGAGGATTTAAAGAAAAGCTTTGGGACAACTGACCAAGACAAAATTATTCTTGAAATATTGGAGAAAGGTGAAATTCAGTTACACGAAAAGGAAAGGAATGCTAATTTACAGCAAAAACAAAACGAATTCTTAAATATAATATCTACGAAATGCATTAATCCAAAGACCAAAAAGATTTACCCTCCTTCCATGATTCAAAAGGCATTAAATGAATTTAAATTTCATTTAAATCCCAACAAACCCACTAAACTTCAAGCACTTGAGGCTATCAAACTTTTGGTCTCCAAACAAATTTTTCCCATAGCAAGAGCACAGATGAAAGTTAAAATTATACTAGCCAATAGAGCCAAGAAGCAGGTATTTGAAGAGCATATCAAGCCGTTGGTTGACAAGACTGAATCAGAATATCAAGACTCTACAACTTATGAATGCATTGGAATTATAGACCCTGTCAATTATAGAATTATTGTAGATCTCTTTCTGGGCGACAATTCAAAAGTCAGGAAAGGGGATGGGTCTATTGAAGTTCTTGATATGGCCGCCATTAAGGAAGTTTAATGTATACACTTACGCTAAGTGGTCTTAATCTGCTTCAGCCTTTTGTATTCATGTTCATAAAAGTATGAATAATACAGCGCTCGACGTAAATTCAGTCACTAACATAAATCTCATTTCCAAAAATTTTTCATATATAGAGACCACACAAAGAATATTTTAATTCAAATTCACAGTGAATCTTTAATAAAAATGTCTATAATTGTACCTGCTTCTTCTGCGGGTGTAAATGAAGGTTTCAGTGCTCACTCCAAGTATTCAAGTCCTGTGAGGCGTCCAATAGAGCCAGTTGGTCGTTCTTTTCTTGCTCATGCATCAAGGACCTTGAGAGGCCACACTTGGTCGGAGTATGAGAAAATAGAAGCAGAAAAGAATGTCAAAGAAGTCGAGGAGAACAACGATGATGACATAGGTGATGAGGAACAAGATGAGGAATTGTTGTCTCATGATCCGAGGGAATGGAAAAGTGCTGATCTCTATGCTGTTTTGGGTTTGTCTAATTTAAGATGGAGAGCAACTGAGGATCAGATTAGAAGAGCACACAGAAAGCAAGTTTTGAAGCATCATCCCGATAAAAAGTCTGCCTCCGGTGGCTTGGATCAAGATGGATTTTTTAAGATTATTCAGAAAGCTTTTGAAGTTATGTTGGACCCAATAAAAAGACAACAATTCGACTCGGTGGATGAGAACGCCGACGTTTTGCCTCCAGCTCCTAAAACCGAATATGACTTTTTTGAAGCATGGGGTCCCGTTTTTGAAAGTGAGGGAAGATTCTCTAAAAAGACGCCAGTTGTACTTTTAGGTACGTTGGAGTCATCAAAAGATGAGGTTGATCAGTTTTACAGTTTCTGGGGTAAGTTTGACTCTTGGAAAACTTTTGAGTTCAAAGATGAAGATGTTCCAGATGATACTTCTAATAGAGACCATAAACGTTATATTGAACGTAAAAACGTTGCTGCAAGAAAAAAGTTTAAGCAAGAGGACAACAAGAGAGTAATTAATCTCGTTGAGAGGGCATATTCTGAGGATCCAAGAATCAAATTATTTAAGGAGGCTGCAAAGAAAGAGAAAGCGCAAAAGAAATGGGAAAGAGAAGCTGGATCTAGAAAGGCTGCTGAGGAAGCTGCCGCCAAGAAAGCGGCAGAAGAGGAAGCTGCTAAAAAAGCATCTGAAGAGGCTGCCAACAAGAAGGCAAGCTCCAAAAAAGCAAAGGAAGCTGCGAAGGCTGCAAAGAAGAAGAATAAGAGAACTATTAGGGGATCAGTAAAAGAAGTCGACTATTTTGGTGACGCATCCAAATCCTCCGATATCGATGCTGATGTAGATTTAATAATTGATAAATTGGATGATGTTCAGTTGAATGACATGGCTAGCAAGGTTACTGGAGCTAATGTTGACACCACAAAGGCATCATTTTCTGAAATAATTTCTCAATTAGGTTCTTCGGGTAAACTCGAAGTGAGTTATTTAAAGTATTTCTCTGTCTAAGCTGAGTAGATATATAAAGCTATTTATTCCAAATAATTATAAAGTGTTTCATCAAGAGTATAAAGTAACTTAATTATTCAATTATTCGTTATCTTCGTTATCAGAGAGTGGAACCAGATGTTTCAAAGCTTTGCCCTTCATATGATAATGCTCCTTCCTTTTTTCCTCAAAATTTTTGTGTTTTTCTTCCGCAGTCAAAGAGTTGTCCTCTTTATCTTCATGCGAATTGTCGACAAAGTTGGGGTCTTTGATAATCTTGCCTCCATTAAGTGACTCACCCAAACCGATTTCATTTTCATCAAATTCCCCCTGACCTAATTTAAGCAGAGGAATTTCATCATCATCTTTATAGTATTCCCCTTCAGGGTTAAAACCTCCTTCATAAGGTGTTTTTGGTTCATCAATCTTCATGGTCGCGCACTTCTCTTGCTCTGTCTTGTATAAATTGAGCTCATCCCATCTTAAGTGCTCTTCGTCCTTATGTTCATCTGATCCATTCAGCTTTGACTTAGCTTCAGCTAACTTGGCTCTTATCTCATCTCCCTTTGAAGACTCTGAGGCAAGTTGAGCATTGAGTCTAGTATTCCGGATCACTTCTTTTCGATCAAACTGATCAGAATGATTTTCATTTTCACTCTCTGTCTCGAACCGATTTCTGAGAATTCCTTTGGGGCTCGTTTCAGCCATCTTTTGCTACCGTATTTGATGATAAGTCTTATAGGTGAGGGTCAACAAGTGACTTTCTATAGACTGAGAGTCATTACTACCATCTCTCTGATCACGTTCTATATCACGTGCACATTGCCAGCGAAGTCTTGGCTGAATTTTGATTTCAAATACAAACTATTTATCAGACTTGACAATTGTAACTACGTCAATTAGCATCATACCGCAGCTTAACTATCTTGAAGCATCAAAGGCTTTTTTATAGTCATCAAATTACATTTCATCAGTTGAGAAGAAAGACCCAAATAATTTTGCTTCTTAACTCTGATTTATTATCTGGGCACTTTTGCTTTTAACGCTGGTATTGTCTTGTTGGGACTCTTCATTTAATAAGAGGCATGGGACAGGTTTTCAGTTTTACAAACATCTTCAACAAATTATGGGGAATAAATAAAGAAATCAGAATATTGATCTTAGGATTAGATGGGGCTGGTAAAACTACTATCTTGTATCGCTTGCAAATGGGAGAGGTGGTGACTACAAAGCCAACCATTGGCTTTAATGTGGAAACACTCAAATACAAAAACTTAACTCTTAACATCTGGGATTTAGGTGGTCAGACATCTATCAGACCTTACTGGAGGTGCTATTATAGTAATACAGCTGCAGTCATATTCGTAGTAGATTCCACTGATAAAGATCGTATTGATATAGCCTGCAAAGAGCTTCACACCATGTTAAAGGAAGAAGAATTATTAGATAGTGCCTTGTTAGTCTTTGCTAACAAACAGGATCAAGCTGGTGCACTTACAGCAGCTGAAGTGTCGCAGGCGCTCAATTTAACAGATTTGAAGGATAGGAGTTGGAGTATAGTAGCATCAAGTGCCGTTAAAGGAGAGGGTTTAACAGAAGGATTAGATTGGTTGATGGATGTTATTAAAGATGAACAGCTTTAACAATTGCTTCAAATTAATCATTAATTCTTTTACTTAATTCTAATATAGTAGTCATAGATCCATAAATGCTTTCTATCAAGATTCTCTTTCGCTGACTCTTTGTAAAATTGTTTTTATCATTTCATTTCCCATAGCATTGGCTTCAGGAAATTTGGGCTTGAAAAACTCTTGTGTTTCTTCAAATTCTTTTCTGTATAAATCAAAGTTGCCAAAGGAGATTATACTAGACCAGTTGCGAGCAGCAATAGTAAACTCTAAGTCATCGTGTCTAAATGATGGGTCACTTATGGCTACCTCTATGCATTCTTCAAGGAGGCCGGGGGTACAAAATAAGTATTCTGTTACTCCTAAAAATATTCTGAACAATGGAGTTGAGCATATAATATGATCGTAAGGAACGATTCCCAAATTAAACCAACTATCTACAATCGCTAAAAGAGATAAATGGGAATTCGGCTGCCTTCCACCTGGCGGCTCCTTGCTGAGTGAAAATTTCTCTAGAATGCTATCGTCCAATAATAAATCATGTAAATTGATATGCTTAAAAACAGAATTCTTAGCCTTGAAGAGCCTATCTCTCATCTCTTGCTTTTTCCCTTGTATCATTAGTGTAAATAGCTCAGTCACAGATTTGGAATACTGCAATACTTGTTCATGTGCAGATGGGTTTGTTATTGCTAAGCCAGCATAGACGTGCCATTTATTAGAGAATATTCGGAGTGAAATGTTAATTTTTGCATTTTCAATTCCTCCAACCCATCTAGGCGTCTGCCATGGATACTGATTGATCGCTTTCCATGCCACCCCCATGGATAAAAATGCTGCGTGTGTCACAGCTTGTGTATCGGCAGTTATTTTGTCGTGCTGCTTAGCAGATAAATACACATGTTTGGACTTTAAGCATGAAACTAGAGATTCAACAAATTGAAAACTTTCTTCAGATGCTTTATGCTTAATTAAAACTAAAGGTTGGCCCATAGTGTTAACCTTTGGCCCATGCAATGAATGAACCGAAATAATTTGAACATCACTCGGTAGGTTTTTTTCAAATGCCTCTATTTCTGGTGCTTTACAAGATGTTTGACCACCAACGATGGCTCCCACTTTAGTTGACGCCCCATATTTGGCAACAATGCTTCCGATATTTTCTGCTTCAACGCTATATATAATGTAGTCAGATACACGCGAAACAAAGTGACCACTAGCTAACACTTCAAAACTCTCGTTAGCATATTTAGCTTTAATCTCTTCAAAGAGTTCTTCTCTATCACAACCCACCACCCGCCAGCCGTCTTGACTAAATCTACGGGCATACAAAAGCCCCATTTCGCCTAACCCAATAATACCAATGATCTTTGTCTTTTTTAGCCTCTCAATTTCAGATTCATTTAGTACAGTCATTGTCCTAGTAATACAAATCTTTTCGATAATAGAAACTGATCACTATTGCAGTAAACACTGAATTTTTGTTTTTCTTTTTGAATTTTTCTCGTATGTTTCTTAGTCGCTTTAAAAAAAAATATATACATATTTAAATTAAAGAACTGCAAATCAATACGGTGGAAATGGGAGCGAGAGCATTTAGTGCTCCTGGAAAGGCATTTTTAGCAGGAGGGTACCTCGTTCTCGATCCTAAATACATGGCCTATGTTGTAGCATTGTCTTCTCGGATGCATGCTGTCGTAAGACAACGAGGTAGCGATACAAAAAGCAGTGTCTCTAACATTGTGATCACATCTCCGCAGTTTAAAAATGGTGAATGGCTTTATGAAATAAGCCTGGACGGGTATCATTCAGTTAAAAATGTTTGCGACTACAATCCTTTCCTAGAGGCCACCATTGCAACATCTCTAGCATACATCCAGCCGGAAGTAAATTTTAATGTTGCGATAACAATCTTTTCAGATCCTGGTTATCACTCGCAGGCCAATTGCGTCAAGCATATCTCTAATAATAAAAATAGGTCTTTTTTGTATCATGAAGAGCCAATTTTGAAAGTTGCCAAAACAGGTTTAGGATCTTCTGCGGGATTAGTCTCAGTTGTAACTGCCGCTTTGTTAGCACATTTTAATGTAAAAATTGACGTCAACGTTGTACATAATTTAGCACAAATATCACACTGCATTGCTCAAAGAAAGATTGGCTCTGGTTTTGACGTCTGTGCAGCCGTATATGGGTCAATTATTTATCGTCGCTTTGAAGTATCTCAAATAAGCGAACTTCTTACACGTCCTAGCGACGAATTCCAAGATATAAGGAAATATAACTCGAATTTGCAGAGAGTTGTTGATCTGGAGTGGGATTACGAACATATCATATGCGCTCTACCCTCAGGTATTAGGTTACTTATGGGTGATATCCAAGGTGGTTCAGAGACACCAAAATTAGTTTCAAAAGTGTTGAAATGGAAAAATGAGAATCAGAAGGAGAGCGAAGAGCTATATGGAAAATTGGACAAAGCTAATAAGGACTTCATTGCTGTGTTAGACAGGATTAAGCGAGCCTACCAAGATCATCCCCAGTATCATTCTGAGGCTCTCGAGTATTTTAGCTCCCGAAGTATTGACGATATTGATGCAAATAGTGCAACTTCAAATCCTTCTATGGTGGCGATAATTAAACTCATTGAAGTAATAGCGGATATTAGAAGAAATCTAAAGCAGCTCACTCTCTCCTCAGGTGCAGAAATAGAACCACATCAACAGACTCTTTTACTAGACCATTGTAATACGTTGAAGGGATGTCTAGGTGGCGTTGTTCCGGGAGCCGGTGGTTACGATGCTATATGTTTACTAGTGATCGAAGATTCTGTCAATGATATTATTCGGAGCAGCTTTTCGGACGACCGCTTTCTGAAAGTGAAGTGGCTTGATTTACATGAAGTAGCCGATGGTATTGTGGAAGAAGATGCTACAGATTACGAAGGCTTACTCTAGATCGAAAGGGTGCTGACTGCTTATGTCTGAGAAAATCTTAAACTTTTTAGGCACTGAAAGTGAACTCTTTCACTGAGTTTTATGGCATCTTTATATTAGGCAAACTGGATAAGTGTTGCTCACAGAATATATAGTAAATATATTATTCAAAATTTATTTCCATAAATAACTGCAAGAAGTACAATCACTTAGTAACAAGGATCAACAACAATAGCTGTGCTTGATTTATCATCCTACCTGTACATAGCGTGTTTTACTTCCATAATAATAGATTGAGAATAGCTGAGACCTATCTTATATTCACGTGCTGTATTATAATGTTCTAATTGCTTCTCGGATTGCACTACATATAAATAGGAAGGCGCTTCAACACAGAATACAACATTTCATTTTACTGAAATATAAAACATTTTAATTATAATGGCTTCAAATCCACCGGGCGAATGCTGTACTAAATTCGAACTTCATGAGGGAACACCTGTGGGGAAAAATAAAACTCTTTTTGGTGTTGATACCTATCAAGTGGGGCAGGAGAATGGCACTGATAGAGTTCTTGTGATTTTTACAGATATTTACGGAAAAGATGTTACAAATCCGCTATTGATTGCTGATCAGTTCGCCAAATCTGGGAACTATAATGTACTTATTCCAGATATATTAGAGAAAGATCCATATGATCCAAATGCTGGCATTGAATTGAATCAATGGCTCGCAAAGCACCCGGCTGATAAGATCAAGCCTTTCTTAAAGAAATATCTTGCTACTTTGCGTAAAGAATGGCTGCCAAAATTTGTGGCTGGAGTAGGCTACTGCTTCGGAGGAAAGTTCGTAGTCAGTGAGATGGATCATGAAGGTAGCTTAGATGCTGGTGCCATCGCTCATCCTTCTTTTGTGACAATAGACGAAGTCAAAGCCTTGGAAAAACCAATCTTGATTTCAGCTGCTGAGATCGACTCGATCTTTACGACGGAGCTCAGACACCAAACTGAAGCTGAATTGATCAAATTATCAGAGTCCAAGGGCCTTCGTTTTCAAATTGACTTGTTCTCTGGTGTCTCTCACGGCTTTTCCTTGAAAGCAGACTTGAAAAATCCTGCAGTTAAATATGCCAAAGAGAAGGTATTTTGTGACCAGTTGGCTTTTTTTAAACAGTTTTAGAGTCTATAGAAATGACTATGCAACAATTGCTTTACTTTTTATAGCATTGTTATGGTAATCGAAGAACATAGAATTCTATTTCGGGGACGCCTCTTCAACTAATTAAATACTAGTATATAGTAAGTTTATTGTTGGTGCATCGCACCATCGATCCGATTAATCACACCTTATATCCTATTATTTTGCATGTAAAAGAGCGGAGTTTATGCGACCAATAAATCCAGGAGATTATATATGTCTGCGCTTCCTAGAATAACACTATATTGCATTATCCAGTGAAAAAATTCATACGATGGCTTCACTTGAACCCAATACTTGTTGTACGCAAGGTAATTTCCATGAGGGAGAATCAATGGGTCACTATAAAAATCTTTTCGGCCTTGACACTTATCAAATCGGGGAGGAAAATGGAAATGATAGAATCATTGTTATCTTAACAGATATATTTGGTTACAAATTCAACAATAATAAATTGATCGCTGATGAACTTGCTAAAGTAGGAAAATATCATGTACTTGTTCCTGATCTTTTCAACGGTGATGCTATTCCACCGGACTTCAAAGTTGATTTCATTCAATGGAAGGCTGCACATTCACCCGACAAGGTTGGACCCCTTGTCAAAAACTATCTAGATACTTTATGCAAAGAATTGTCTCCGAAGTTTCTTGGTGGAATAGGCCATTGCTATGGTGCGAAGTACGTCGTTAAGGAGGTAAGTAATAGTGGGAACTTCGATGTAGGTGCAATTGCACACCCATCACATATTACCATAGAAGAAGTGAATGCCATTGAGAAGCCGATTCTCATATCTGCAGCACAGATAGACTCAGTATTTACCACTGACCTTAGACACCAAACAGAAGAGAAACTAATTCAAAAATCGGAGTCTGAAGGTCTTAGATTTCAAATCGATTTATTTTCAGGTGTATCTCATGGTTTTGCAGTTAGAGGAGACATTTCTAATCCTGCCGTAAAATATGCAAAAGAAAAGGTATTAAATGACCAGCTCGTATTTTTTGGCCAGTTTTCTTGAATGTTTTTATGTTTATATTAATATTTAGGTGTTTTCATTCAGATTAGTATACGTATGCTGCTCCATAAACGATTTACTCATAATATCTATCACATATATATTCCTGTATATGACAGAAATGTCTTTTAATAGTCGTTTAATCTCAGGGGTCAAGTCAACTATTTACAGATTATGAGTTCAAACGAAGCGAAATTTGAGCTTCCAATTCACGAAGTACAAGGTAAACGTGATATTTCATCGTTTCCTTTGTCATTGAGAATTTCTATAAAGAAAATTGCCGGCTGTTTGTTACTTGGAATATTAGTATATTGCTTGACTTCGTCTGGAAATGGACAGATTTCTAGGACAAACCCTGTATCATACTCCCATGAAAAACTATTTGAATCATTCGGTGATCCTGATGACCCTCATAATCCTGACTCGTTGTGCCCTCTAGTTGAAAAGGTAGACCCATCCAAATTCATATACAATAATGATACTGTATCGTCTATTCTTAACGATCCAAATTTCAAGAATAAATCTATTGAAAAGCTTTTGGGAGCAGTCAGAATTCCAACAGAGGTATACGATGATATGGCTAATCCGAATGCATCTGACTCTTTAAAAGATTTGTATAAAATTGAACCTCTTTGGAAAAATTTTGAGACTCTTCATGAATATTTGGAAAAGACATTCCCGTTGGTGTTTAAACATCTAAAGGTAGAAAAAGTCAATAAGTTTGCTTTGATTATAACTTGGCACGGTACATCTGATAAAATGCCAATTCTTCTTACTGCTCACCAAGATGTGGTTCCAGTGCAAAAGGAAACAATTGACCAGTGGATTTATCCCCCTTTCGAAGGTGGATTTGACGGCGAATACTTATATGGACGCGGCGTACATGATTGTAAGGACCTACTCATTGGATTATTGGAGACTGTTGAGTTATTGCTCGAGGAAGATGAATTTAAACCTGAAAGAACCATTATACTTGGCTTTGGATATGATGAAGAAACAGCTGGTACTGGAGCTGATGAAATTTCTAAAGTCTTGTTATCTAGATACGGACCAGACTCTCTTTTTCAACTAATTGACGAAGGTGACGAAGGATATACTACGGCAGAGGGAACAAAGTTTATCTTACCTGCGACCGCCGAAAAAGGACACCTTGATTCCATTATCGAATTATATACACCCGGAGGGCATTCCTCAGTACCCCCAGATCATACTGCAATAGGTATTTTAGCAAATCTAATCGAAAAGATTGAGGATGTTCAGTATAAAAGTATTATCACTAATGCTAATCCTGTTTTACATCAATTACAGTGCATTGCTGAGCACTCAGAAGCCGTTGATAAAGATTTAAAATCCAGTATTTTGAAGGCTAATGTTGATCAGAAGGCTAACCAATATGTTGTAGATTATTTGCGTAACGATAGCGATACAAAATACTTGATCACCACTTCGCAAGCTGTGGATATAATTAGCGGTGGAGCCAAATCGAACGCGCTTCCTGAGCATGCTCAGGTATTGGTGAATCATCGCATAGCAATAGAGGAATCGGTTGCATCTACTAGCGAGAAAGTATTCAAACAAGTCAAAGAAATTGCAGATAGATTTGACTTGGGTGTTGTTTTTGACGGTAAAACCTATGTTGAACCAACAAGTAATGGATATTTAAACTACAGCTTACGTGGCTCTCTTGAGCCAGCGCCGGTTACCCCTACTAATGGCGATCTCTGGAATCTTTTTGGAGGTTCGTTGAGATACCTTTATGAAGATTTGATGTACCCTCACGAGAATGAGACTTATGTGTTTGCTCCTTTCATCTCGACTGGTAACACAGATACTAAAAGCTACTGGGATTTGACAAGGCATATATATAGATATCAGCCTGGGATTCCGACAAAGAATGGCAACATTCATTCTGTAAATGAAAGGATACTGTTTAAGTCACATCAATCAGTAATTGCTTTCTATTACTATTACCTTCAAATTGTCGACAAGGCGGATGATGTACCTTTTTAGATAGCATCAGTATCAATATAAACTTCATTCTTCCTCATTGGTATTTATTGATTTGTAGAACTGTTTAATAGAACTCACGAATCTATGATAATTAGGCACTGGATGCCTTAAGTTGCAAAATAAAAGAGCAAATGATTTTCGATGAGCTCATAACTACACCAAAAAATTTTCTACCCGATGATACCTTCCGTAAAGTCAGAACAATCCTGAATTTGTTAGACCCCATAATATTATAGAGAATGCCTAGTGAGCTTGAAGAACTAGTCTCTTTCTTACATTCGCCCCAGCCCGCAGTTGTTCAAATAGCATTGGATAATTTGGTAGGGTATTCTCAAGGAGCTCAGAGACAGATATTTAGCTATGATAACTACCAAGCAATAGAAGATTTAAAGAAGTTAGTTAAAAGTGAAGGAAAGACTGATGTTACTAACTCTGTGACTATCTTGGCTAATTTATGTGATGATATCGTTATGAGAGATATGATAGCGGATGATGTGGATTTTTTAAAATACCTTGTCAGTCGAATTATTAATGTCAAGAACTCTAATGCAGACCTCATGTGTATATTATTAGCCAATCTAGCAAAGAGTGATGCCATAACCAAAATATTTGATATCAAGTTAGAAAATGTGAAAGGAAAAGGTGGACATTTTCAGTCTGATAAAGCCATGGACTGTTTAATGGATTGTTTTGTTAAAGGATTTGATCGATCTTTGAACGAATATGCTAATTACGACTATTTGGCATATTTTTTTGCTGATATATCTAGATATGCTATTGGCAGAAAGTATTTCATTACTAAACAGAAATATGATGGTGTGGAGCCATTATCGAAGCTTTTGGTTTTCACTGAAAAATATGACTCCAAGGTTAGACGGGAAGGGGTTGCATCAACAATCAAAAACTCATTATTTGACATAGAAAGTCACTATCCTTTATTGAGTGACGAGGACATAAATTTGTTACCTTATATACTCTTGCCTATAGCTGGTCCTGAAGATATTGACGAAGAAGACATGTTCAAGTTACCTGAAGAATTGCAGCTTCTACCTTCAGATAAGAAAAGAGAGCCCTTGGCATCCATCATCTGTACTCATTTGGAATCTTTATTACTTCTTTGCACAACGAAAGAAGCAAGGAATTACCTAAGAGATCATGGTATTTATCCTTTGATTAGAGAATTACACAAGTCAACCGAATCAGAGGAGGTTGCTGAGTTATGTGATAGATTAGTCCAGCTTTTGATGAGAGATGAAGCAAAAGACGAAGTTGAAGAGGAGTCCGACGAGGACGAAAAAATTGTAGAAGTTTTGTGAGTTTGATACAGTGTATTCAGATGGCAAAAGTAGATATTTAAAATATTATGAATATGGTTTATATATTTGAATGATAGAGTTTATATACAGCAATTAATGCTAAATATAATATTGGAAAAAAAATTGGATAAGAATTTGTCTTTATGTCCATTACTCCTTTAGAACCAACTTGCCATCTGGCGACAACCTCAAGTTTTGTTTGACAATACTGAAAATGCGCTGCTTGTTATCCTTATCGGCATTGATCCTGCTTTTCAAAAGTAGTAATAACTCCTTTGTTGTCAATGGCTTGTTTTGTTTAATTATATGTATCACCTCATGTATAGTTACCAAATTGTTACCAGGACCGGCAGAGTTCAAGTCAGTAGTAATTTGCAGAGGTGGAGGAGATGGAGATTTCCTAGGATGGTCGTTCTTCGTAGTGTTTGACATTTGATCATCTATCTTGGATTTCTTAGAAACTGGCTTATTATTGGATGATGGTCTTTTCCGTCCATTTGGATTCCAGGATCCTTTTGGAAATCCCTCTAAAAATGCTTGGGGTGCTGTAATCACTACAAAGCCATCTCCAACGTAGTGCGAAAATATTGCCCTTGTTTGCTGGGACTGTTCGTTATTCATTACACCTTCTTCTGGTTCTTTTTTGATAGGAGCCTCGTCATCACTGTCCTCCGAGCTTTCTAAGTCAGATTTTGACAAGTATGGGTTCAAATTTTCGTCTTCATCGCTGTCATATACTCCACCCTCCGTTTTGTTCAACACTTTTCTCAACTTTTTACCTTCTTTATCCACTTTTCTAGATTTTTCAGTCTCAAAAAGATCATCTAAATCGTCATCTCCCTCTGCATCAGATTGGCCATCAAAGTGTGCAGCTTTCATCATTTCCCTCTTAATCTTTTGCTCTGATAATTTATTTTCTTCCTCGTCCCCATCCATAATCGGAGCTTCTTCGTCGTCGGCAAACTCTTCATCGAAATCAAGATCATCATGATCTGAATCTCTATCATTCGTTGAAGCATCACCTATAACAGTTCTCATATTTTTACCTTTTCTTGATACTGGATTTTCCGACTTGCGATTAGCAAGATTTCTAAACCTTAAATCAGGAGTGCTCTCAGATGCAGATTTGTCTTCCATGTGCTTCATTAACCATCTCGGAACCGATGAATTCTTTTCCATTTTGGCTTCAGCTTCCTCCAAAGTCAATGTAGCATACCTATTACGTGGAGTGAATTTATAAACCTTTTCAGCAGGGACCATTTTAAAACCATCTTTGTCGAATACAAATAAAACATGTTGACTATCGGATGATCCAGCTTCATAATTTCCTACAAAGACATTTTTACCATCGTAGTCTTCAATAACCCATGGATAATACTCTTCATATCTTAGTTTTCTCTTTTTGTCATCCATTAAATTAATCTGCCTTGTTTTTCTCTTGAACAAGTTCTTCTTTGCTTTTCGGGCACCACCATCAGGCGCTACTTGGGACATATCCGGTTCTCCTTTATTTATTGTTGACGGATCCTCTCCGTTTTCGATGGCAACCCTTTCAGCTTCTTTGTCTTCCCTTTCCTTCTCGCGCTTTGCCTCCTCCTCTTCTTTCTTTCTCTTATCTATTTCTTCTCTCGTAAGATGAAATTGGATGTTACGAGGATCTTTTCTATGCAAGCGTACCGGCCTTGTAAAGTTTTTCATTATATCCACGTCTTGCTTTGCCTGAAATCTCATTATATGATAACGGACATCATTAAGCTCTTCATTGGTACATCGTTTCAATGGAATTTCTTGCCATCCATCGTCTGAAGAATATTTATCATTCCCAATAGATGGATCCAGTGGTACAGAGTCGCTATTTTCATGTTTTACAGCAACCTCCTTTTTTACTGGTGCTTGGCTCATGTTTAATACCGATGGGCTGATAGATTTGAATAAATTGAACGTTCTAAATGCCTCTTGTAAGCATTCAATATTATGCGACATTTAAAGATATGACGACATTGTCGTTGCCTTTTTCTAGGTAACATGTTGCATCACTTATGAAGTAGCCAGACTTGCTATTGCGTTCAGCAATTCGTAATATATAGGTATCGCTTTGGTATATAAGACAGTTTATCGTGATCTTTGAGGATAGTTCCAAGTCCTAGTGTCTTGATAGTTGAAAAAAAATCTTGAACTGAAGATATCGCGTTCAACCCAGAATCGATTATAATTTTCACACATAAAAAGTTTTCCTTTCAAAAATTACTCAATTATACGCTTGAATAGCTAGACATAGTGATAAAAAGTTGCTATGTCGATTGTGGCAGAAGAAGAGGATGAGTACATTTCCAATGAAATTGGAAACTTGGGTGAAAAAGGAGCACCTCCTCGATACCTTGGTTTTTTGGCTGGGCTGTTTTCTGGGGTAATGAAGAATGTGGTGGGGCATCCATTCGACACCATTAAGGTCAGGTTGCAGACTTCTCCAAAGGGTTATTTTAAAGGTCCCATGGATTGTTCGTGGCAGACTTTGAGGAATGAGGGCATTAGAGGGTTCTATAAGGGTTTCACGCCCCCTTTGGTTGGTTGGATTTTGATGGATTCTGTGATGCTTGGATCATTGCACACGTACAAAAGATTTTTAAAGGAAAACTTTTATCATGAAGATGAAAAATTACCTCTTGAGGGTCATATCATGGCTGGTCTAGGAAGTGGCTGGACGGTGTCGTTTGTGGCTGCACCAATTGAGCAGTTCAAGGCTAGATTACAGGTTCAGTACGATGCTAAGACAAAGATTTATAACGGTCCGATTGATGTGGCGAGAAAATTGTATAATATTTCTGGTATAAGGGGCATATATAGTGGGTTACTTGCAACAATGATTTTTAGAACCAATTTTATATTCTGGTGGGGGTCTTACGAGCTATTCACTCAATGGTTTGAGAACAATTCTAACTTGTCAAAGCCTTCTATAAACTTTTGGAGTGGAGGGTTGTCTGCTACTGTCTTCTGGATTTTTGCATATCCAGCAGATGTCGTCAAACAAACTATAATGACCGATAACCCTGTAAGATCGGAACGCAAGTACAAAAGATGGATTGATGCTGTGAATGATATTTATAGAACTAACGGATTGAAGGGATTTACTAGAGGATTTGTACCCTCAATTTTGAGATCATTCCCAGCTAATGCAGCCGCGTTAGCTGCTTTCGAAGCAGTTATGAGAGTTTTGCATTAGAATTAATCATAAGAATTTCATTGATATATCTTGTATATTAACTTCTTAGGATATGTCTTTATTCACTTCCTTCTGCTCCCAGGGTTTCACTCTCAATTTTGCATGGGATTGGGAGCTTTTTTCGGGAAGTACAGTATCAGGAATTTGTTTTATTCCTGGTATTTCTTTGCCTGTAATAATCCTTTCAACTAGTTCATGGTAGTTCGAAGAGTACGGGGCGGTGGATTCCATATTTTCCGTGTCGTTGCTTGATTGAATCTGATCTGGTTCCTCCAATTCCACGATTTGTTTACTCCTTCTATATTTATCTCCATTTTCTTTCTCCCAAGCCTTGAATTCATCTAAATTCATTATGTTTCCGGAGTTTGAGCAGTAAAAAAAGCTCTTAGCTTGGTCTATCAATTGCTGCTTATCATGCGGAGAAATTGATGATATTGTAGCGTCGTTTTCTTGTAAGTTTTTCAAGTAATTATCTAAAATCTCCCGTAATCCATCTTGAAATTCTCTAAAAGAATCCCAGTCATAATTTAAATATTCCTTATATATATCCTCTTGTGTCCCAGACATATTGAGTTTAAGTAGATTGTTATTTTATAGCTAAAAGAGCGCTACATTAAATTTTTTATTTCGCTACTCAGGTCGGAACAATTTCTTATTGTCATTTACTTGGTCTTATGAATTAAAGAAGGCTGAAAAATGGAAAGATTATTAATATTTATTCTCATCTTGTCAGTTCTATTGAGACTTGGCTTCTTTTTCTTTGGGCTATATCAAGATGCTTTTATGAACGTGAAATACACGGATATTGACTATTTGGTTTTTTCAGACGCTGCCAAATATGTATACGAGGGATACTCACCTTACAAAAGAGAAACTTACAGATATACTCCTCTCCTCTCCTGGCTACTTCTACCTAACGCATTGGGTGGGTATTGGTATAGTTTTGGAAAAATTATTTTTATGATCGGAGATCTAATTACAGGTGTTGTGATCGTTAAGCTCTTGAGAACGGAGAGGAAATTGAATGCCAATTATACTGCTATATTTGCTTCAATATGGCTCTTGAACCCGATGGTAATAACTATAAGCACCAGGGGCTCCTCTGAGAGTATATTGACTGTGATAATAATGATGGCAGTTTATCTATTATTTCGAGGCTCACTTACTTTGTCTTCCATTCTATTAGGGATATCGATTCACTTTAAATTATATCCTATAATTTACTTACCAAGTATCTTGATATTTCTATCTGATAGGGGGTATCCATTTGTTAATCTCCCACTATTGAATCTTGTCAACAAAGTTAATTTAAAATACGCTTTAGTCTCGCTTGCATCATTCGTATCATTGGGACTACTTATGTATCGAATATATGGAGACGATTTCCTATATGAGAGCTACATCTATCATTTCGTGAGATTAGACCACAGGCATAATTTCTCAATCTATAATATTGCATTGTACTACAAATCTGCATTTCCAGAAATAGAAGGTATCTTTGTTAACAATTTGGAAACCATTGCATTCATACCACAAATCGTCTTGACGGTTTTTATATTGCCACTTAACTTTGCAAAAAGTGACTTAATATCTTGTCTATTTTTGCAAACGTTTACTTTCGTTGCATTTAATAAAGTTATTACTTCGCAATATTTTATTTGGTATTTAATATTTTTACCTCATTTCCTTGCAAATTCAAATTTAGCGAACAAGAAATACTACTTCAAGGGTTTTCTTGCTCTTTTCTTATGGGTGGTTTCTCAGGCATGTTGGTTGTATTTTGCTTATCTGCTTGAATTTTTAGGAGAGAGTACATTTGACGAAGGCTTGTTCTATTCGGCAATTTTTTTCTTCCTTTCTAATTGTTGGGCAATTGGTGTATTTATACAATTCCTTGATGCCCCTGAATCGTTGTCTAAGACCTCTTAGCATCCTTTTCGAAACTTCTTTGTTAAAACTTTGTTGGGTGTGCATATTAATCTCATCATAGATCTTTAAATATGTTCTCAAGTTTGATGTTTTTTCACGTAATTCATCTTTAATATTTACAAACTATCATGTCACGATTAGAATTGTACTCCCCAGAGGGTCTTAGAATAGATGGTAGGAGATGGAATGAGATAAGACAATTTCAGTGTCAAATTAACACTCATCCTAATTCTTCGGATGGTTCTTCATATGTTGAACAAGGAAATACTAAAGTTATATGTATGGTCCAAGGTCCCATGGAACCCAAATTAAGGTCTCAAAACGATGTCAATAAAGCTACTATAGAAGTCAATCTTGCGGTAGCTAACTTTTCTACTTTTGAACGTAAGAAAAGGTTGAAAAACGAGAAAAGGCTAATCGAGCTTAAGGCTACTTTGGAGAGGACTTTTGAGCAATGCATTATAACCAAATTATACCCCAGGACTCTTATACTGATAAGCATACATGTTCTTGCACAAGATGGTGGGCTCCTTGCATCTATGACTAATGCTCTCACGTTAGCGCTTATTGATGCTGGAATTGCAATGTATGATTATATATCGGCCGTGGGTGCTGGCTTATATGACCAAACGCCTTTACTAGACCTTAATAGTTTGGAAGAGAATGATATTAGTGCTTTGACTATTGGGGTTGTGGGAAAAAGTGAAAAGTTGGCTCTTTTGATGTTGGAAGATAAAATGCCACTCGATCTTTTGGAATCGGTACTTGCGGTTGGCATTGCAGGTGGTCACAGAATACATGATCTCATGGACAATGAAGTGAGAAGACGTGGGAACTTGAGATCTCTGAATCTTTCGAAGAGCTAGATATATTAAAAGCTCTGTGATACATGCATAATTTTAAACGAGACCAAAACTTTTTGAACTTTGATTGTATGTCTATGGGCACTCGTATTATAAGATGTTCTGCATAGTTCAGCCATAGTGTTAAGGTACTTTATCTGGCAAAAGAGTAGGTTCTTGTTTACTAACATCTTAAGTCCTCCTAGCATAACTACAATAGAGAATTTACATAGAATTTAAGTCTGATATACAATATAGATGATAGTTTCTTCTGCAAAGCTTATGGATATCATAATGCCTGGTCTTTTATCTATCAAGAATGGTTCAGTCTTTGGTGGTGACAAGCAGGTTAAAATTGTGTAATCGCACGACTATTGTTAGAGCACTGCGTGTTAAATTCTTCTCAATACCCCGACTGAAATGCGCTTGATTCAGTGACTAGCAAGCGAATCAAAGTAGGATTTGTCAACTAGAATTCTTTGAAGGATTAATTGATTATAGTAATTGAATTATATATTGCTAAGGAAAGGTTTGTATCTTCAGTTTTTCGACAATCTTTTTCAAAGATAAAGCAATAGAATTAAGACGTCAAAAAGTCTAATATCGAGAATCATTTCCAATTGTTAGTCTCTGATTTGATTCTTTATTTTCCTGTTCATAGAGCTTTTCATTTGATTAAACTTTTTACCTAACTGATGTCTTACCGTGGTCCAAATCAATTCAATGGCCAGTTTCGTGGGCCAATGGATGGTCGGTCGACACAAAATATTGGACCTATCAAAAGCTCTAAGACTTTTCTTGATAAGTTTGAAGATATCTCGAAGAACACAGAATCATTAATTGATGACTACTGTGCTCCCCTTAAGCCGTATGTGCCTGCGATTGGCCGTTTGTTTCTTGTCGCTACATTTTACGAGGACTCACTTCGGATATTTACCCAATGGTCTGAACAAGTGTACTATCTCCATAATTATAGGAAAATTTGGCGGTGGTTAACAGTTTTATTTTTGTTTACAAATGTTGTGGTTATGCTAATAGCATCAACATTACTTGTTTTAAGAAAGAAATCTGCTGCTGCTACCTCCACTTTGGTATCAGTTGTTATTTTTCAAGGTATATTTTATGGTTTAGTCTTTGATGGTCAATTTATTCTTAGAAACTTATCAGTGGTAGGTGGACTCATACTTGCATTTTCCGACACCTTGGTTAGAGATAAAAGATTATTGACCATGCCAGGTTTGCCGATGATAAATAACCAAGACAATAAGAAGTACTTTTTGCTAGCAGGAAGACTCTTGTTGGTATTTTTATTTTTAGGCTTTGTTTTTTCAGCATCTTGGTCTTTCACGAGGATCTTGGTTATTATTTTTGGTTTCGTGTCTTGTGGCTCTATTGTTGTGGGATATAAGACTAAATTTGCCGCATTTGTTTTGACATTACTTTTGTTTGTCTATAATGTTCTTATAAACCAATTCTGGAAATATGGGATTCATGATTCGGACCGTGATTTCTTGAAGTATGAATTTTTCCAGACGTTGTCTATTGTGGGTGGTTTGCTATTAATAGTCAATGCAGGTGCTGGAGAATTCTCCCTAGACGAAAAGAAAAAAATATACTAATATATATGCAATTATCATCTCAATTGATCTTCATTAGACCTACTTAACCTCATCCGAATATAAAAGTTATTACATACCTATCAAAATTCTATATACTATTTGAGCTGAGATAATTTATGTCACGTGACGTTTAACCTATAAATTATTGTGGAATCCTTCGCTACTTTTCTTGAATATAGATAATATAATTTACAACGATTCACCAAAGTTGAAGATGGCAGGGGAGGATGGATCTAAGTGCCCAGTTGACCATAACTCGGGTATAAGTTGGAAGAGTTTTTTATGGAAGGAGAAGCCGATTTGTAACGTTGATGAATCACTCAAATCCAGCATAGCAAGTCCTCAGGATAGTCAACCCAAATGCCCCGTAGATCATAATGCTAGGGCAGCATGGGCTAGCAAGGTTTCCGTTACCCCGGTTCTCTCTGAAGGTATAGAGGAAGAATGCAACTCAGACAGAATTGAAAAGAGTTCATACCCAAGTCACTCTGATGTTAATCTCCCTACAGATCGAGATGTCAGCTCCATACCAAGGACTTCATCCGGTTCTAATTGGGTTTATCCTTCTCAAAAGCAATTTTTTGAGGCTATGAAACGCAAAAATTGGGATCCAGAAGCTCGAGACATGAAAACAATTGTCCCTATCCATAATGCTGTTAATGAAATGGCATGGCACCAGATCTTAAGATGGGAGAGGGGTAATTACGAAGATGCAATGAAGAAATGTGGAGGAATAAAGCTCACTAGTTTTAAAGGGGATTCGAAAAAACTTACACCAAGAGCGTGGTTCAAATCAACATTACTCGGCTATGATAAACCATTTGATAGGCATGACTGGAAGATCGATCGCTGTGGTGTTGAGATTGATTACGTTATAGATTTTTACGGAGGCAGCGATCAAAGACCAGTTCATTTGGACGTGAGACCAAAGATTAATTCTTGGGAAGGATTGAAATTGAGATTAGAAACTGCCGTTGGATTTTAAGCTCTATGTAAATAATATCTATATTTAATAAATAATTCTTTGACTTGGGATTCAGATTGCTCCTTTGGTATTGCCTACCTGAACTAAAAAATGAGTACATGGTATAACTCGAAGGAGTCATAAGTAAATATTTCTTTGAAATTTACGAATATATACAAAGTAAATAGCCAATCTATAGTACAAACCAATCAATTTCATAGCAGATAGACATTCGTGTTTCGTAATATTATCCATCCATATATTTATCGATTTTGATCTACTGTCTCCCCATAAATTGACCTGACTGGCCCAATTTTTGCATATTGTCCCCAACTTGAACGTTAGTCTCGAAATACTTAGATACACATCTATCTAAGCATAATGCCTCTTGCTTCGTGATATCTGCATCAGCATAGCTCTTATTAATGCATTTTTGATGGCATTGCTCAACCAACAGGTTGAACATACCTGTAACCATATCCAATTCTGCCTCGGCAGCTTGAATCTTCTGCTGAGAAGAAATCTGAGGTGCTCCTCCTAATCCAAACATCTTATCTGCTGCTAAATATCTATGAGAAATTACAGTTTTACAAAAAGCAAGATGAAGAGCTGCCGTTGTGAAGGGCAATCTTTTTGTAGTTTGACGAAAAAAAAAAAAAAAAAAAAAAAAAAAAAACCTTACGTAATATGTTAATAATCTGCAATATCATAGAGGCATTTTGCATATTTGTATTTTAAAAATGTGACCCAAGTTTTGTCTACTTCTTTATAGTCCAGGGAAGGTAAAGTGAACACGAACACCCCATAGAAGACTTCCATCTTGGGTTTCTTTTAGTAATTTTTCTCTATCTTCCCTCTTTTCTGGAACAGGAGCGACTAGACCATGACTAACAGTAATAGTCTTACCATTCAAAGAAATGCATCCCGCATAATTGCTAATCCTGGTATTTGTCCAATAGGGCTGAGTCACAAGCCTATTGACGAACTCATCACTCAAGATATGGCTCACGTTAAAGAAGTATTTGAGAAATCTCCAAGTTTGCGTTTGTAGATTCAAGACGGCAATCCTATTTACATGGTTATTCGTAGTTGCAAATTGGAATCGGGCGAATCTGGTAATGTCTAGTTTATCACTTGAATATGGAGTCTTATCAAAGAATCTCAAATAATCGTTACCAAATCCTCCAAAGAAGAAAACGTAGTGTTTCTGGTCATTTTTATAGTACATAGAAGTGTGGTAACATGCTCTTAATTCAGCATCCGCTAGTTTTGGATCCTTCACTTCTTCTTGTTTTTCCAAAAGAGATAAATCCTCGTCTTCATAGGGATCAATATGGGAGTCAAAATAATCATAGGCATAAGTAGAAAGTTTATGCCACCTCTCTGTATCGAACACGAACAAATAAAAGTCGCTGAACGTCTCTGATTTTTCGTTAATACCACCTTGAATTAATAATGCCTTTCCATTAAAAAATTCCTCAGGGACTTCTTGCGTTTCTAATTCGGTACCAATGCTACCATAGAAAGAATTGCCTGACGTATTACTAACAGGCGACGTTGGATGTTCGGAATCGACGTCATTTATTATTGTTCTCTCACATCTGTCTACTAAAGTCTGATTGTAGTCTATCAAAGAAAATGCAAAATAGCCTCGTGGTGACGGCCATTCGCTCGTACCTTTCGAAGAAAGGAGATCTTTATTATGGTCTATCAATGAAACTGAACCCTCAGGTTCAAAATGAACCACGCTTGAATACCTATCTTTAACGTTGATATCGATTTTCAATAAATCCAGAGAGCCAACGAACTTTTTGTTTCCTTCTTCATTCTTCTGACAAATAAAACCTCCGAAAACAAATATTGAAACTGCAACTGGAGAGCTGTTGAAAATGAAATTCTCAGATTGAGTCTTTGATTGTTCTGTGGGAGCTTCACCTTTATACCCATCATTTGAAAACTCTGCATCTAGATTTCGACAATCTATTGAATCAGTAGGAGTAGGTAGAGGGGTGTGCTTATACGAAGACTTAGTTTCACCTTCCGGTGTGCTTTGACTTGTGTTGTTACCCAAAGAGTTAAGTGGTGATACTGGTCTGTTCACAGCTTGTTGATGTAATGAATTTGATCTGTGCTGTCTGACTTGATTTGAATAAGAGTTTTTGAATTCAGTATCGTTTGTTTTGCTCATTGTTGAGCTGTGTTGCCTTTGATGTGGTCTATGAAATATTCTAGATGATTTAGAAATTACTTGTCCCACTTTCGATGCATTGAGAGTCGGTGATTTCGTTGGCTCTGACGTTGTATGGCTTTTAGCTGAAGTGACCACTTTGCTGATTTGTCGAGGAGTCGTCTGACTGGTAGTCTTAGAATTAGAAACAGAATTAGAAGCAGAATTAGAATTTGTAAAAACTCCCGTAAACAGCGATGTGTCTGACGAGCTGCTGATTGATGCCGAGCTTGTCTGAGCTTCTGGGAGCTTGAATGTGTCCGTTTTAGGAACAGAAGCATTCAAAGGACTGATTATGGGACTCTCTGAAGGCGACTTTTGGCTACTATGATCAGTGAAAATTGGAGGCAGAGGTACCCTACTAGGAACGTTATTGTTTCCTCGAAATTGATAAATATTGGACGTCACAGCACTTCCCAACCTACCAATATTAATCTTTTGATCATCTCTTGCCTTCAACTGAACCTTCGTAAATCTTAATGACGTTGTATCAAGAATGTAGCCATCTTCATTCAAATGTATTCTTTTTTCGATTATCCAGCGATCTATCTCGCGATCATAAGTCACAGCTTCAGTGTTCATCAGAAACCCACCGTAAAAGAAGATGTGTCTATCAGATATTTCACAACTGACTAAAGAATTTAGATGCCATGGAAAGTACCTCACATCCAAACTTGTCAATGTGTTTCTCGTCTGATTCAACATAATCAAGTGTACATTTTGAGTCATCAAGGGATTACTTAAAATCTCCCTGTTGAAATGAGGAGGAAGATCATCGGGGAGATTCACTGAAATTTTTTCGGCTGGAACATCTTTTGGAATGCCCAAGTAACTGAGGTCACTTTTACTATTTATTTGGAGTCCACCAAAAGTGTAAGTTCTGTCCTTTAAACTATAGTGGTTTTGGTAGCATAGCTTAGGGACCTCAGCAAAGGTCAGTGAGTGGTAGTAAGGGTTTAAATGTGGACTATTCAACATGGTATTCGGCACGGAGAAGTAACCTGAGAATGAACTTTGGCCCTCATCCTTTCGTACAATTGATGAATTATGGAATCTTTTAACGATTGAAGCCCTTGCTTGAGCCTTAAATGAATCACTAGAATCGCCTTCTGACGAAGAAGTGTCTTGCTTTACAGGCACAAATGCTGCTTGTGGTGCCTCTTTTAATACCGCCCGAGGTGCAAATATAATATTATGACCACTAGATTTCCAACTCTTCTCTGGGTGTGTTATTTTCTCGTATTCGAATACTGACCTTGGCACTCTGATTCCATGAACCCACTTATTCTGATGTGTCTTGATGAATTCTTGCGCTTTTCTTGCTGTGTATAAGTTAAGATCAAGAACCTCACTATCCTGATTAATAGCCTGGTTCTGTGTAGAGTCACGTATGATATCAGGTTGAAGTGTACCTGTCATATTAGTATATGTGAGGGCTTGATACCTTGGCGTTGGCTTAAAATCCCATATGAGTGTTTCTTTATGTTCTTAATCAATGTTTGGGGTGAAACTAGGGGAATACCGCGCGATACATATTTACTTCCCTTTACATAAAATAACATTACCGTAAGATGCATTATATAAACTATACATTGGGACTTAACATATCAGCTTTAACTAAAGCATAAATCTAAAATAAAGTTAGTATAATGTCTGATAAATTCTTTTTGTATTACTTACATCTTCGATTGAAGCATGAATGAATTGTCTAACTTCTAAGACCATCCACACTTTCACCATGTTCAAAGAGTTCTCATCCTTCAACATTTCTCTACCTTCTCTCAGAACTCCCAACTTTCTTAACACTGGTAATGCACTGGAATAAGTTAGTAAAAGTATCAAGATAGGATAGAACAAGTATTCAAATACTAAATAACTCGTTCTCTGTTGGAAAACCGAATAGAAAAGCGTATACGAACCTTGCAAATAAATCGAGATCTGGGTCCAATCTGCGGCCAATCCCTTCTAACAATAATATTGCCACTATGACAGTAATAAAATCACCTTCCATTCTCACATGGTGAGTTCTGACCATTCCCAAAACCAGATCTAGTAAATCTCCAATACTAATGTTGCCCAACGCGAATGTTCTTTGTCTAATCCTGTCGACCAATTTTTCTACTTTCAAGGCAAATATCTCCTTGTTTATGACTGTCTCCGGTGTCCTAGATCTTTCTACCATTAATTCACCCGCCTTGTAACCATCAAACTCCGAAAGTGATTTAAATAAATCTATAAAGTTGACACGGTCTGTATGATTTAACTCTGTTATCAATCCAACATCTAAAAAGCATATTTCTGCATGATATCCCTCCTCGTACAAAGTTGCTAACCTTCTGCACCATTCGTCTTCATCTGCTCCTTTTAAGTTTAACAATTCATTAGTTATCCTGTTCGAGTCATCTTCGTTGCTTGTTTTAACTATCTTATATTCCTTTTCATGTTTGAATAGCTCATTTTTATAGAATCGTATCATCATATTTCCTGGATGCAAATCTGCATGAACAAAATTATCAAGAATAAGCATTTGTAAAAAGGCATCCAAACCTTTGTCGCTTATTTCCTTTGACAAATTTTTTCCAAAGTTCTTCTTCAAAGATAGCATCTTCTCCAATGGAATAGCATGAATAAACTCTTCCACTAAGACGTCTCTGGTAGTGAAATTGATGTAAGGCATGGGGAAATGTATATCTAATCTATTCTTGAAGTTATGCCTAAATTTTGCCAAGTTTAGACCTTCAATCCTGAGGTCCAATTGCAAACGCATCAAAATTGAAAATTGCTGTACCTCATCAGGTAAAGAAAGCCATTCCATACTAGGTATCATATCAATTAGGTTTGCAAAAAATTTCATTATTCTCAAATCTCTATTAATTTTAATCTCAACTCTAGGGTGTAAAACTTTCACGGCAACCTGTTGCTTATTAGTCAATTGTTGCTCAGTAACCAAGATCTTGTCAATCAAGTGTTGATGTCGGTCATCTTCAAAATGAACTTCGTTAGTTTTGGCTTTTTTCAATGCCTTGTTAGACAATTTAGCAATATAAACTTGTGCAATTGCCCCCACCCCAAGAGGTTTCTCGTTAAATTCGTCAAAAATTTCATCGAATGGTAAACCGAAACTTTCACTCACAATTTTTTTGGTTGAAGATAATGAATGAGCTTTTGCATTTGAGTGTAACCGTCCTAGTTCATCGCATAGCTCCTTAGGAAATATATCAGTCCTTGAAGCGGCCCATTGCCCCAATTTAATGAAAGAAGCTCCTCCTAGTTCAGCAGACCATCTCAAATATTTAAACCAGATCTTTGCTCCTGATCTAACTCCACTTTCAGAGTTTTCGTGTTTTCCAAACCAGCATATGGGTGCACTTATCAAAACTGGGAGAAATATCATCGATAATTCTACAAATCTTGATAATGTAATGAGTGGATCAATAATGTAATCATCTATAGCGAACTTAAGATAATAAAGTGGCCCAAAGATTTTACTGCCTTTAAGCTTTTGTTTTCGATACCTTTGAAATTGATCGGTCTCTTCTCTCTGTGAAGCCAGATACAATCCCATTTCATAAGTTTCTTCATCTTTTGCTGGCTCTAACTCATGAATTGAAGTATCGATGGCATGCACATCATTATATATCATGTTGTTGCATAATAGAGATCCCAGAGTTAATATTCCAACGCCTAATAATCTCCAATTGCTCAATCTAGTATGAGTCTGAGTTCTTGCTTGTGAATAGAAACATTTAGTTCGAGTTGACCAGACTCGGGGATTAAAGGTACCCTTGAATCGACCCACTAGTAAGGGCTTATTCATTAGTGGTGTTCTATGAAACATCACTATGAAAAGCTATCCCTAACACTCCCAAAATTCAATTCTTGTTTATCAAAATCAATATATGATATTCAGAGCAAGTACTAATCTATAAATTCTATAAAGTTTCCAGTCCGGAATTCGATCTCAAATATGAACTCCGGTGGTTTCAATATCCAGTTGCTTCATGTGGTCCCTTAAAATCGAACACCACAAACCTATAGTTGCAGCACCCTTAGGATTCGTACGGGGTCCACGTCTAGCCACGATCCCATCGTGAGAATTCCATGCATCAATATATACTGGAATTTTTATCCACCTAAGCTGATTTAAAGAATCAATGATGAATTTCTTTGATTCGCCAAGAGGAAGCTTAGTTCTGCTTTTAAATAATGGAAACTTACTGTAATCAGAAACTTCTAGTGTCTTGATATGTTTCTTCATAGCAAGGTCATTTCCTTCTGTATTGATATTTACAAACTGCTTCTTTTCCTTCTTATCAAGAATAATATCTCTTTCGCCACTATGTTCGGCATCAGTATCCGACAGACTGTCTTCTCTACCTTCAATTATAGGTTGAATATCATCTCTATCTTCATCATGTGAACGAAACTGTGGTGTTCTACCTGAGAACCTTTCTTCCGCGTACATAATATTTTCCATTGCATTTTCAGTAATTCCGGAAGTATCACCTTTAAATGATTCGTATTGAGAAAGTTTTCTTCTTTTGTCTCTAGCCTTCTCCCCAATCCTAGCATCCTCAGGATCAACAGGTGAAGATCCGTAGACCGAATTTTCAACTCTTTTCCAATGTATATCAATATTGGGGGCAGACAAGAGCCGAATCTTAATCATACTATAGATAGATGCAAACAAACTGCTTGTGAAAATCATTGGGATCCAAAAGGGTAGTAAAAAAAATGCAACAGAACATATGATAATGGTCCTTGCTATTCTATTTGATCGGAAAAAAGACGTTTCCTCTTGTAAATTTCCAGGGAAGCTTTCTTCTCTTTCGAGGGCATGCGATCTAGTCAAGTCTACAAATTTTGGTTGTACCTGGCTATTGCCAATACGCGCTTGTGGAAGATCCTTCAAATACTTGATCTTAATTGTTTCCCAGTCGTCAAATGGTGAATAGTCAGTTATGTAAGAAGTGAAAAATGCCACTGTTCTGTCGTTCTTAATGTTTGCTAATAGAATATGCTTTTGAAACTTAGCCAATCCTTTATAGTACGTTTCCTTAGGGTCAGCTAATGTAACCATTATGTTTTTTGCATCCCTCATGAACATTTCTCTACCTGACTTGCCGAAAATGAATTGTCCAATATGGTTTGCACCTTTATCAAACACGTTTTCTTTAAAGAACTCGATTCCAACGTGAGGAGTGGCAAAAGTTGTAAAGAAGACTGGTTCAATTTTGCTGTAAACATTTAAATCATTCAACATACCTATAACGTACCTTGAAAGAAGACCGCCTAAGGAATACCCAATAATGCTAATTTTATCAACTCTATAATTTTTATTTTGTTTGAGTATTTCAATTTCATAAAATATCTCTTGAATTATCCTTTGCGAGTTATACTTCAAACCATCATATGTCTTCCAAAATCTGAAGCTGGAAGGCTTCAAGGTAACAATTATCTCCTTGGAGCATTCTGGAAGGAGCTCCTTTATACTTCTTTCTATAGTTGACATGTGGTTGGGCCCGCCCCATAGTCCATGAATGAGTACAAATAAATGTGCACTTTTTGCATTATCATCAGCAGACTGTAAAGTGTCACTCATTATGCCATAGACCGTTTTCTTTCTTAAAAATCAAAAGTGATTGCTAACTTGAATTCTTTCTGTCTTATCTATCCAAAATGCCGAGGAATTGGATTACAGATCAATCAAGAGAGTTCTGCATATACGTTTCTTTCTTGGTAAAATTTCCATCCGAAAATTGACATTGTCATAGTAAATCTATTAGTTTATCTTAATAAAGAGCACATTCAAGGTAGCAGAAGGAAGAAGAAAGATAACTAAAAGCGAAGTTTTTGGACATTTAAAAATTCAATATCGTGGGATAGATTAATATAGAGAAGGCATTATGGCATTATTTGGATCGTCAACCAGCTCAACAGGTCCTAATACTGGCACAGCGACAACTAAGTCGGAGCAAATCAAGACCCAAATACAGGATCAGATTAGCCAGGAGTTGGCAATAGCAAACGCTACGGAATTGGTAAATAAAATCACTGAAAACTGTTTTGAAAAATGTATATCCCAGCCTGGCAGTTCATTAAGTTCTGGTGAAGATCATTGCGTTAATCAGTGCTTAGAGAAGTATATGAGATCATGGAATGTTATTTCCAAATCGTATGTGTCTCGAATTCAACAATCTTCAAGCTAAAAACTTTATTATTGAAATATTCAGCTTTTTGAGATGAAACTCCGCCATAGATCTCGCAATTTTCTTTGTATATAGTGTCACCAAATAAGATAATGACTTTAAAGAAGCATATGAACTTGTAGTGATGAGAAGTAAGAGCTTTTTTATTTGTGGCTGATTTCGCTCCCACTTTGCAATCTTGTTAGATTTTTGATAAGTAGCTGTTCCAGGCTATCCCTTTTAAATAGGGACGTCGAAATGAAGCTGTCTTTCTTTGTAAGCTCAACTCATAGTGTGCAGCGCTTCACTAGATTATCAGTAAATAGAGTATATTTCGTTATGTGCCGGATTTCGTATTCTTTTTCAGAGTGGCGACTTGGAGCATATCGGTTCAAGATAAATAGATTTGCTAGTAGAGTGACAATTGTTTGGGTTAGAGTTCACAGTTAGGTTTGGCTAATATAATTGAAGAAATATATCATTTCTTTCGTTTGATCATAATGAACTCTACTACTGTTGCGTCGGAATATTCGTCGGAAGTCAATAAAGTTCCAATAGAACATAGATTCAATCCATACACAGATAATGGTGGAACAGTGCTAGGTATCGCAGGTAAGGATTTTGCGGTCCTCGCAGGGGACACAAGACAAGTGAATGGGTACTCTATTAATTCTCGTTATGAACCGAAAATTTTTAACGTTGGAGATGATATAGTTATGACGGCCAACGGGTTTGCTGCAGACGGGGACGCCCTTATAAGCAAATTTAAAAACCAAGTAAAATGGTATAAGTTTAACAATGGTGAAAGAAGATTGGGAATCAAAAGTGCAGCTAGATATATACATCATTTACTTTATGGGAAGAGGTTTTTCCCATACTACGTCAGTACCTTGATTGCAGGGTTGGATGAAGAAGGTAAAGGAGCTGTTTATTCTTATGATCCTTTGGGTTCATATGAGAGAGAGCAATGCAGGGCTGGTGGTGCGGCCTCCAGTTTGATAACCTCTTTCTTAGATAATCAAGTTAACCTTAAGAATCAGTATGTGCCAGGTTCTGATGGTAAGAAAAAGAAGGAAGTCAGATATCTCGAATTGAGTGAAGTTTTAGAGCTTGTTAAGGATGCCTTTTCCTCTGCAACGGAGAGGCACATCCAAGTGGGAGATGGTCTAGAAATTTTTATAGTCACCAAGGACGGCGTGAAAGTTGAATACTTCCCTTTGAAGAGAGATTAATCTACGATCCATATATCGCAACTTATTGCTATCTTTCAGAATTTTTATATCAGTCGTATATTTTTCATCTTCTACCTTAGACTGGAAGCTCAAATTTTTTACCCTTCAAAACTTTAGTATAGTAAATATAAAAAAAGTCTGAATAAATAGCAGTTTGGATGATTCCAGCGACAACAGTTACCCAATCTAAGCGACCCTCTGTAAAGTATCTATAAATCCAGTTGGGTATGTATAAGGCTCGATAGATTCCTAATGCAAAAAGGTAATGGGCCGTTATGTTTTCAGCTTCTCCTGTTCTTTGTAAAACAAAAAAATGTGGGAGTATAGCCACAGATTCTAACCAAATCGAAAATGTCCATAAAAGATACAACGGTGAGTATGATTTTGTTGTTAAAAGAGCGGCAAGGAATGCTCCACCAACTAAATATTTCACTGGAAATGTGTCGACATGTGCTTTAATGGAGACCTGATACTTATTTGTCATTATGTATACTGTGTAAAGTGAGGATCCAATGAAAAATAATTTCATCGATGTATTGTAAAGGGAAACAAAGTGGGTGAATAAATCCAAATACCTTGTAACAAACACTAAGACGTATAGGGTCTGTGTCTTCAATGAAAGACCATTCAATGACTTGTTCTTCTCAATCGAAAAGAGAAGTATGAATATACTTGCCAAATGAGATAAATCGGCAAAAAATCTGAAAATGTTCATGTCAATGTGATGTTTTCAATTACTTATGCGTTATAGTTAGTTTATTTTGTCAATACTTTCTAAATTTTAAAGTTGTAGTCGATGTCAGAAATTATATACAGTCGCAGCAAGTCAGCCCCAAAAAGCACCAATTGATAGCCAAAGATCGGGGCTCGCTGAGAACAGTTTAGCTACGATTTGAAATACTTGTAGACCATTAATTAGGTAGTAGTATATACATCATGCGATTCTAAATATGAATCTCGTTTAGCAAATACGCATAATCTTGCTCAATATCACCAAGCAGGATCTTTCCGAAGCCATTAAAGTTAAAACCAGGCACGAGGACAGATATGTCCTCACTTAGTAAAGATTCTTCGCGGTCCTCATCTAATTCTGTTATGCTTTTATACCATCTACTTCCTTCAGTTCCATTTAGGAAAGATTCAATGTCAGAAAGAACCAACTTGTTTTTAATATGATGATTTTGCGGATTTATTCTATAAGTTTTGAAAGACCCATCCGGTGAGAAGTATATCATGGAAGGAAAGTTTGTGATTCCATAGTCACGTACCATCTTGAAACCTGAAGGCTCCGAGGCCGCTACTAATGCAAAAGAAGTTTTCAGACCTGACATGGATGAAGCTAGCGCTTGATAGAAATGATAAGGATACTCATAATCACTCCATTCATCCAAATATTTCATTGTGAATACAACCAATACATGTCTGTTTTTAATCTCTTGATCAAAATTGGAATCATGGAGGTAAAGTACATCGGTGACGAAATTGTCATAATTTGGTGTCACATCGGGAACTATGTTCTGCACGAACTCAATTAATGTATCAGGTGCCCTGTCTTTTGCTTCAAAAGTCAATATCTCCTTTGTTTTAAAGTTCAACATCTTTAATGTTGGAAATTTGTCTACTTTGAATAGAGATTGAAGTCTTTTATTCAATCTACCATTCGTTTTGATTATTTGTAGTTTTTTATCATTCAATTCTGTCCCATTATTGTATAATAAACTTAAGTACTGAAAAGTTGGCTCAAACTCTGAGCAGAATTTGCATCCGTCAGTATAAAAGTAGATGAACGAATATCGTGCCGATGCTAATATTTGTGGAATATTCGAGTCATTAAGCTCCAAGACATTTCTATTCGCATCAAATGCGCGGCACCCAAAGACATGAATACAGATGAGGATCGTATATGTCAATATTCGGTCAAGAAGATTCATTATTGACTCGCATATTGATGTAATATTAACTAAATTCTGCATTGCATCTCAAAGAAGTTATTTAATCGTATCTTGCGATCACGTGAGACTTGATATGTTTATCTGCAGATACCATATTTGGGATTATCCAGCTTGAATGCGGTTTTCACGAGATGGCTGGCCGTTTATCTTTGACATATTCTGTCAAAATCAATTCCTTGTTTACAAAATGGGCCATAATTGCTGGCTCAATTGTCAAGTTTGATTAGAGCCAGCTTGACTATTGATGAATCTGGATAGTTTAAGTGATGAAACGGTCAAAGTGACCAAAAGAGATCTACAGGGCCAAGAATCCAGCCATGACATCTAAAGAAATGGAGATAAAATCTGTCAAAGCTGTGTTATAAATATGTATCAGAAGCCATTGTGCGTTAATTTTTGATTTGATCCTATCTGAAACACACACAATCAAAAAAATACGTCGATCGCTTAAGGCTGTGATATGAGATACTCAGCTCTACTTGCTTCGATAGCAGTTTTCGAGGCGGTTTCGGCCGCTTCCTCTGAAATAGCACCTTCTTCTTTCGTGTATTCCAACTCATCGATAACGCGTGCTCCTTATGTCACTTCAAGCTCGATAGATTCGGGTCTGACAATTTATGACGACGAAATTATAACAGAGAGTGAAGAGTATGACCTTTATCAGACGATATGCCCATCCGGTGGTGTATGCTATACTACGATAGATGAGTACAATAAAACCACGCGGACTACTATTGTCGATGATATTCTAACGGTACTCACGACCGTGTACCCTGTTTCGTCGTCTGAAGGTTTTGATGACTCGATATCAAGCACCATACCAATTTCTGACCTAACAGAACCAACCTCGTATGTTTACGACGCTATCACGGACGATGACACTGTTGAAATAACTAAGACTATTTGTGATTCGTATTCCTGTCGTCTCACTACTGAACTTGATTCCTTGACTACTGCGACGACTATCATTGATGGAATTCTGACAACATATGTCACGTATGTTCCTATCTCCAGTGAATCTTCATCTGAAGCTATTTTTTCGGCAGCCATTACCACATCTTACGATGATAATGACAAACTGAAAAGTATTCCGTCAGAAACTGCAACTTTGACTGAAGCTGCTTCTTCTGACACTCCAATTTCAAACGATGGTACAGCTACTGAGAGTATATACTCTACTACAGTCATTACTACCACCTCGTGCTCGAATAATGTTTGTTCTAAGGTCCCTAAGACCACAGGGTTGACAGTCGTTACCAAGGACAATACTATCTATACAACATACTGCCCATTTTCTGGAGAAGCTACTGAATCTGAAACTCAAAGTTCGAATCCGAGTCCGATTTCTTCGGAGATTGAAGCCACATCTTCATTCGAATCTGGAATCTGGAAAGTAGTGACCAAGGACAATACTATCTACACTACATTTTGTCCTTACTCCGGAGAAACAACTCTGAACCTGGCTTCCGGCGTTGGGTCTACTTCGTCAGAGACTGAGGTCAAACCAACTACATTAGCAAGTTCTTCTCTTTCAACCATCAACGTTATCACTGATAACATTGTTACTGAAACGCCAAGCGCAAGCTTTGAAACTCAGTCAAGTTCGCATGGAGCAGTCGGTGTTTCGTCCTATGAAGGTGCAGCAGCCGTCGCAAAAACTACCGGTGCATTCGGTCTTTTAACTTTCTTTTTATTCCTTTTGATATAGATTAATCTTCGTAATAAGTCAATTTCGCCCCGAACATATATACCTGTCGTCGGGAGTAGTGAAGGTACCAGTATGCGCCTTTTCTACCTTTTTCACTTCGATAATATTAGTTTAGATAATAGATCAAGTTTAATACCATCAAATGTATGATTCTCGACCTGCCTAGTCTAATCGATTCACTTTTTTTTTTGTATTAGGGAGTCTAGTCCATAGTAAAGATCCAATTGTGCATAAAGGTAGGGAATTTAAGTTATCTTATATCTTAACTTCATTCGTAAAAGCTTTCGTACGTGACTGTGTGTCAGTCCCACATCAATGTCACCTAAGTTCTTCAATGGCTATGGTAGGTACCCGGCAAGGGGGATGAGGGATAGTTAATTGTGCGGAATGAACATCTGAAGCTCATCTCGGACGTAATTGATACCCAGTTTGGCTATTTTTTCTAAATAGGTGACCAGAAAATCCATATTTGAAGGTATATGTCCTAACAAAGTTTTCTCTGGTGAGCCTTAGGAGTCCAATAGTGGCATTTTTAAGTTTCCAATAGCAAGTCTTTAAAATTGTCCTTTCGTCCAATATGTATAAAGGTGTTTTTCGTCTGATACGCACAATATTTTGAAAATTGGCCTCACGAAGTGGGTGTTGGATCAATATTGGGTAATACCGGACATAACTTCACTGCAAATGATATTTGTGGGTTAGCGTAGTCATCAGTTCGCAAAACACCCTTGTTTTTCGTTGTTCTGATGTAGCCATGGACTGGAAATGGGTCTATGATGTTAAATAGCCTATTTGTAACTGTTACCTGTAATCATCAGAGACCTCTCTTAAGTGCGGCTTCGAGGACAATTTTAAGTAAAAACTTAAGACTTTCATAAAAATAGTAAATTTCGGTAAACGTTGAGGTATATATAGCGGTGGCATTTTTAAGAGAACTATAAAGGGTATGGATGCTTATAGTGAGTTTATTGAGCCTAGCCGAGTGAATCAATGTGTTGGTTGTAACTTTATATCCTCATCAAAGAAGCATTTGATTGTTGGAAAAGGTACGCTACTACAAATATTCGATGTAGCAGGCTCTTCTTCAAGATCACATAAGTCAAAGTATAAGCTCCGATTGATTGGGCAATATAAATTACATGGCTTAATAACTGAACTTGTTCCTTTGCGAACGATTGAGCAGCCAAAGCTTGACTATTTGATAGTTTCAACGAAGTACGCCAAATTTTCAGTTATCAAGTGGGATCATTTCTTGAATTCTATTTCAACAGTATCCTTACATTATTACGAAAATTCGATTCAAAATGCTACTTTCGAAAAGCTTTCCAAGACTGATTTGATAATTGAACCCAATAATAACTCTTGTACGTGTTTACGGTTCAAGAATTTACTTACATTTCTACCTCTAGAAGTTAGCGAAGACGACGATGAGTTGGATGAGGATGAAATAGATACAAAGAAAGATGATCATGATGTCCCAGAAAAATTTTTTGATTCAAGTTTCATGATCGATGCCCAGTCCTTGGATCCTAATCTTGGAGATGTAGTTGATATGCAATTCTTGTATAATTACAAAGAGCCGACTTTAGCTATCCTATCACTGAAAGCACGTACTTGGGCAGGGCTTTTACCCGAAGTAAAAGATAATGTCAATCTTTTCGTTTTGTCGTTAGATTTGAGCTCTAAAACTTCGACATCTATTTTGAAAGTTGAAAATTTACCATTTGATATTGATAGAATAATCCCCTTACAATTTCCATTGAACGGATCGTTACTCATGGGCTGTAATGAAATACTTCACGTTGATAATGGAGGCATCGTTAGAAGAATAGCCGTAAATCAATTCACATCCTCGATTACTGCTTCTACAAAGAATTATCTTGACCAGTCTAGCCTCAACTTGAAGTTGGAAAATTGTTGCGTAACACCACTACCCAATGACACAAGAGTATTGATGATCTTATCAAGTGGGATATTTTTTTATATCAACTTTGAAGTAGACGGTAGAGCCATAAAGAAAATAGAAATAGAACCTATCGAAGATTCAAAATATAGTTCTGTGAAGTTGTCATATCCTACAAAAGCAGCGGTTTTGCATAACAATTTAATATTCATTGCAAATAAGAATGGAAATAGTCCACTAATTGAGCTCAGTTATCGGGAAAATGAAAAAGGAATATTGGAGACTGAAATCCAGAATGATGGAGACATCACTTCAGTTCATGATGACGATGAGGATGAATTGTATGACGAGGATGAGACAAATGATACCAAAATTATTAAGATGGGATCAATTGACTTCGTTCTTCAAGATGAGATATTTAGTCTTGGGCCAATTTCTAATTTCACCCTTGGACATTATTCTACAGAAAAGTTTGTATCAAATTTGGCAAATCCGAATTTTAAAGAGATCTCAATCGTCTGTAGTTCTGGATCTGATCAGAATGCAAGTTTAAATATTTTGACTCCAAGTATTCAACCGAAGATAAAGTCGTCCTTAAGCTTTTCTCAAATCAACAGAATGTGGACCGTGAAAAATAAGTTTTTGATCACATCCGATGATGCAAATTCGAAATCAGAAATCTTTCAGGTAAATAAGCGTTTTGCAAGGTTAAACTCTAAAGATTTTATCAATAATGAGCTAACAGTTGCCATTCATGAGCTCAATAATGGGAAATTTATATTGCAGGTGACACCTCATCAGATTATTTTGTTTTCATATAATTTCAAAAAAAGATTGTCATTGTCAAAAGAAGTTCAGAATGAGGAGATTATCTATAGTACATTCAGTGACGAATTTCTCATGATTTTCTTGTCTAGTGGTGAAGTATTGATATTCACGATCAATACTTACAATGAAACATATTCTAAGATAGACATCCCAAAGATATTATCAGACACTATTATTACTACTGGTTATATCACCAATTCCAATTTGTTGAATGCAGTGCTGAAGGATGTAAACTTGCTTTTAAACAGGGGTTCTAAAAGAAAATTTGGTGAAAGAAATGCTCCTATAAGCAACTCTGATTCCAGTAAGGTCTTAGGACCTAAGCAGAAGACGTTTATCTTAGTGACTGGTGACAATAGGATCGTTGCATTCAACAGATTCCATAACGAAAAATGTTATCAACTCAACGAAGTTGATAAATTTACCGAGATTTTGAATTTAGGTTTCTTCGAACCGAAAGAAACATACCCCGATCCTTTTATAAAGCAAGTTGTATTCGATGAACTTGGAGATTGGAACTGTAAGTCGGAATATTTGACTATTCTAACGGTAGGGGGGGAAGTTATTATATATAAACTTTTTTTTGATGGCGAGAATTATAAATTTTTAAGAGAGGTAGACTTGCCATTGACTGGAGCTCCTGCTAATGCATACCCGCTAGGTACTACAATCGAGCGAAGATTGGTGTATATCTCGAACTTGAATGGATATACTTGCACACTTGTGACAGGTTTGATACCTCACCTAATTATGAAGTCGTCTCATTCTATTCCACGCATTTTTAAGTTTACGAAAATCCCAGCTGTCTCTTTTGCACCTTATTCAGATTCAAAAATAGACTGTGGGTTGATCTTTCTCGACGATAAAAAGAATGCCAGAATTTGTGAGCTACCTCTTGATTTCAACTATGACAATAAGTGGCCCTGTAAAAGCATTTCCATTGGTGAGAGTATCAAGAGTGTGACTTATAGTGAATCTTCAAATACTTATATTATTTCATGTTTCAAAGATATTCCTTATGACTGCTTAGACGAGGAAGGAAACCCAGTAATAGGTATCGATAAAGAAAAGCCATCTTCGTTGTCCTATAAAGGATCATTGAAATTATTGTCGCCTTTCAACTGGACGGTTATTGACTCCATCGACTTTGATGATAATGAGATTGGGTTGAATGTCAAGTCAATGTCTTTGGATGTCGGTCTGTCTTCAAAAAAGTTTAAGCAAAAGAAAGAATTAATAGTAGTTGGTACTGGGAAGTATAGGATGGAAGACTTGAGCTCAAATGGCTCCTTTAAAATTTATCAAATAATTGATATTATTCCAGAGCCAGATAGACCAGAGACAAATCACAAGTTTAAAGAAATATTTCAGGAGGACACAAGAGGTGCAGTCACGTCTATTTGTGAAGTAAGTGGAAGATTTTTAGTTTCTCAAGGTCAGAAAATTATCATTCGTGATTTACAAGATGATGGCGTAGTTCCAGTCGCATTTTTAGATACAGCAGTCTATGTTTCAGAAGCAAAAAGTTTCGGAAACTTACTCATCTTAGGTGACTCTTTGAAAAGTGTCTGGTTAGCGGGATTCGATGCAGAACCATTCAGAATGATTACTCTAGGAAAAGATTTACAATCTCTAGATGTAAACTGTGCTGACTTCATCACAAAGGATGAAGATATCTACATTCTAATTGCTGACAATAATAATGTCTTACATCTTGTGCAATATGACCCTGAAGACCCAACGTCTTCCAATGGTCAAAGACTAATCCAAAGGGCCTCATTCAATATAAACTCTACAGCTACTTGTTTGCGATCAATACCGAAGTATGAGGAATATAACCAGACGTTTCAAGAAAATTTTCAGGTTATTGGTTCCACTGTTGACGGTTCTTTTTTTGCAGTATTCCCGTTGAGCGAATCAACTTACAGAAGAATGTACATTCTACAGCAGCAATTGACTGACAAAGAATATCATTACTGTGGTTTGAATCCAAGACTAAATAGGTTTGGTGGTTTATCTTTCAGCGAGAATGATACTAATAGTAAACCCCTCCTAGATCATGATGTCATCAAGACATTTGCAAGACTCAGTGATGACAGAAAGTTAAATCTTGCTTCCAAAGTTAGCTCCAAAAACATATATCTGGATATCTGGAAAGACTTAATTGAATTTGAAAATGTATTAAAATATTTATAGATTAATATGGCTTTTTAGCTCTCAATACTTCATTCAATCTTATAATAAATGGAATTTTTTGGAAGTTGAGCTTTGTGTTGAAATATTAATTAGTAGTAATATAAAGTGCGATGTGTTTTACGAAGGCTGATAAAAAATAAATAACGAGACATCTTTGAATCACTAATGGCGAGGTTACAAGCCGCCAGGAAACAGGTATCTTTCCAACAGGTTAACGAAGAAGAAACGGTGGCCCCTTCTTCTCCTAGTAATGATTTTCCAAGAGCAAAACGGCTGGTCCAGACGATACCAATACATTACTTGTTTGTTCTCTTAGGTATGTTTAAATTGGGGTTGACCCAAGAGATACCAGCTACCTTATTCAGAGGTTATTTCAGCTTGTTGGCTCTACAGATAGTGTATGGATATGTCTTGAATAAAAATATTGCAGGCAAAGCAACAAAAAAACATAAAAAGGAAGACGACAACATCATTTTGTTGGTATTTGCAAGTTTGTTAATATCTACAATCTTATCAATTCCTGTGTTCATTGCATTGGTATTATTTGGGGCACCTTTATCCTCTCATCTACAGGAAACATACCTTTTGGCACTTCACCTTTCTAATCTCGTATTCTATCCTACGTTGGTTATATTTAAGCTCGATTATGAAGTTTTCGTGAAGATGCTTTCACTGGAAAGCTTGTTTAAGGTAATATTGAGCAGTCCCACGTTATGCAGCAGCGCTTTGTGTCTCGTTGGTACCTGGTTGGCCGTGATTCCCATTCCGTTAGATTGGGATCGGCCATGGCAACAGTGGCCTATTACATTGATATCGGGAGCATATTTCGGTTCCTTTGTCGGTGGCACAATCAGTTTACTCTTTTAGTGACCTATGTAACTCTCTTGAATAGTTGCTACTTAAGACAGACCAATGAATAAACTGTAAGTAAGATCATGTGCTCGATATTGGTGTGCTTTGCAGTGAAGCGTTTACTTTTGTTGGATGGCACGAGATCTAAGTTGCAAATGGGGTGGAACCGTGTAAAGCAATTCCGAGAACGTTCCTATATTTGCTGCTCCATTAAATAATAGAGCAAGCATTATGTGTAGTGTACGGAATATTTTGGAACATTAGTAAGTCACTGATTTGAGTTCTCCAATTTATATAAAGCTAGTTTTGGTGCACAATCAATTAAGTAAAATGATCCCTAGATACTAAGATATACTGAAAAAAACTCCTAATATCGAAGAAAGATGACACTTAAAATTAACGATAAATTCCCTACTGACCATACAATCAAATACATTCCGTATTCTAAAGCCAATGACTCACCAGTTGCTTGTGGGAATCCAGCTCAATATGACTTAGCAAAGGAATTGCCTGGTAAGAAAGTTATTATAACTGCTGCTCCCGGTGCATTCACTCCTACATGTACCGAGCAACACATTCCAGCTTACTTGAAGCATTTAAAGGACTTCAAAAGCAAAGGTATTGATAAAATTATCGTATTAACTGCTAATGACCCATTCGTTCTTAGTGCATGGGAAAAGGCATTGGGCTATAAAGACGAAGAGAACTATGTGATTTTTGGCACAGATCCCTTGGGTCAAATTTCGAAGGAAATTGGTGACGACTACGTTGTGGATATGAGCAAGGCAGGCTTTGGGCTTAGAACATCAAGATATGTATCTGTCGTGGATAATGGTAAGATCATCTATTTAGCAAATGAAGATGACGCTGGCAGCTTTAAGGCTTCTGATCCAAACATTGTCTTGGCTGCTCTTAAATAATCTCTTTTTTAATGTTACGATCTTCTATGCCATATTTGAATGAAGTATTTGTATAACGATTTCTGTAGTATTCAAGATAAATCCACACGACGGGTAGATTTGTATCTGTGAGTTGCAGTCAAAGTCATCTATGAGAGGAAGAAAATTTCGATCATTTATATACGCGTTCGCACTCAATTACTGACGCTACTAGATTAAAACAACAAAGGGTTGAAGCCATAGAGACTTTAAAACACTTCTTAGTATCACATTTCACTATGGCAGCGTTTCCTAAATTACCATTGGTGAATGGGGATACGGACGAAGATGCATCAATTCATTTGAATGCAACGGTTGGGCCGTCAAAACCCCTTCGTTCTAACCGTACCTCAAAAGAAGATGACATTCTTAAAATATTGAATGCAACAGAAAGCACAGATGAAAAGAAACTTAAAAGCAATGAATTTAACAAATATTTTAAAGAATTCCAGGAGACGGGACATATAGAGGGCATAGGCGAAGAGGATGAAGATGAAGATGACAACAACGTAGAAAATATTAACGATGATGAAGAAAAAGATGAGGATTACGAGTTAAGTTTTGATGATGAAAGTGACGAGACGGAAGTGGAGGATGAAGAAATCGAGCCTAGTGATGGAGAAGAAAACAGGCATTTCTCAAGTTCTTTTTCCAGAAACAATTTTCATAGAGAGAAGCCAAATCGTATGTTATTTGATGAGATAAAAAAAGTTCGGGAGAATGAAAGTCCATTTGTAGATGAGACCACGAGCAAGAACTCCAAGGGTACAAGAGCAGCATATCTTATTGTTTTAGCTCTTGTCTCCTTTTTTGGAACTTTAGGATTCGCTCTTTACTTTGATGCGCTGAGATCTGAATTTAATAATACTCCTACGAGTCGGATAGAAAACTTTAGCCAATTAGCATCTAAATTCAATAAAATAGATAGCAGACTAAATCTGTTGGATGATTTTTCAAGTACGTTGTCTAAGAGGCAAGATTTTTTGCAGCAGACAGTAGATTCGTTATCGAACGGTTTGATGGACAAATTCGATGCAATAGCCAATCGATTCAATGATATCGAAAAGAATATGATCGATGGAAAGCAATTTAAGTCATTGAGTGAAGAATTCAAGTCATTAAAAGAGAATGTCAAGTCAAAAGCTTTGGAGACGAATCCGGAACCTGTGCTAATAGAGATTACCGAAAAGCTAGAAAAATTATCTCAATTGCATCAAAACCTTGAAGATATCCAGGATAATGTCTTGGATAGCTTGAAGAGCTCACTCCCAAGTCTTTTACCAGTATTTGTGAAAGACAATAAAATTCATTTTTTACCTGAATTCCATAAATACTTATACAATTTCATGGAAAGTTTCCATAATGACCATAATACGACACTTGATTGGGATAAATTTATTCAAATGAATGAACCGAAATTGTCAGAATATTTGAATTCAGCCGTTAATAGGCACTCAAATTTGAAATATATAACAAAAGAAGCATTTGAAAAGACCTTAAATCAAAAATTAAAGGAGAACAATGGTGTGATTTGGAAGAAGTTCAACGATCTCGTAGACAATATCAACTTGGTGAATTCCAGTTCCAGCAGCGAGGATCGGTTTGTTGATTCGTCCCATAAAGTTTATTTGAACAGCATATTAGAGCTATTCACAAAGGACTTTTTAAAGGTAAACTACGCTGACTATTCACTTGGAGCTCGCATTTTGGGATTCCTTACGACCTCTAAAAATTCAGGTAGTAAATCACTTTTCAGGAAGTTACTATTTGGTTGGTATGATTATTTAATAGCTAGCGAGGTATCAGCGCCACATTCCTGGAAGTATAATGCGAATAATGTTTTACTTGATGGCTTAGAGAGCTGGGAGATTCCATCGGATAAAAGCTCAATTGGAATAAAGCTCTTCAGAAGCATTATCTTGACTGATATTATCGTGAAGATACCTCTGGTGTCGGAGGGGCTTGGCCCTTACTTTATATCATTCTATATTAAGCCCAAAAGTTTTGATCAGTACAAGAAAATAAAGAGTTTGAATGAATTAAAGTTCAACTTTGATTCAACAAATGATAATAGATACCTTAAAAAGTTTATCAAGATAAATGAGTACACACTTGACACTACTAAAAAAATACACCACATCAAAACCCCTATCACTATTATAAATTTGAGGATTCCTTCAAGGGACATATACGTCGAAATCACATCCCCCAAGGGCCCCATAAGCTTGACTAGTATCAAAGTATATGGCATTAGTGAGTTAAGTGCCACTCAGTATGCTGACGATCTTGAGTTACTATTGAGTAAAGTTGCTACAGATACATCTGACTCTTTTTCAAGCGAGTCAGAAAACTTTAATTATGGGCAAACGATTTATAATCACATCACATTAGGTGAAGATGAATTAGTTTAGTTACATTATTATTTCCGTATCAAGCTGGACTTGTAAAGTAAAGAAAATATAAATTTAAAGCTATAGAATATGCAATTTTTTGAAAACAAAACCTATTAGTCTAAAGAAATTTAGAAACAATCCTGAATTTGGACTAAATTAATGCCACACACCAATTTTAAAAACGAAGTTAATGAATAAGAATTACTCATTCAATATGAAGACTAATCTATTCAACTAACTTAGTAGAAGAAAGAGAGCACAGCTAATAAACCAGCAGCGAAAGCTGGGACAGCTTGGGAACCTGCATTTTCGGCAGATTCAACAGCAACAGCACTAGAGCTTGGGGCGACTGATTCTGCTGCAACTGATGATACTGCTGCTACTGATTCTGCTGGGGCTGAAGCTGCTGGTGCTGCTGAGCCTGCTGGGGCTGATTCTGCTGGGGCTGCTGAGCCTGCTGGTGCTGATCCTGCTGGGGCTGAAGCTGCTGGTGCTGCTGAGCCTGCTGGGGCTGATTCTGCTGGGGCTGAAGCTGCTGGTGCTGCTGAGCCTGCTGGTGCTGAACCTGCTGGGGCTGAAGCTGCTGGGGCTGAAGCTGCTGGGGCTGCTGAGCCTGCTGGTGCTGATCCGGCTGGTGCTGCTGAGCTTGCTGGTGCTGCTGCTTCTGATGACTCTGCTGCTGTGAGTGGACAGTAAGTGGTGTAGATAGTGTTCTTGACATGGTCAGTAACAGTGGTGACACCAGTAGTTTGCTCTGATGTATGACATATGTCGTGAGAGCACGAGGTGATCGTAACAACAGCAGTGTTAACTTCAGTTGCAGTAACGGTACCATTGGCGTAAGCAGCAGCAGCGATTGCTGGAGCAATAGATAATAATAAAGCTGATGAAAATTTCATGATAGTTTAGCGAGCGTAAATGTCAAAGTAATATTGATATTGTATAAAGTTCAAGTTGAGCACACCTTAACGATCGTCCTCTCTTTTTATACCTGGGTACAATTCACTCGATTTGCCCATGGCTTCGTTTCCTCGAATTTTCCACACATTAATGTCAACACGTAAATACACACTGCCTACTGTCTGGACAACCGTTTGGCATGAAAATGCCCTTCTCGTTTTAGCAAATTTCCTTCGAGCGTTCAGGGTTCGCAATAACACTGCCAAAATCTATTGCAATTGCTTTCTATTATTATCTTACAAGACGCCACTAATTCATTCGAAAGTAACTAACCGTTCAGTTGCCTTACAAATTTTGCAGCTCGGCAGTTTCCCGCGTCGAGATCGAATTTCGCCATTTCTGGAAGTATGAACCTTGATGCAAAAATACTACGTAACAGCACTGTATATAGAGCTCTCGGGAAACATTCAGGACAATAGCATTGCGTAGAACAAATCGATACTCGTTAAGTAGGAGAAGGGTATGGCGGAGTAAAATCTTACAAGGACTCTTATTCCTCAACACTCTACATTCAATTTCTTGCACTTCAGTTGGACTGCGGACAGTTTATTATTTACCAGCTGGATCTTTTTCCATCTAATCAAGACACCTGCGGTAACCATATTATTGCATATGCAACAAAATATGTGGAGAATCACTTGTTGGTTGCTCAAGTGTCGAGATTCTCTATTTAATTTTTTCTAATGTGAGCACTGGTTATTCAGAGCCTTTGGCCGCTATTACTAAAATTTTTAATAGTAAATAAATAGTCGAGCGCCCCTTGCATCCACGCGAAAAATAATACAGCTAGAACGAAATAAATCGCGTTATGGCATTGTATTGTGAGAGAATAGCTTCAAAGTCAATAAACGACTACATCAATCTCCATAGAAGTTGGCTATGTCGCAGACAGTGAATGTTTGACGGACTTGCGAGCAATGTTAAACGACTCACAATTACTGTAATATTTTTTCAATGTACATACTTGGGGTCGCAACTTTCAATTACACTTTTGCGAGACGGAATGCGAAACTTCTCCTCCGTGCTCTATGAGTTATGATTTGCTCACCAAAGAAAGTGCGCGTTTTGAGATCAACGCGAGTCGTCACTATTACACAGTTATTTGCGGGTGGCGATCAGTACCTGTAGCAACCCTTGGTGGCTAGAAAGAGCCCTCATTTATCACCCCACAATGTTTTTTCTTGTGCTTTGAAAAACAACCAAAACACATTTTGGTGGGAACGCTGCTCTCACTGTTAATATTCATTTAGCCCTTATTCATGAAAGTTATTATCTAATAATCGTTTAAAGTATTACAGTTTCATCTCCTTAAATGACTGGGCCTTATCTCATTGTATTTCTTGTAGCTTAGCCTTCAACTCTTGTGACAATATCTCCTCTTTGTTATGGTTGCGAAATTCCATCTTTTTTCAAACTAATGGTAAAAATCCTAAAAAATAAGCTACAACTGATGAGAAAAATTAAAACAAACTAATACATTGACGTATAAAAACAAATTTTCTTTTAGTTTTTTTTAATAAGTCGCTTCTTAACTAGATAATACCACCACTCAAGACTATAAAACGACCTTATAAGTAGAAATCTCGAAACCGCGCAATGAAATATCAACTTCGCTGCCTTTTTTGATTTCCAATTCTTCTTCTTCAAATTCCAAAGCATTGGTTTTGAAAACCTTCTTAATGGGCAAAACTGAAGTATCAAACTTCAAAGTACCCGAAGTAGATCCACCTAAGGATTCATATATTCTCAAGATAAACGACTTTGAACCCTTATTTTTCGAAGGAATTTGGTCATAAAGATTTATGTCTTCATCATCTTCGGACCTCTTCAAGTGAGAGATGATAAGATTACGATCTCCCACCAATTTAATTGCACCGGCCAAAGTAGATAATTTACTAGAGCTGACAGCATTATCTAACTTGTAGTTGAAATTGTATCCGAGCCTTACAGTGTCGCTCCCTAAGCTACCATTGTGAGGGTACAATGCGTATTCAAAGTCATGAGAGCCCATATCTGCACGATCATCAGGAGATTTGGGACTACGTAATAATGATAACCTTATCAAATTTCCATGAATAGAGCCACCGTATTTTGAGTTGTTCAAGATGGATACACCATAGTTATATGCACTCAAATCCATAAACTTGTGATGACAGACTTCAAATTTCGCAACATCCCAAGTAGTATTATAGTGAGTCGGTCTTTGAGTAATTCCAAATTGCGTCTCATAGCTTGCTTGCGATGCAGTATGAATAGTAGTCGGAAATTGGACTTTCAAGAACTTGTAGGTTTCATGCCACTCAACGTGGGACTTAAATTTAATGTAATTATTCTGAGTAACATCCGCATCAGAAGTCAAACCTTCAATGGAAATTTCCGTCTCAATATATGAGTTTGCGGATATTTCATGCTTAACAACCAATGAACTTTGGGCTGGGTCATTCTTAAGAACTTCAACTTTACCGTTATTCAAAAATTTGAACTTATTTAACGAATAAAGTTCCGTATCCCAAGCCGGGAAAGTCAACGGCTCATCGTCAAAAACAACTAATTGATTAGCGCCAACAACTTCTGCATCAGTTTGTTTAGTCCTTCTATTGTCAATAATTTCTCGCTTGTTTACTAAGTCAAGTAAGGAGGTTATAACACCATTATCAGAAATAGTGGCTTTAAGTAAATCATTTGTTAAGACATAGCTATCCTTCATCTTTTTGACAGATGCGGGATATGCAATGTCTTGAGTTGAAACAAACTTGGACCGACCATTTTCTGATTTAACCATAGTAAATAGAGAATCATCATTGATTTTAGAGCACAACCCTTTTCCGCTTTCTTCGGCCAATAGATTGAATAACTCAGAATTTGTACTCCTGTTCACTTTAAGAACTTCATTTCTTCCCCACGGGAGAGAATTCATAAAAGTGTAATTTGATAAAGATGGCTTTTCATCCTTGAGAATATTTAATGCCTTTTCGATAAGATCATCAACTTTTTTTAGCAAAGACGTCAACATGGGTTTTACTTCTTCGTAATAAACCATACCAATACAACTTCCTGGTAAAACGTCATGAAATTGGCATAAGCATAAATCTTCCCATAACTTTTGCAATTCCTCAGCCGGATAAGAATACTCCTTATCCGTTAAAGAAACTAGAGTAGCAATGTATTCCAAATCGTGCAACTTGATCTCACCAAATCTCATGAACTTTTTAACATCTGCTTGAGTGGTATATGTCCCTCTGTGGAACTCTAAGTAAATCTCGCCGCACCAGCTAGGCAAAGAACTACCACCTTGAGAGCGGTCCAACACATCATCATAAAACTCTTCAACAGTATGCCCTAGATGCACGGTAGGAATAGCAGCAGTCTCATTAGCGAATCCTCTACATCTTCTCAATTTCTCAAGCATTTCTTCAGTTGGACCTCCTCCACCATCACCACGACCAAAGAGTAACAAGCCTGTCGGAACATCTCTCAAATTCTTGTGTTGACTTTGAGACCTAACGACTTCACCGAAATGAGCATTTGCAGTGTAAGTATTTGCTGGAGGCATATGAACTAGCACTTGACTTCCGTCTATACCGACCCAGTTAAAAGTGCTCAACGGAAAAGTGTTGATATTGTTCCATGAAAGCTTTTGAGTCAAAAATTTGTCAATTCCAACTATTTGACATATTTGTGGGACTTGTGAAGAATAACCAAAAGTATCAGGTAACCAAAATACTGTAGAGTATAATCCGAATTCGTTATACTGAAATCTTTGGCCTAACAAGAATTGCCTTATTAAAGATTCTCCATTTGGCAAATTCGTATCATTTTCAACCCAAGAACCTCCAATCGGTAAAAACTGATTAGTTGTAAATTTCTGTTTAACTTTAGCGAGAATTTCCGGATGATATTCTTTTAACCATTTGAATTGCTGCATTTGAGAAGCTACAAATATGTATTCTGGATAATCATCTGCAATTTTCAACTGACTCGTCCAAGATCTTACAATCTTCCTCTTAGTTTCTGCAAATGGCCATAACCAAGCGGTATCTATGTGACAATTACCCACACCATAGACATCAATCCTGTTAAGCTTATTTACATCATACACGTTATCAGAGTCAATATTTTTTCCTAAAAGCTTTTGGGCCAAGTCTCTACCTTTTTGAACACTTGAGACATCATTGGGATCAAAGACATTCATTATCTGGTTACAGACTTCATTTGCCTGATACTTCTGCCACAGTGAGCCCGAGAGCTCCCTCGCAGCATCCCCCAAAATCCAGAAATCCCAAAACAACTTTCTAGCAGTAACATTTGGTAAAACCAAATCACACTTACTCAACTGAAAATAACGATTTGGATCCGGGGTCCCATTATCGCCATTTCCAAACATCCCATTACAGGCAATTTCTAAATAGAAAAGTTGCTTCGTTGATATCCAATACTTTTTTGGTAATTTAAAGAGAGTTCTCTCACCGCCACCGGAGAAAGCTTGTAAAGGCATTCCATCTTTATCATATATAAGACCTTCGTTGTTGCAATCCCATTCAAAATCAATTTCTTCAGTCGAGTCTTTGAGCCATTTTTTTGGAATTTCCCATTCAATTTTGAACCAAAACGTCTTCCAAGAAGGGCCGAAGCTGTAACCTTTATTGGCGTCTTCCCAAGTTATTTTGCTCCAGTCAATTTCTTTGAACAATGGCCTCTGAGTTTTACCATCTTTCGAGTCGGGAACCTTATAAACCTTTATATTTATGTACTCCGTGTTCGTATCTACTCTATCGATATCGTAGAATTTCGGTAGATTCAAGTCATGATATTGACCACCCGCATCTACGAATTGTCTCAATCTGTTCTCGAACAAACTATCAATTGGCTTGAAATTAGGCTGCAAGCTAAATTTCTGATACTCTTCTGATCCAGTCATAGCTCAATTCCACAAAAAAGGATATAAAACTTAGCATTCCTTATGAGGATTAAAGCAATGATGCTTTTCCATTTACCTACACGGGGTCGCTAAATCAATATACAGGATAGCCAAGATAAGATAGGTACAACCCACACTAGGAATAATAGTTACTAACTACTTACGTAGACGAAGAACAACGTTAAAATGTATTAACTATACAATTAAAAGTCTTTGTAGAGTCTCTAAAGAGTCAATTCTCTAGCTAAGCTAAATAAGCGAATGAGCAGAGAATTTTAAATTCAGTAGCAATTTTCGATTTCTCCTTAAAAGATAAGAATCAAAGATTACAACTCTCACCAACGATTAAATAATCAACTAACTTTGAATCTTAACCTCTTTATCTTCCTCAATAGTTGCAACGTCGTTATGATTTCCGATAGCTTCGCTGTGGATCGAAGGAAGCTTGGCAGTGAATCCCTTAATCAAGGAAAACTCCGAGGTAATCGATCCTCCTAAAGACTTGATCTTTTCTTTAAGTCCTTTGACATCTGCATCGGACACAGAGTCCTTCAAGGTAATGATATATGTTTTAAGGTCAGTCATAGATGTAGCTTATAGGTGAATTATTTTTACTATTCGATATAGCAAAAGAGCAGTATAGAAGAAAGTGACAAAAGGCTCATTTTCATTTTGCCACTCACTTAGGTCACATTATCACAATTTCATGTCGTAAGGTGCCACGATTATTTAAATTTAAGTATTCCTTAATTTGGAATATTGTAAGACACAATGACATACTATACTCCTCTAGATAGGGTTTTGAATGTGTTTAAGAGAAAAGGATTCTTTCTTTACACTTCTTTAATTGTTTGCTCCACCTTTTACGTGTTTTATTTGATGTCAACTGTGCCGGATATTGAACTAGATGGGAAAAAGGACAGAGGTAATAAACAGCGTAAGAAGGCTAACACGCAGAAAGATAGGAATCAACTGAGGGATAATAAAGAATGAATGCTTACTGAGGTGAGTTCATACTTTTTGAAACATAAGAAAACTAAAAGAATGGGATACGGCATTGTAAAGGATTTAGACTGCCAAAGTCTATGTGAATCATTGCTTAAGTGGAGAAAAAACAGTCTTTGGACAAAAGAGAATAAGCAAGGTAGCAATCGAAAATACGTAGGAATGTTAATAACCGCTAAGGTTGCAAACTGTGCGTTACGGGTCAAAACAAAGGAAATCGCAAATCGAGCTAATATAAATATCTTAGCAATACCCTCCATCGTAGGTCTAATTGTACTTTAGGTCTCATAGAATAACATTATGCTTTAAAATAGCGGAAATAATTAAATAGGTTATTGAACCAACTCCTCTCGAACTCTAATTTTCACTATTGTCAGGTAGTGATTTCCAGGCGTGCAATCTTGCTCCTTATAGCTTCTTATATTACACTGCAAATAGAATTGTGGATTAATGTGTTCACCGTATTCAGGTGGCTTCAATATGACGGAAGCAATTTGTCCATCATTTTCTGACAAATCATAGTCTGGTACACGATTGCTTTGAGACCGAGAATTCCCCATTATAAAAGGAAAATTGTGTCTCTGCTTATTCAAAGCTATTAAAATTCAATTCAAGACACATTATATTAAAATGGTTAAAGCAGGTATGTAAACACTCAATAATTTCGTTAGATCTCGCTTGAACAGTATACATCAGATCAATTGACTAGATTACGCTACATTTGGGGAATGTGAATGCTCATATGCGGCAAATACCAAGGTAGTAATATTATTTGCTCAATGGATTAAATTCGGTTTAAGCGAAGGGAAGATCACAGATCTGATGTCAAGATAGACCAGTGGTATCAGTTACTAACAAATATCTAGTCGCAGTTTTAAGAGGAGATTCAAAAGTTACTGGAGTAGTCAATTTCGAGCAAGCCTCGGAATCAGACCCTACTACAATCACTTACAAGATTTCAGGTAATGATGCAAATGCCAAGAGAGGGTTCCACATTCATACCTTTGGTGACAACACCAATGGATGTACCTCAGCTGGTCCACACTTCAATCCTTTCTCTAAGGAGCATGGTGCCCCAGAAGATGACAACAGACATGTTGGTGATTTAGGTAACGTTTCTACAGACGGCAGTGGTATTGCTAGTGGAACTATCAAAGATAGCGTGGTCAAGTTACTTGGTGCTAACTCTATTTTGGGTAGAACCGTTGTTGTTCACTCTGGTACTGATGATTTGGGTAAAGGTGGTAACGCTGAATCCAAGAAAACAGGTAATGCAGGTACCAGACCAGCTTGTGGTGTTATTGGTATTTCCGAGTAAGTCATCGCTTAGTTAGTCATAGTTATGAGTGTATGTAACTTGTTTTAAACGTATTTGTTTTAACTGCTCCTACAAAAATTATATGATTCTCTAAAAAATGTCTTCAAATATCTATTTTGAGTATCATCAAACCTGATTGGGAAAAACATTACAGAATACTTTGTAAGTCCATCGTGTATATCGTCACTCTAAAATCCATGAGTCGTGAACTCGTTCAAAGCACGGCAGGTTTTTTTTCCTGATTATCTTAGGTGCTTGCATCCCAAAATTGAGTCCGTAACATTATCCCATTCTTCGAAACAGCAAAGTATTTCGATAGGACAATAGTATTATTTGAATAGCTGTTGGAAAAAGAAACACCGCTCTCAAGTGGATGACTACTACCTTCTTTTATAATTTCCTGCGAGTTATTAGTGAGGTGGTCTTGAACAAAAACTATTGTTATCAAATATCTGCTGTTTTTTGGGATAGCACGGTTAGCCAGAAATGCGGGTGCCGCAATTAAAACACGATTTCATGTTGCAATTTCTGATATCTCGATATTACTACCGGTTCTTAGAAACATTCTAAAGAGATAGTAACACTTAGCGACCGAAAGACATCGATCTGATAACAGTATACTAGTATACGTTGTAATTCAACATGTACTTAGCCCATGTTAAAAAAAGGTATATATTGCAACTACCCTTGATTAATTTAGCTTCAATGAGCCCACAAGGAACCGCTTGGTATTGTTTGCATTAAATATTCCCATACGGTAGTCTCTATTGTCTCGTTTAGCAAAAGAAAGAGTTAAGCAGTCATTTTCAAAGCATGGCTCCGGATTCTTATAGCTGAAACTTAGGGCACCTGGTGCTGTATTATTTAAATTGAACCAGTACAACAACAAAGTCACCATGAATGGCCCTTGAACAAGGATGTTAGGTAAATGTTCTTGTGCAGCACAATATTGCCTATCGTAATGAATTTTATGCATATTGTATGTTAAAAAACTATACTTCATAATTTGTTCCATACTCAAAGATAAGGTCACCCTTTTTTCATCTTCAATATCACACAAGGAACTGAATGCGTTTTCCAGTGTGCTGCTTTTCGGCTTATGTCGTGTATTCGTATACACCAAGTTCCTGTTTTCCCTTAATAGTAAACAACTATGCTTGTCATAAAAGCTTCTATCGATACTAACAAAAGCTGAAGCTCCCAAATGTCTTACAGACTTTACCAATTCCTTGCATGTAAGCGAAGAGTTCAACGCAATCGGATGGCCAAAAAATGTGACGTTTCCTCCTACCCACATTCTTCTACTGAATAGCTCTGAGCCATTCTGCATATCAATAGGGGCTTGATAATTGTCGTATCCATCTGCACCCAAATGAATGTTAGAAGAATTGTTATATAGGAAATGAAATCCTAATGGTAGGATGTTTCTTGATAATCGATTTGCCAGCTCCCCCGAATTAAAACATGGGATTGAAGTAAGTAAATCATGCAAATTATTCGCTTTTCCAATTGAAGCAGTATCTTCAAATACCCACTCTTGTGACTTGATATAATTAGCCCATGCCTTAACTTTCGAGGCTCTATCCATAACCTCTAATATATGAATATTTAGTTCCTGTCATCGATGCTCATCGTTCGAGATTAATATTTAGTACAGAAATTTTAAATTTTATATCTTTTTTTTTTTTTTTTGAAAAAAAATTTATTGAATAGAGGCCGTTGAAGTCTTTATTATAGCATTCACTTTGGTATTATAAGATGAGTACGAGCGAAACTTTAAAGAATATAAAGAATAAGCAAAAGCGACAGCGCGTTTTTGCTGAGCTCAAGCATGAAAAAAACAAGGAAAGGCATAAATTAAGACTTGCTAGAATGAAGGAGGAGAGGCTAAACCCAGAGCTAAAAGATGAAAGATTGAAAAGCAATGTACCTAACACTATCGAAAACATGAGAGTATATGACGAAACAATTGGAACTGCTATTGAAGGTGAGGACGAATTTGCACAATACTTCCAAGATGGTAAAGCTCCGAAAATACTATTGACAACAAATACTTATGCAAAAAAAGAAGCTTACGAATTTGCAGATATATTAATGGATTTCTTACCAAATACAACATTTGTCAAGAGAAGGAAGGATTATTCTATCAAAGAAATGGCCAAGTACTGTAATAATAGAGAATTTACGGATCTAGTGGTGATAAATGAAGATAAGAAGAAAGTAACTGGTCTCACATTCATACATTTGCCAGAAGGTCCCACATTTTACTTCTCCATTACTTCTTTGGTTGACACTAAACAAATTCAGGGCCATGGACGTGCAACAGATCATACCCCTGAATTGATTCTTAACAATTTTCAGACAAGGTTTGGAAAATTAGTGGGTAGACTTTTTCAATCCCTCTTTCCACAGAGACCAGAGATTCAAGGTAGACAAGTTATAACACTTCATAACCAAAGAGATTTTATATTTTTCAGAAGACATAGGTACATTTTTAGAAATGAAGAGAAAGTGGGTTTACAAGAACTCGGGCCCCAATTTACTCTTAAACTCAGAAGAGTCCAAAAGAACGTCAAGGGTGACTTGATCTGGGAGCATAGACCTGACATGGAGAGAGACAAGAAAAAGTTTTACCTTTAGGCTTCCTAATCCTTTATATACGTCTATACACTTCAATTTAATATTAAACCGCGCAGTACTGCATATAAACAGTCGCATGGCCCATAGGAAAAAAGTAAGCATTTGAGCCGCCTTTAATCAGACGATTCAATAAACATAGGTCACTGCGTATAAAGGCATTCAGCAGAGACCTTGAACTAGTAAAAGGTATTGTTGATCAACAAGTATTATATATTGACCGAATTACTTGAGGAAGAAATTTAATCTTTATTGAAGATATTTATCCTAGACGCCACTAGATATTGTTCCTTCGTGTTTTGAGAAACGCATATAGGAGAGAACCTTGTGGACAGTGGGGTCAAATATCACAAAGAAAAAAGATCACCTTAGACTCAGTCAACACCTTTCTACCTCAGTTTGGTGCAAATCGTATCAGGGATTGAACACTTTACTGGGAACGCATATATCTTGAGACTATATATCAGATGACCATGGACAGTAATGGCGTCAACCAAATAATTACAGCCTTAGGCGTTATACATGACCCAAAATCAAGCAATTCACAAAGAGGAGATGCACAAAGGTTCTTGGAATCTATAAAGTCTGATGAAGAGTCTCCTTTTTGGGGTTATCAGTTAGCTCTCGCCGAAAATAATGGTAAGAATTATATAGTGCGGCATTTTGGACTTTCATTATTACAGCACTCCATTAACAAACGTTGGCAGCTGTTTGATACGACAAAGTCTCTAGCAATTAGAAACTGGGTTATTGAGTTATCTAATAAGATGGACTCTGATGATCCTCACTACTTAAAAGAAAAATTGGCTTATTTATGGACATCAATTGCCAAAAGAATCTGGGGAAGCTACTTGGTCAAGGCAAAGGAGTCATCGATTAGTGATGATGATATTCTTGATGGCTGGGCTTCAATGGATGCAGACTTATGGAAGTTGTGGAATAGTAATTTAATTTCTCGAGAATTGTCTTTAATTATAGTCCGCACACTTTTCGAAGATATATATCTTCTAGATGATGTTATTGCTTCCAAAAGAACTGCGATTTTGAATCAGCTCAGTGTTCTAATTATTACTTCCGATGAGGTTTTAAATTCACTTTATGAGCCGAATCCTAACTTATCAGTCTGCAAGAACTCTGTCGATGGTTGGTTCGTTACTTGGGTAAAATTTCTAATTGAAGTTTTATCGACCAATGAATTTTCAAGTCCAACATGTCAGACATTCGTGCCAAAGATTTTATCAACATTTAAAACTTGTTTGCATTGGGTTCAACCGTCATTATTAAGGGAAGAAAATATAATGCAGACCTTGATAACAATCTTGACAATACCCGACGTCAAGTTAAAAACATTAGCTGTAGATTGCTTGCACATTCTTTTTACGAGAAGCTACAGCGACGAAGAGGATTTCAACTTCTTCATTGGTAGTATTTTTACGACGCAAGGCATTGAGAATTTATCTCAATTCTACCAGTCCTTAGAAATTGATCCTGATGACATAGATGAGCTGGTTTATTCTCTCTTGAAAAAAACAGTAGAGATGATAGTGTCATTGAGTGAATACTTAAACATTGGGTCAAAAAATAGGATATCATGGGATAATGCGGATGTTGACAGTTATTTGAAGTTAGTTTTAAAAACAACTAACCATCCTAGTTTAATCATAAGTGGATTGTCATTACAAATGTGGGTAACAATTTTAAGGTTTGATGAATTGAGCTCAAAGGACCCAATAAAGGGCATATTGTTAGAGTTATTGGAAATTGCGGCCAACAGGACAATAAATTATACTTTAGATGAAAATGTATCGAAGAAATTTTTGGACGTGGATTTCGACTCTACTCCTGATGCAAACTCATTTTTGGCAAACTATAAAAAATTTAATGAGGATATTGTAAGAATCACGATTTGCAAGAAGCCCGAAGAAGGCTTAATGTGGCTCGAAAGAAGACTTCAAACCTTTTTCAGCTCTGATCTAGGTGCAGAATGTATCAATAATTATAAATTAGAGGAAAATTCGGAGGCTTTCAATTATGGTACGGCGCAATTTAATATTTTAGAAAATTGTATGAGAGGTATTTCGAGGTGGAGAATTTGGTACTCTGAGGATGATTTTGATGCGATAAATGGCAGGTTGAATAAATTGGTTGAAAGTCTCGGTGAAAGATTACTCGCTATGAACCTAGCATCTCCTCTATTGATAAGGAAACAAGTGCAAACTTTAGTTCAATTTGCACCGCTATTAAAAGACGTGAGTCCTTTAATGTTTCAAGTTCTAGAAAAAATTTTGACAACAGCAACGATTGAGTATCCACAGGATGATGATGAAAAAGAACTAATTCGAGATTTGAGAACATGCTGCGGCACTGAATTGAATAGAATTGCCTATATAATGCCAGAGTCCTTAAAAAAGATATTTGGCGATTTAGAGAACGTAGTGGCTAATATCTTATCATCAAAAAAGGTGACAGATCATGAAAATGTTGCTTTTAAATCATTTTTACTCGTAATAGCCTCTAGGTCTTCCTTGAGTGGAAAAGATGAATTATTCGCTAAGATAGTTGATCCAGAGATGGCGGCATGGTCTGCCCCAGAAACAGAAAAGGGATTGATGGATTTGCATTGGTTTATGGAAAGAATGGGAATTGTTGAGATCGCAGGTTATTTTCAAAGGAGAGGAATAACGGCTAACACTAACCTTCTTGAGGCCAAAATGGATGATGAAGGAAGAGGGTTGAAGAACAGGTTGAAAGATCGCTGGTCTTCTATATTTCCGATCAGAGCAACTAGAATTTTCATTCAATATAGTATTGAAAAATTGAGCCATGATTCTCCTGAGTACTTAAAATTGTTAAAATTATGGAAACCAAGAGTTCAACCAATTATACCGCATATATTACAATTGCTTACACAGATCCAGGCTTATCACAATCCTGGAAATTGGAAAGAGTTGCCTGATGAGGTTCAGTCGTTTGTTCGTTATAGTTGTATGGAAAGATTTTGGCAACAGGGTGTATCAATTCAATCGAAGGAGACATTCATAGAAGAAAATGTGAAGGCGGGACTCACCTTAAGGGATTTTGCGGATTCTGTTGGTCATTTAATACGATACACCAGGGAATATGCATTTTTGACTATAGGCTCCTTATCGCAGTTGGAAGATACCTTGTATGAAGTTCCAAATATTGCTAGTATGATTTGGAAATCTGTCGCAGGTGATACTACAGGGGTGACTTTGCATAGTTGGAAACATATGATCAATAGTTGCTTGAGAAGTGTCGTTAGAAATTGCCCAGTGAAATACGTGGATATATTTATGTCCGATCTTTTGCCAAAGGCATTTACAGATATAGACAAATTACTAGTCGAGAGATGGGAAAAAGTATATTACAATGGGCTTCAGTTACAAGGCAATGAGGATGATGAAACGTTGTCGGAGGAGATGATGGAGGAGCATATGCTAAGACAATTAATTGCTACGGTGGTGAGATTTTTAATGGACTTAGTCAGTCAGTTTAATGCAAAAAATGTTACAGATACTCAAATTGCTTGCAAAAGGTTAATTATTGAAAATAAGGATGTGATGGCACCGTTTTTGCAAATTTGTTGCCACATTATTATGTTCAAGGACACAAAATGTTCCTTTAATACCATCTTGGTTGTCAGAAACGTTCTCGGTGACATTTTGTTGAGGGATGATGAAGTTGACAAATACCTATGCGAGAATCTTGTGAAAGCCTTACTCCATGTCTTGGTCGACGATTATTTTGTTGAAACTCATTCAGAAGCTGCAATAGCACTTACAACATTATATTGTGCTTTAAGGTCGAAGAATGATTACCCAGCTAGAATGATGATCCAGTATTTGCCAAACGTAACAACTCAGCATGTTAGTAACTTTGAGACTTTGCTAATTAGTTCCAAATCATTAAAGCATCAAAGATCGGCATTATTAGAATTAATTAGAATTTCAAAGGATACAGAAGGGGATGAAGAAGACGACTTGAGCAAACGAAAGAAAGAATTGGATGTTGTTGAGGCTAGGAAGAAGAAAAACCTGGCGATCGACGTGATGAATGATCCTTTTACGGAAAATGGAGCCTTAAATAATCTTTTTGGTGAGGAATAACCCTATAAGACATATATAATCTGTATTTATAGCTTAATGAAATGGTAGATCATTGTAAGTGTCAAACTTCTGATGGCAATTGTCTTTTACATCCGTCAGCTTAGATATTTCTGAGATTCACAAAGTAACACAAAGTCGTGAATGCAACGAACTAGAAACTAAATTAAGATTGACGATCATAACAATAAGTAATTAGGTGTCAATTTGAAAAATCAACTAATTTAAAAGAATGCCAATTAAATCACTTGAGTCGTATTTGTTCGAAAGAAAGTTGGTAAATACTAGCTCGATTGAGATATTGCAAAATGCCACCATTGGAATAGACGTTGATCATTATTTAAGCAGGATTTACACATTCAAGAAAGAACAATTTTTAGCTGGTACAGGAGGAATACCGAGCTCTCTTAAGGATTATATTCAGTCAGATTTACAAGTGTTCCAGGAATTCAAGATAAGGCCCATTTTTGTTATTCCAGGATTGAGCATTCAATTGCAGAACACGTCTTACAGGACCAATGAATTATCTCCGCAAGAACAGCACTTAGAGAGTACGTGGTCGAAGCTAAATAATAAACAACCATACTCGAGTATTGAATCGTTTAGGTTATTTACAGACCCTCTACCATTAAAGCCAATGATAAATGATTTAATAAAGTATTTTATCGAGATTGGTATTGACTATCTAATTTCACCATATCATTCGTCATTTCAATTATCTTATTTATATCAAAATAATCTTATTGACTCAATTTATGGTTCTACAGACCTATTATTAACGAAAGCGGATAGATTTATCTTGGGAATGGAGTTCCAATCGAAGGATTTTAGGTTCATCGATAAGGCAAAAATTTTAGGTGAGCTAAATTTAACAGAGAAACAATTTGTTGATTTGAGCATAATGGTGGGGTGTAATATCCAACCAAAAACATTTTCTATTTTTCCACCGCTTCCCAAACCAAACCCTGTTCAACCATATCCACAGCTTAGCTACTTCAAGTTGGGTCTTGATATAATTTACCAGTATAACACTTTCAATAATGCTAATGACCTCTCAGGGTATATTATAGGTTTGAATGATCCCAAATTGCTTGAGCTATATTTAATGGGTCATTCAGCTATCAAATTTTTGCCTGTTTTGAATAAGGAGGGCTTTGTTGAATTGTATGACGTAGAAATGGCTAAGTTAGGTTTGAAGGAGGATATTGATTTTTTGAGCGATGAGGAAAATGGTAAGTTAAAAGACAGAGCCATAGAAAAAGCAAAAGCAAAAGGTACAGGAAAGGATCAAAGAGATCCACAATCGACAGAGAGAGAAGTTGTAAAGGTACCAAATAATGTTCATGATATCATATCGCAAAGGCTTCCTCCAGAATTATATTTTTATCAATCTATCGGTTTACTTCCAATCAAATTACTTGAATCTATTACTCAGGGGCACATTGAAATAAGACCTAGCTTGGAGAGTGGCTTGAGTGATAGCTATAAGAATTTAATTACCTCTGAGTTTTATACCACTATTCTTGATTATCAGTTTAATTTGATAACTCAACTCTTAGCGAGGTATTATCAGGTCAAGAAAATCAATGTTAAGTACTGGTTTAAAGACGAAGCTTTGGAATTAAATAATAGGTTAGCACCGCCTGTTTTCCAAAGAGTAAGTTCAATATTTGTCCGTGGTCCAAAGTCAGATAAATTTTCATTGTCGAGGTTTTTCACTGACACAAATGATTCGAATATCATTGGCAGCTTAGAGAGCAATAATAACAATGAATTAATTTCGTCAGTTTTATTGCGAGCTTTATATTTGTTTGGGATCTTTGATTCGAAGGGGAAAAATTTTTCTTCAATCGGTATAATTTTCAATAAGCTAATTCAGAAAGAGAAAAACATAAGTGAAGAGGATTTACAAGAACTTTTCTTGCTCACCTTATTAATAAAGTCTAAATGCTTGAAACTCACAGAGCCCAATAGAGAATTTTCAAGCGTCCCAAAATACTTCAAGGAATTTAACAACGAAGTAATTTCCAGTGAAGAAGTGAAGCATATAACTTTGGTATCCAGGATATTCTCTCTTCATAAGCTTCATATTGCTCCAATAAATTATCAAGGGCCTATATCTCGAACACTTTTGAACTTCAGATCACATATCAAGTTTCTTACTGACCATTTCATAAGCACAATTCAGTGTTTAATTGTCGACTTGATTGTCCGTCAGAAGGACAATAGCATTAAAAAAGAATTCACCGAAAAAGAAGAGTGGTATCTGTTGATTGATCAGCTTCCATTTTTCAGAGATCTCAACAACACTTTATTAGGTGTTGTGGCTGAAATATATTTCGAATACTCGGTCAAGCAGGCCAAGACACAGAAGACCAAAGATGAGATTATAAAGAATACAAAAGACCATTTATTAAATTATGTGTATCAGATCAACAATCCTTCCTTCAACATAAATGTTCATGGTGTTAACAGCATTACAGGCGACCAATTGCTAGCAGATTTCGAAGGTGGTATTAAATTTTGGAATAAGTTCGTCAGTTTAGCCGAAATAATTGTCTCCGAAGATAGTTCTTTGATTGACGAGAATTACTACGCTGAGATAAAAAATACGGACACCTGGATTCAGAACTTTATATGAACAATCCAGTAAAGACTTTATAAGTAGATCTATAAAATAAAAGGTTAGGATAAATTTTTTTTTTATTTTTTGCCATTTTCTTAGATGTCCTTGGATAATCAAATTAGCATCTCATCAATATTTCCGTTCTCAATAGATCTTCGGATGCGAGCATAATAGCGAAAACTCGAAAATCGTATTCTGCCATTCTCTAGAATATATCAGGAGATTTCTATTTGAAAAATATTAGCAATGCTAATATCTAAGACTACGATTCAACTTGGTAACTTTTCAAGAAGACTAAGTATTATATCAAAATTCAAACCCTCCTCCAAAAACGATATCTCCAGAGATGTTTCTGATAGCAATAAACCAACTGGAACAGGAAGGGGACCATTTATAGAACTTCCTCATTTCAAGCCATTGGGGAGTCCCAGTAACTTATTAAGCGTAACTTTGCCACAGCATTCAAGATTGAATATCAGAGAAGGTTCTATAGTAGCTGTAAATGGTAATATAGATGGACTTGCAACTAATCGGAAATCACTCACCACGCATACCCCCTATAGGGAGTTGCTGTCTGAGTCATCTGTATCTTTAGTGATAAGTGGACAGAAATACAACTACTCTATGATATCAATAGATAAAAAAGATGAGGAATGGCTTATTTTAGATGATCAAAACATAATTGCATGGACTGGATTCAATTTTGAATTGTCTCCGGTGTCACTTTACAAGAGGTTCAAAAGCTTTCAAACAAAAGGGAAAGGTGTCATAGTAGTCAATGGATCTAATCAACTATTTGACATTACGCTTGATCTGGAAGAAGAACTTCTTTTGAATCCGACTTCATTGATAGCGACAAATAGTCGTCCAGAGTTAGAAATTTTACAAACAAAGGGCTTTTTTCGAAGAATATTTCTGCTTCCAGAGGGTTCGATGCATTCTTTCATCTCTAGAATTCGCTCGGTTGAACTTCCAAAACTCTCTTTACCGGTTCCACGCAGGTTCTTAGATCGATTATCAAAACATTTAGCTTCGTGGAGCCCCAAAGAGTACAACTATCCGGAAGCACTTAAGAAAACCAAGCCCATCTTTATATTTATGGGAAGTCTAATCTCTTGGGCAAGGTTGAGAATTGTGAATAGGTTAGCACATCATAGTGCAGTATTCTTGAAAATAAAGGGCCCTGCAAAGCTCCTTGTGCACAACAGCAGGGCAGTTCCAAACCAAAAATTCTTCACAGAACAAGAAATCGAGGCCATATTTTCTTCTAAAGGTAAGCTATGATGAATTGTTTACTGTTAAAGCCTTAAGGCGCCTAAAAATTTCTTTTCCGATCTCTCTCGATCATTATGATATAGTAAAACAAAGAAAAAATTTTTGAGAATACAATTCCGTAGTTTCGAATACTCTTTTCGATTCAATTCTTTTTGATAATAATAATAGATTAAACTCGTCGCTTTATGGTCTTATAGACTACTAGAATTTATACTTAAGTCTTTGATTTATTGGACAAAAAGGACCATAAAGAGGATTGATTCTACAATTAATAGAGCAAAAACCTCAAAAAAAAAAAAAACACTGTTATTCTTAGATGGAGATTTCGAAAATTACATCACCGGAGGACTGGCTTTACTTTGCAAAGGGAAGCGCAAATTTACTACTCAAATACACGGGTACAAATGATTATTTGAGACATAAACTTTTAAGAGTCCGGCTCTTAAAAGAAGACGAGCAATATATATCGACGTGTGAGTTGTATGATTTTATCGAATTGAAATGCAAGCATCTTTTTCCACAACAGATAATTGACATTCAGCTAGTGGTATTGACTAAAGACTTCACGAATCGGTTAGATAATAGGGGAAATCCTTTAATGTTAAAGGAACGATACGGGTTATTGATCCCAAACATTTTGGATGGTGAATATTCGAAAGAGATACTTTCAAAAAACTGTCAACTTTATGTAAACTCTTCAGTTGACGGAAACAGAGTCAACTCAGTAATTTTCGAGATCAAGCCAAAATGGCTCTATGATAACAAAAACTCCAACTATTGTAGAACATGCCTGTTAAATCAGTTGAAAAAGCTACCGAGACATTTCTGCCCTCTTGATTTATTGTATCTAAACACGATCGATCAAGGCATAGATGATATCTTCCTGGCGATTCCTAAAGAGCTATTGGAGAATGTTGAGAGTGAAAATGGTTTGCCACTAAAGCGCTTGTTTAGGGTTCTTTTGAAGAATCCGGATAACGTATTTCAAAAACTAAAGGAATACCAAAGAATAAACAACAAGAATGATTTAATCAAGAATCTAACCTCAGAAAAAGATGTACTGCAAAATCTATCGCTAGTGATGACTCTTCGAGATGTTGGCCTCTTCATAAAATTTGAGAAATATGATAGGTTCAATGATGCCCACAATTCACACAACAATATTAATAACTTGATCGAACTAGAAGGTTTCGGAAAATATCTAGTCACTTGTAATATTTATGACTTGGATTTGAAGTCAAATTTGAAGTACAGGCACTGGCTTGATATTGAAGAAAGATTACAAAGCATATATAATTCCTACAACACTAAATGGCGTTGTTGCGTTAAAGTTGATAACGGAGAGTGTATTTAAACTCATATTAGATCTTAACTACCATGTATATTTTATTCATTTATTTATTTCAACATGTTGCATTAAACTAGTCATTTATACATTATTGAACATAATTTGAATATTTAAACAATTTCGATATTTTGCCTTTTTTAAGTCCTTCACCATATGTCTTCCTGATATTTGTTTTGAACTTTATAAGATCTGATTAATTCAGCAGCTCTTTCAAATGTAATATTTCTTTCGGTAGATAAGATCTTAGTTATAGCATTCTGAACATCTCTTGCCATTTTTGAAGCATCACCACAAACATATATGAAAGCACCTTCTTCCAATAATTTGCTAATCTTGGATGCATTTGCTGATACTTTATCTTGCACGTAAACTTTTTTCGAAGGGTCTTGTCTTGAAAACGCGGTGTACATTTGAAACGATACACCTAGCTCTTTAGCATATTCCGGCCATTCTTCTTTATACAAGAAATCCTCCTCTTCAGTTCTGCAACCATAAAACAAAATAGTCTCCCCCACTTCGCTTCCGTTATTTTTTTGAACGATCCTTTCTCTAACGAATCCTCTGAACGGTGCAACACCAGTACCTGGACCAATTAATATAATTGGAACACTAGGGCTACTTGGTAACTTAAAAGTTGATCTTCTAACATGAACGGGCAATTTGAATTTGTTATACAAATCCCTTGGACCAGACAAGTCGTAATGTACTAAAGGTTTATCCTTTGAGCCATTTTGCACAATTTCTATATCCTTTAATAAATTTGTAACAACACCAGTAATTATGTGGTCCCCAAGATCTTCGCCTTCCACAACAGCAGTGATGTGTATGCTTGTCTTCTCAGACAAGGACGATGAAGAAATTGAATAGTATCTTGGTTGTAAATGAGAAATAGATTCGATAATGAATTCAAAAGGCACGTCTTTCCAAGGTTCCCCTTTAGATATATGTAATAAAGCATCGGCAATATTATATCTCTTGTGGTGGATTTCCTCAGCAAAGGCCACCTTATCATTTCCTAATCTTAAAGTCTCCTTTTTGGCATCCTCACTCGGAGCAAAGTTAGCAATTGAAGAAATGAACTGCCTTGAAACGTCTCCTGATATTTCAAGATGGTGTCTAACAACAGCTCCATAAGTAATAGGCGTGTGAAAAGGGATAGATACAGTAGAATCAAGTGCTTTCAATTCGAAAATATCATCAAGTTTATCACCTAGTCCAAAAGCAGTAAGAAATGACTCGATATTCTCATTACAATTTGATGGCCATATAGCCAAATGGTCACCTGTTGTATATCTTAAGTTGGTATTAGACAAATCAAATTCTGCATGAACGCAAAATCTATCTTTTGAATTGAATAATTCTTTGGATTTCACAATTTTTGACAAATAAGGATGCGTGTGATCAAATGGACCTTTGCTCAAATCGGACGTGTGCGATAAATACAGCTTGTCTGGCTCACCTAAGGAAACATTAGGACTGTCAATACTCAAATCAAGTCTTTCAATTAGCTTCAAACTTGGCTCATATACAGACTCCCGTTCCTCAAAATCTAAGTTACTCTTTAATGAGTCAAAAACTGAGTCTTTCCAAGATAAAAAATCTTCGTCCATTGTACCTTGACCATCATCACCTTCGCCGTATGGTGCAAATCTTTCAGCTCCTAATTCCTCCAATTTTGTATCGAACTTCTTACCAATGGCATTATAGAACTCATAGGTAGAGTTACCCAAACCAAAGACAGCATACCTAAGGCTCGATAACGTGTCGGCTTCATTATCCATCCACTCAACGAAATCAATGGCATTGTCAGTAGGCTCTCCTTCACCATAAGTAGCGACGATGAAAAAACACAAGATATCATCCGTAATGTCAGCGAAGTTCTCGTATTCATAATCAGCAAAATCAACGTTCATGACACTCAAGCCAAACTTTGAGCTCAACTCTTTGGACAACTTAGAAGCGTAGTCCTCAGCTGTACCAGTCTGAGATCCATAGAAGACAACGGTGTTCTTATTATTTTTTTTTAGCACTGATATCAAATCAGTTGAAGTTGTAGCTTCAGCATTCTTAAGGAAGCCACCTTGGTTGTCCTCAACACCCCAAAGTTTTCCCTTAGTGAAAAATGCTAAAGTCCCAATAACGAGGGCCACCAAGACGGCGATATCCAACGAATCTAATGCCATTTTATTTACAGCTCGATCAAACAACTGATTATAACAATTGTCCAACTTCAAGCCGATGTACCGTTTCAGCAAACTTGAATAAATAAGCAAAAGATGAAAGTCTATTAAGATCTCTTACTTTTTATCTAAAGATCTTTCGCCAAAGAACAATCGAAATTTCCTTTACCTCTCAATAGCGTCTATAGTGACTAGTCTTAAATCCACAAAGTTTATTTCAAACGTTGGTGTATGTCAATGACTATTGCAAGCAGTTCGAACGATATAAATTCTATTTAATGTAGTGTTTTTTTTTTTGTTCAATTATATTATACGTATCAGTTATACTATTTTGGTACATATGCCGACCTTTCAACGGAATGATTTTCCTTGATCGGAATTACTTGATCTTGTGAAAATTTGTATTCCGCGCCGCAGTCTCATGATAATTACCGAGAGGGGGGAGTCAAGAAACAAACTGCAAAACGCACATAGCGGAGCAGATCATGTGTCCTGATATTTTATCGGGATCTCTTAAATCAGTTTATTATATGCTGCATCTACAACGTGTAGACATCTGTCCTAATCTGCAAACTCGTCATCGTGAGTAAAGTCGTCTTCTAGGGACTGGATAACAAGACTAGGCGAAGGAATTTGTTGCACCACCGAAGTCATAGTAGGCTCTTCTTGTAAAGTGGGATCCATGGCCTCCAAGTCTTTAGGAAGTATCTCGAGAGCTCTTTCTATAGTGATAAGCACGCGTTCAGCTGTGTGTCTGTCAAATGTCTCTCCGTAGATTATCTTGAAATAAGAAAATAGTGACTCTGGAGGAAATTCCACAAGAGCGCGTCTTCCTAATGCAAATTCAACCACAGTGGAAGATTCAGTAGAGCCCTTTAATTGTTGCTTGCTGAGATAATCCTTCTTGACAAAGTCAGCAACCAATTCGTAAATATTTAAATTATAATTCGTATTTTTGATGTTCAAATTGTCAGCGAGTCCAAAGGACTTTAATATTTTGACCAAATCATGTTCTAATAATCGATTTTCATTAAGCACCAATAAAGATATCACCAAGAGCAAAATTCCTTGCTTGACCAACTCGTGGTTGCTAGAAGGGTTTGAGGTTCTACTATGTTTGGGTAAAAAGAATTCATTTTGATCCACATTGATGGCATTTATATCTGTATTGGGGGTTTCTGTAAAATTCTTACTCCAAAGCTGTCCCAATATATCCTTAGATTTTGTATTCATACAGTTTGTTAGCAAAAATAACTGCTTCGATTTCAGATTTTCTCTATGTTTAGAACTTTCCTTATTATTCACGGGGGCTTCGCTTAATGTCATGCCGTAAACGTCTTCTAATATTGATGTAACTTCACTCATAATAGTATTATAACTTGCTTTGCTTTTCGAAATAATAGGACTGATGTGGTCTCTTCTTATGAGTTGTCCTTTCAATTCTCTACCCAAGATAGTGCGGATGATCTGTGCAATCAAGACGCTTTGATTGTCTTCATTGTTATTTCTCTTCCTTTTATCCTTCCCAAGCTCTGACTCAACTTCATCCGATCGTTCTCTTGACCGTTTTGGCATGACACACAGAGCTCGTACTATCTACCAAGTTCAAACTTTCACACTCAAGCTAATACCTTGTACTGATACAAAACCTTATAACCTGATTTTGCTGTGGACTATCACGCGTACTATCGTCGATAAACAAAAGGTTCATGTGATAGTAATGTCCTGGAGTACAAGAAAATAAAGGATCATAAATTATATGATACGCACAGCGTTATATAATTGTGTTTTCTATTCTCGCTTTTTCTTATTGATGCCAATTGCTTTTCGATGTCACGATTCTAAGATGAGTAGAATTGGCTCTTAAAATTGAACCAAACGCCACACTTATCTTCATTTACAACATAATGGCTGATAAGGTATAGTAACAGCAGGTGTCAACTGCATCATTTAATAAATAATATTAATAAAGAGCAGCTTTATGTTGATTTAAAAACATATCTACAATGTAGTATTAGCCATAAGGCTAAACTAATGAAAGACCTTTGTTTGAGAAATGGGTTGTATAGTGTAGTGGTTATCACTTTCGGTTTTGATCCGAACAACCCCGGTTCGAATCCGGGTACGACCTTCTTACATTTTTTTTTTTTATACTTCTTATTAAGCTTTAAAATACAAAAGGTTGCTTTGTCTTAAGAAAGTAATATGTTGATATCTGTCGTTAAGCAAGCTTAGTTCTTTATGTGCAGATGTGGTTCTTATGAGCAAATTATAGTAAAGCTCAAGCTAGTACTTTCATATGAGTAGTGTAAGCACCGAATACCATATCTATATAGCACATGATAGAGTAACCTCAAAAATGTATAGGAGTAGAGGTGCTTTTGATTAAGAATTGGGATTTAAGAAGAAGAAGAATAATAATAATAGCAATAAGAAGAAGAAGTAGAAGTAGAAGAAGAATGGGCGAAGATATTCTCTCTGAGAACACAGATAATTTAGCGGATACTCATTTACCCTCTAAATCCACGAAGTATCAAGATGTGAGTGTTAAAGATTATTCAAGAACTTTTAATCTTTGCGGAGCCAATGACAGACCAGATTTACGAAATGCAGAATATATGAGTCCAACGGAGCATTTGAATTGTCCCATTTGTCAACAACCATTTTTTGAACCTTTGACCACCGTCTGCGGTCATACATTTTGTAAAGATTGTATTTATGAATGCTTCAAAATGTCTAAAAGAAATCAGTCCGAAATGAGTTCTGGATGTTGCCCGTTAGATAGAACTCCGATAGATGCTAACGATTCAAATGATTTGTTTCCAACCCCGTTAGTCATAGTAAACTTAGTTGATGATTTAAAAGTTCAGTGTTTAAATACGGAAAGAGGTTGTGATTGGGTAGGAAGTAGATGGGAATTGGAACATCATGTAATAGCAGATTGTGGATACACGGGAGTGAAGTGCGGTGGAGTCAGGGAGCTTGATGATCCATCTGAGGGAGAAGAAGTTTGTGAAATATTGGTGGAAAGGAGACATTTAAGTGACGATAACAGTTGTGCGCACAAGCTTTTTCAATGTGAGCACTGCAATCTGCTACTTTCTAAGATCTCTGAGAATGAGCATCTATCGAAAGATTGTTTGTTTAACTACCAGACTTGTAAGCTTTGTGGAAATGATCTCATTCCTCTCAAGAACCTTGAAAAGCATAAAGATAACTGTTCGAAGATAGGGCACATGAAATGTCCAGCTCACGAGATTGGTTGTGAATGGGTTGGGACAAACCAAACATCATTAGAAATTCATTTACAAGATAATAATTGTCAGCTTAATCAATTTTTACCATTTTTCAAAAAAATGAATGGCAAAGTAGAGTCGCTATTCAATGAAAATCAGTTTTTACAGAAACAAATAAATAAAATCTTGAATCTGATAATTCAGGGAAAAATCACGAACTTGGGGTACAACGAATCCATCGAGGAAATCAATAAGTCTTCTAGGACGGAAGATGTAGATTCGATGATTTACTTAAATTATGAGCTTGAACGATTGAAGTTTGAAGTCGATGAAAAAATAATACCCTTCATTTCTGAAAATCAACCTAATGAGAGACAGCCCATTTTGAATAGCTTGGTGAATGATAATTTTATATTAAAAGAGGATTTGAAGATTCAAAGAATTCTAATCAATAGTTTAAGAAAGCAGGTACAGTTCTTACTATTTAATAGAGGAAATATAAGGACCAATAAGTTCAGTTCGCAGTTAGATGATCTAAGCGATATGCTTGACGTGCCATCGAGGAGTAGTTCCGAGGAAAGGTTAAATTTAAAGCTTTGAATGACATTAATGAAATTACGAGCCATGGAACATATATGCTTATACGTTTTAATTAGTATAAATTAATATACTAATTGATAAATAAAGGATAATGATAACTTAAAAGTGCATTCTTGTTTATTGTAGTTGAAAGTGATCATTACCACAACTTGGGCAAATCAGACCAATCATTCATCTTTCTTCTATTCCAATAACTTTTTTCACCTCTTATATAAATCCACTCACCGGAGTCTGCAGAATTTCCACCAACATGCTTGAAGAATAGGGGTTTATATTCCGTAGAATTAGCCTCCATTTTTTTTCTTCTCTCTCTCTGCATTTCTTCTAGCTCTATTTTTTTTTTCTCGGCTCCTTCAAGATCGCCCTTCTCATAAAGTTGCATATCTGGTCTCAATCTTGAATCCGTGGGAGCCATGCTATCTTTCTCAATTGGAGTGATTTTGTTTAATGATCCAGTGAAACAAGTAAATCCGTACTTCTTATTCACATCTGGTAACAAATTCCCAACTTCCCATATCAATTTCTCCGTTGTTTTTGTTTTTAAAGTCAACGACTCGGTCCATTTTCCTGTGACTGTATAAGGCATTTCCTCCTTCAGAGGATCATACGATTTAATAGTTAGATCCTCAGACCTTCCACTAAACATACTCCCTTTCGCAAATTCTATGACTGCCTTATAGCCTGTAGTTGACTTTACAGTCACTGACGAAGCTGGCTCACAGTATTTTTCACCGGCGATTATGTTCTTCAACAAAGTCGTAGGTTGAGACCAGGTAAAAACTTCACCAGTTGAATTTATAGTCAATTTCACAACACCACCTGTTGTGATCTCCATATTCTTACCCCAGAACTTCTGTCCTGGAGAAGGACTGTAAGAAAGCAGCCATTTTTCACTTTCAACAAACATGGCGAATACCGGTGGCCGGTGGCAGACTTTTTCACTTATAAAACGAAAGCCGAGATCTTCTCTGACTAACTCAAAAGTTTCGCCTAACAAAGGATTGAAAGGTTTCCTGATATTCCTCTCTTTGACTCTGAGGCTTGATAAGTAACTAACTGCAAAAGTAGCAATCCTTAAGATTTTCTCTCCATTATCATTAAAATTTGATTGTAGCGAATTATTAATCAAATCAGAATATTCTACAAGTTCACTGAACTTTTGAAGAGCTGAGATCGGCTCGTTCATACTCACAGGCATGGCTATGGATGAAAGATCTGTTCCAACACTTTTCCGAACTATTCCTAGCAAGCTAGGAGGCGTATGGGTACACAAAGGTATGTCGCAGTTTCTATCGACCTTCTCATGTGGTAATGGGTACAATGTGTCATCCATGTCATCGGTAGAAGAGAGCACTCTAGATATTTCCGTATCAGTTGTAACACTTGGCACGCTGTCTTGTTCAGAAGACGAACTAGATGATGACGATACGACATCGAATTGATCGCCATCTTCTGGTTTCTTGAAGCTTTCATCTGAAAGGAAGCGGGCAGTACTATTCATTATTTCATCTACATTACCTAAGTTGTCACTTTGCTGGTCTAATAAGACAACCCCTGAGTTCATTGCTTCTATGTATTCTTTGGCATCAAAATAATCATGCGAAAAAACAGACATAGTGTCATTGGCAATACTCTGTGGCTTGAAATGATCTAAGACCCTCTTTAAATCTGAAGATATTTCATCGAAATTGCCGCTTAATTTCAGAGAACTTTGAGATCTCAACTTTGCCACCTTAGATGAAATAAGCTCTAGCTCAGAACAGAGATAAGATAAATCCTCGACAGTTTCCTCGACAGTTTGATCCACTATGGAGTCTTTAGCTCTCTTGACTTGATTGAATGCATCAACCCAAGTATTAAAATCTGCAACATTTAATGCCTTCAAATCCCAGACCTCCATTCCAGAATCTATAATAAGTTCTCTTTTCTGAGCATTAGCACTCACAATGGACTGTTTAATCGGCATTTGACCCCTTAGCTTATTATCGTTATTTCTGAAATAAGAAAGCGTGCCATACTTAAAGCTGAGAATGAAATAGCGCTTAGTGAAACCCTGAAGCTTCTTTCTTCTCTTTTTGAATAAGATGCCTTGAAGCAACTCACCGTTCTTGGGCCTTAATATGTTTGTATTTTTGTCAAATTGTTGCTTGGGATCCCCACCCATGGCAGTGTTATTAGAAACATTTATAGATGTTGCAGAGGAGGGAAGGGAAGGAAAAGTCACTTTTGCAGACCGACGTCCAATTGTAGAATTGGAACTGGTATCTGATTTCAAATTAATGATTTTTGTGCTAAAGAGGACCTTCTTACCGGTTGTTTTGGAAAATGAATTGTCAAAAATAAATGCAAACATGCCACCTTTTTGAACTTCATACTTGCCATATACAAGCTCACCTGATACTAGCTTATCGTAATCTTTAATCAACGTCAAGTCAGAATTGTTTAAGTTAGAGGAGAACATTGATGATCTGGATTTTGTCTTATATCCTGCTGAAGTTGAAAACTCATTGACAGAGTTCACAGAGTCAGAACGAAGCCTTAATGCCCCGGAAGGCCTGTTGCTAGAAGCCGACTTATTCTCTTCCTTTTGTGAAGCAGAGTATCCTTGCTGAAACTCTTCCGTAGCGCTTCTTTGGCCTGACAGATCATCCTCGCTTTTACCATAAATTGCAAAATTAATTGATTTTTTCAAAGGTTTGACTTGCCAGCCTATTATACTTCCTTCTGGCGCATGTACCCACTTGACTAAAAAGTCCTTCGAGTGGATTTCCAACGTTTCCATTCTTAAGATATACTAGAATCCAAATTGAAAGCACACTTTTGACTCAGATTGTAGATTGTGCCCTCCCTAATGATTTCAGATGTCAACTTTCAACTAAATTGGTCTACTAGAAAACACTTTATTGTAGCCGTCGTCAATTTGTCGACCAACGTAGAGAAAGCACATGTATGTTTTACGTCTTGCTGGGCCTTTGATAATCGGCATGCTGAGTTATATACAGGTATACAATCCCCAGTTCATATGAAGATGGAACAAGGCTAAGGTAAAAAGAGGAGATTTACAATGAAAGCGAGAAAAGTCGAAGTTATTACGGACTTCAAGACCCGCTTTGGCTGGCTTTCCTTTCAGGAAGGCTTGAGGAAAACAAATAATGCTTTGTGAAATTCTTTGAAGAACAAATATCACGCAACTTTGCAAAAACGCAGGTGAGACATTAAAAGAGAGGAGATAAACACAAGCTTCGTTGTACTCATGACAATGTCGTATCCGAGGCTTCTTATATAAAACATGTCGCCACACCGAAACTAAAATGTCTAGCACTCTTTCTGATGCGTGTCTCTCGACAATTGTCGCAACGCCTAATTGGGATAGATAAAATAACGGCTCTAGTGAACGTAAAGGATATTAAATTCAATATGACAAATTAAAAAGGAGTAGTCGTTTACATCTTTTTTTTTATCAGAAGGTATAGGAAATGAGCAAGAAGCTGCACCCGAATGAGCATTTATCTCCCAACATCATCAAAGATGTTACATCGGGAAGTCCTGGAATTGTGGCTGGAGAAATCGCAGCAGAAGAGGAAGGATTGATAAATCAATCAGTATTAAAATCACATTCTTATGGTTCAATTGAGAGAGGGAGCAACGGAGAGTTGACAGCTAATGAAGAGACTGAAACTGAAGAAAATGACGAATACGCGTTGCCAATGGGGAAACTTTATACTGTGGTCTTCAGCATCTTCATGGGATCTTACTTGGCAGCGTTAGATACGACTGTTGTAACCACATTATTGTCGATTATTGCATCAGATTTGAATGCCGTTGGTAGTATATCGTGGATTGCGACATCATATTTATTGTCTAATGCAGCCTTCCAGCCCTTGTTCGGTAAGCTTTCAGATATTTTTGGCCGGAAATCGCTTCTCCTAACATCTTGTGCTCTTTTTACTATAGGTTGTGTTGTATGTGCTACAGACTCCTTGATTTGGTTGATAGTTGGACGATTTGTCACAGGATGTGGAGGTTCTGGTCTAACAACCGTAGGAACTATTACAATGTCAGATTTAATTCCTTTGAGAGACAGAGGCTTGTATCAGGGCCTTGCAAATGTGTTTTTCGGGCTTGGCGCAGCATCTGGGGGACTCGTGGGGGGAATAATTGCCGATACCTTAGGTTGGAAGTATGTCTTTATTTTGCAGGTCCCCATTTCTCTTTTAGTTGGTTTTTTGATTTATCAGTTCTTAGTTTTGCCTGTTGGATCTCCTGGATTAGGAGCTCACGGAGAGGATATTAAACAAAAAGTAAAAAGAGTAGATTTTATGGGGTCTTTCTTTTTAGTTTCGTCTCTTATGTGCTTCATGACCTTAGCATCTCTAGGTGGAACTAAAATACCATTCAGCTCTTTAAACTTTATTGGCTTAGCTCTTGCAGGGACAGTGTTGTTGCTGATGTTCATATACGTTGAGTTGCGCGTCTCAAATGAACCCATTTTACCTTTAGAATTATTTGCCGAAAGAACGGTATTATCGTCCTCTTTAACAAATTGGTTTTATACCATGGGAGTTTTCGCTGGATTGTTCTACGTACCTATTTACTTCACATCAGTTTTAGGATTGAGTGCTACTCAGAATGGAGAGAGAACGGTAGCTAATTTCTTTGCAACCTCTTTCGGATCTGTGGGAGCTGGTTACTATATGAAAAAAACAGGAAAATACTACAAGTTGACCGTGGTTGTTGGCGTAATTTCTATTCTCGGATCTGTGAGGATATTATTGATGTCAACGAAACCATCATTATTTATGCAGTTTACGGCAGCCTTTCCTTGTGTTTACGGGTATTCAAATATTTTGACTATAACGTTATTATCCTTGATCGCGTCAGTACCTCTCAAGTACCAGGCATGCACTACATCTATTCAGTATACTTTCAGATCGACAGGTTCTACTTTAGGTGTGTCTATAGGGTCTGCACTTTTTCAAAATCTTCTCAAGAGCAATTTGAATGATAGAATTCATCAATTAATATCTGATCCCCTTGTGGCTGACAAAATAATTCATAAGGCTTTGGATAGTGCAAGATATGTAAATGAAGCCCCAAAAATTGTCCGTGAAGCTATAGTGGAATCTTATGCTTTAGGCTGTAAAGGGTCATTTGCCTTTAGTGTTGCTACTATTTCCTTGGGATTCTTAAGTTCCCTTTTTATTAGAGAGCATGTATTGCATTCCAAGATGAATAGAGATTGATATTTTAATTTTTATTCACTTACTAATTTATTTATTTTTTTACTTGTCCATTTATTTATTTATTATTCTATCTATATTAAATTACATTAAGATTTTATAGCATTTGACAGACTACTCATCGCCATTTGCATCCAAATTTGTGGATGATAAATGTAACGCCTTAACGCTATAATTATGGTTACCGCCACTGTACACTAAAATTTTGGGCAGCCATTGGTCGTTATGTTCTGCATTTGTTTGAGCTTCATTCTGATCAGATGTGCTCTCATAATTTTGATTACTACCACCTAAATCAAACTTCGAAACTTCTCTTTCAAAAGGGAGCCTTTTTTTCTTGAAATGGAATTTGGGAGAGAACGAGGAGATTAATGATGATTCTTTCAAGTTTCTAATATTCAATGAATCTTCGGCGAAATACGGAGAAGCATTGGAAGTATTTGCCTTAGGAGATAAAAGTGGTGAAAGTATTGGTGAAAGTAACTCATCTTCATTAATAGCGTTATCCAATGCATTCCCGATTGCCTGATCAACAAGGTCCAGCTCTGAAGTAAAATTGATATTGATCAATATTACACTGACAAGTATGTTGGCAACACCAAGGAAATAAATAAAACTGAGGTTGGATTTGCCAGACCCACTAATATGCATAATTATATAGTCGCAGAAAATTGTAATGGGAATCGCTGAAGTGAGTGATAATGATGTAACCAAAGGACTCGTAAGTAACAGTGCTAAAATTGTAATATAATCTGATATCGCCGAAAATACCCCATTTAAAAATACCAGATACAAGACCCCCTCATCTTTTGATGAAGGTAATTCAAAAGTCTCAATATCCAAGATATGCGCTATAAATAAGACAGGAATACCAATCAACATAGTTGCAATTCCTGCGTAGCCAAATAGTTTCCTTTCATTCGTGGTAGTGTTCCCAGTTCCACATTTTATTTTCATAATGACTAAATAAAATGCATACATTAGAGCCCCCACTAAGGCTAAGCAATTTCCAAGAGCTGGATTCTTTGGAACATATTTATTGCCATCATCATGATTCTTGTGACTTTCACCAGTACTTATCAACAACACCCCACAAATACTTACAACTGAACAAATAAGCTTCTTCGCAGTGAACGTATCAACCTTCATGAATGCTCCTATGAATAAAGTGAAAAAACAAGTCAAAGATCCCACCACCGTCTGATTGGATGCTGAAGTAAATTCTAAAGACGTCAACACAAACATATTATACACAAGATAAATACAAGCAATAGTGGCTGCCAATCGATAGACTTCGCCCTTCGTTAATTCCTTTGGTTTTAAAATATTTCTTTCTATTTCTTTCTCAAACGACTCCAGATGTCTCAATAATGCTTCTGCAGAGGGCTCAATAACATCTGTGTCAGCTGAATTTGCTTTTGTATGAAAAATAGCATCCCTCAAGAAGTAAAATATATCTGGCAATAAGTTGAGGCTGAAACAAGAACCTGAAATTACTGAAAACATGCATGGTTTTTTGTAGTCGCTCGTCTTCAAAACTGAGCTAACCAATTCAAGGCCAACGATCCAAGTTGCAATAGCGACAGCTATCAAAATTGCTCCTAACTTATAATTCTTTCTCTCCTTCTCCTGGATTATTTCAATGATATCGTCAGGGTTTGTAATAATTTGAGCTGTAATTTCATTATGACGGATCCCTCCTTGAGCCTCCAATGTAGGTGATTTAAAAAGAATAGGTCTTCCCTGATGCGATGGGGACAGTGTAGCAGACATTTTTTGAGTGTAAAGTCTAGAATTTGTTAATCTTTGCTACTAATGAATGCCTACTACTGAAATACTGGCTCCTCATTTCGTTATGGGTTTTTTTTATCAAAGGAACAAACTTCCTAAAAGGACAACCCGATCTGATTAGAATAAAAAGGTCGCGACAAATACACACAAAATACAAAAGGAAGAGATATCGCTTTGAATAATCTATAAAAATACGTAACAACTCAGTAGGACCGTCCATAGGTAGCAGCTAATCTTTTATCTAAATGTTGCTTTGCCGTAATGTAAGTCTCTTCACTGTTTGCACCTCTCCCTTTGATCTCTCGTATCATCGTGCTAGGGACAGGAAGTAGCAAAGTGTCATCATTCGGGTGGCTGAAGAAGACAATTGAGTACCTATCTTGACCGCTCTCTTGTACCTTAGCAGGAAACTTGACTCTATGCACTGTTGATTTTAATAATCCCGATGTCCAATAACTTAAAAGATCGCCAATATTGACAATCAATGGTGGTGCTTGACCCGAATATTTAGGGCTAGCAGGTACAAATGGTACGGGCTCCCAGTTTTTAGTTATAGGTGAGTATATTTCTAGCCCTTCCTGGTTTTCTCTTTGAAATAAAAGAGTCATTGAGCCGTAATCAGTGTGAGCGCCTGCTCTGATCACGCTTTCTGGGTTAAGCTTCTGCTGTCCCGGATAGTGCAACAATCGAAAGGTAGAACCTGATTCCTTATCGGGGACATATTTTGAATTGAACCATTCTGCACCTTTCACGTTATCTGAGTCCTCAATTCTTAATCCCAAAGCTAATATCTTTAAAATTTTGATGGATAATTCATACAATCTCTTGATCGTATCCTGAACCAAATGCAACCTTCCTTGATCCTCCAGGAACCAGCTTGGAATACGACTGGAGGATTCTCCTGTCGCAAAATTTAAATGAGATATATTAAGCGCTTCTTTGGGATCCCCTGTCTTCTGTGATGCTGGATCTAAGTTCTCTATTCCATAGTAAGCATATCCATGATTAGAATTATTCATCGCATAGATGTTTTTATACTCAACTGGCAACTTAAAGAAGTGTTCTGATACTCCAAACAACTGATCAACTTCAGTTTGTGTAAACCCATGGCCCTCAATCATCAAAAATCCTTGCATCTTTCCTGCTTCCAACAAATCAACTGCCGTCGATTCATCATCCTCTTCAATATCAATGACTTTTAGTGGATTTTGGGTCAAAGTACTCATTTTTATAAATTTAAGGAAGAAGATCTTGATTTAAGAAATTCTTAGTATCAAAAAACATAAATTAATATTGAAATGAAAAGTTAATGCATGCGGCTACACATAGCTTTTTTTTCCGTTCTTACCTTAAGAGAATTGTCAAGTAGAGAATATAGAAATTAGAAAAGATAAAAATGATTTCTGTTACATGATGTAATTGGTTTCCTGCGATGATGCTTCATTACTGTGAGTTGGGACCTAAGCAGTAGAATAACTCGACTAAAACTTAAATTGAGAAACATCATGATCTTCAATTTACTTTCACTAAGCTTAGTTCATATGTGCAAATTCACTGCTATCTGAGCCCTCTTATTCTTCACGATCAGGATTAGTTTAAGAATCATGTAGAGCTATTACTTTGTGGTGGTAGTAGTAACAATATATTTATCCGAGATAGACAGACACGTCTGAATATTTTTCAGCCCCAGAATTATCAGACTAATTGGACCCAGTAAAGACTAGATATAAAAGATACAACATAAAGAAACGCAATGACAAGTTATATTGATATTAACAATAAAGTTCCAATAGTAGAAGCCAACCTCGTGCCATTTCATATCGAATATTCTGGTCCTGCTAATACTGCAGAATTTTTTACCCCTTCCAAGACGACTGAGCAAATAGAGCCTGACAGAGAAGCATCAGTCGCGTACTTCAGGGGCTGCAAGATGGTAGGTAATGAAGTTACATATGGAGATAGGTACATCGGTTACGTTGTCGAAAAATCGGAGAAGATGGAAAAGATTCAGGAAGATGAAAGTATAGAAAGCGGTATCTTAAAGAATATTGATATATATACAGCAGTAGCGAAATTTAAGAAGCTCGTGATATATGGACATGATGCCCCTGCTGAAGAATATAATCAATGGGCATTGGTTAATGAATGGAAGGAGATCAGCGACATAGTTCACTCATAGACATCTTTTGGAAAAAATCGTTAATGAGTGAGATGACATTGGCTTGAATCATACAATAATAACGAGTTGGGAGGTAAGATTTTTGCCTTCTTTAAAGTACCATATCACTTGAATATTATGTTCTTTTGGTCAATTAACATTGCCTATGATAGTGTGTACAGAAAAATGTGCACCCGACATATAATTTCTTTATATCGGTCCTAAACTAAGGAAAGCATCAACCCAAATTTTCATTGGAGATGAGCCTGATGATATATATAGAGATCGTAAGAATTTTCATACTCTAGGAATGAGACATGAAGCGTAGGAAAGTCAGCAATGAAACAAGCCCAAAGCGTGAAAACATCAGCGAGCTGGAAAGTGACCCTAGTGATTGGGAAGATGTACCTTTAATAAGTACGGCAGCTGATTTAAATTCCTTCGATATCTCAATAAACTCAGAAGCTGATCTGAATGTGGAAGCCGCTAAAAGAGTTCGGCATGAAGAAATTCTATTAGGAAAGCAAAGGAGATTAACTATGCACTATTTGGGGATGATTGCTTATTTGGGACATTGTTCGATCCGTAATAAGTGGTTGAATGATATAAAAACTCTAAAAAGACTAAAGAAAATGATACCTGATGCGTTACAGCAGCATGTCAAGAAATTCAATAAGAACTTAAAAGCTTATAGGGGAAACGCAACTGTTGATAAAATTGAGTTGGACAAACATTTAATATACATAGTAAAATATGCTATAAAATGGTTTCGCTTCAACTATAAACTAAATTCTAATGGCATCCGTGTTTTAGGTTATTTGCCTTCATCGAACATGCGGTGGCAAGAATATTTCCCTGAAAACATAGACCCTATTGAAGATTATCAGAGCTTTTTGTCTGTCCTAAAGGATTTTAAACACAATAGAGACACGGGAGCCCAATTTTTTACGGCTTTGTTGGCAGCTTTGGGATTTGAATGTCGACTCGTCTTTTCATTGCCTTTGCTTCCATTGAGGAACGGTAAATTACAACCAAAGCTAGATCATGATAAATTACTCAGAGTCAAAGATAACGATCTCCTCTATCCATACTTCTGGACAGAAGTAGTAAACCCCATCGATAGCAGTGAATTATTAATTTTAGATGCCGTATGCTTTCACAAGGAAGATGACAGGTTATTGCGATTGAAAAGATTTGGGGCGCCTAAAAATCAATCAGAATTACACAGATTTTACACAAGCTTGTATTTCCCTAAAGTGAATAATTTAAATCAAATCACAATGCATCACGTTGTTGCATTTGAGAAGAATAATTCAGTTATCGATGTAAGCTCTAGATATATGATGGATATCTCGTATCGAAAGTTCGGAAAGTTGGACTTGAGGACAATCGCGGGAAGATGTGAACTATTATTCGAATCTCTTCTTCATATGCTAAATAGGCGCCATGATATATCAAAAAGTGTTAAGGAGCAAAACTGTTTGACAGAAGTTGCTTTGCTAAATTGCGAAATTCCAATGAGCTTAAGCTCTTTGAAAAGAAGTCCTAATTTTGTTGCGATATCTAGCTTGAGATTCAATGAGGTTATCCCATTAAATCAAAAATCGATAGGGTCTGTGAAGTTATATCTGAGAACTGAACCTATTTTTTTAAAAAATTGTGTCATTGTTGGGAAATCGGAAGAACAGTGGAAATTTTTGGGTAGATCAGTCAAGCTTAATGAGAAAGACAGACCTATAAAAATAACCAGAGTCTCGAATCCAAAGTCATTATATAGGAAGAGGCGTTTTAACCAGCATATATTATCCGGAAATTCTGATCTAAACTGCGTTAAGTTATATGCTTTTCATCAGACATGTCCTTTTATTCGTGAAAGCATAACCTATAACCGCTTACCAAAGAACCAGTTTGGGAATATTGAAATATTTCGTAATTGTATGATACCGGATGGTTCCTCTTGGGTTGTGCTTCCCGAGATAGAAATACTTTTACGAAGTTTTAAATCTAAGAATATCTCTATCCCAATTGAAGCTGACTTAGATTATATACCTGTCGTAGTTGGTTTTAATTTCAGCGCAAATGGCTCCATAACACCTGTTAAAAAAGGAGTCTTAGTTTTAAAGCTGGACGAGATTTTGGCGAAAAAAATATGGTTTTATTGTACTATTGCTATGCGAAAGATAAAGATTCAAGAGAGAAAAAAAATGGCACTCTACTCATGGAGTTCATTACTACGAAGAATCAGAATAAAACATAGACTTGACGAATCGTACGGTTTCAGTTAAGTATGCGTCCTTCAAAAGATAAGCTAACAAATATTCAAGGACCGTCAAGTCTTTTCTGAGTGACACTTTTCTGAGCTCTAAGCTGCAAATTAAGATTATAAATGTTTTTCTAACAATGAATGAGGTTAAGCAAAGCTCAGTTTTAGACACAACGATTAAATCCATGTTTTCTACTGTGCCTAGATCAAATAGCAGTTATATATACCAATAAGTTTGCTTTCTTGCAAACTTTACGTTTAGGATCAGTCATTTTCTATGATTTAGTTGTATACTTAATTATCCGACATAAGTATAGACAATCTCATTAGCGTCATAAATTCTGCCTTAAGATAAATTGAGCATACACATTGAAGACTTCATATAATATTTGTCATTTATAATCAGGAGGAGCTTCGGATATCTTAATGTTGATACATGAGATTGATTTATTGAAGTTCAAAGTAACGCCTCTCGTTTCGCCCCCTTCCAATATTCCTTTGGACTCGATGGCTCGTATTTGGGATTCACTAATTCCCAATGGGTCATCAGGGAGCCATAGTTTGGGTCTTTCATATTTGAAAGCTGGATGGAAATATAGCAAGTTTTGGTTCAGGTAGTATTGATTAACTTCTTTGGTTGTCGTGTATGGCCGTTTCCTTTCAAGAGCCAAGGCTGTTTTTAGGTTTTCAACAGTATTAGGATTCTTAAATTTCTTATCCTGCAATATTGGAAGGCGGGTGAAATGTTTGGAGTACCTATTGTATATAGCGATATGGGAGAATATTGTAGCGAGTAGCACACAAATCATAAACCATCCCTGTATTTTCATGGGACAACTTCCTAATTCATTCTTCAGCAAAAAAAAGATTCCTATCAAGCAACATTCCAAACAATATATACCAGTATACAAATGTAATAATGCAACTGGGTACAACCTTCCTTGAGTTTCAGATACGTTTACATGATTGTAAATGTATTTCAATGCATACTTGTAATATAACAAGACCAAACTTAAGATGAAAATTATGAAAATAGTAATGAGTGGAGAAATAATGGAATACGCAAGGCCAATAGATGCATAAACTGAATAAACTGGATATATTGTCCCCCATTTGATCTTAGGTAGAGATGTGAGCCTGAAGAATTTTTGTCTTGGGGTTTTATCTATTATTTTATGGATAGTATAATGTGCTATCAATTGGTCAATTCTTAAAAAGTTGCTTCCGCAAAAAGCAAACGCTTTGAGTGCAATGTATTGAAAAAAGAAGTTTGCAGCTTTAGGTAGGTTAGTGGCCAATAGGATTGGAATTGAGGTCGGCTGGTCAACTATTTGCTTAAATATAACCGTAATGCTGGACAGAATAGTGACTACCAAAAATTGCTGCACAAATAAAAATGCGAAGTACCATAGCTGCAAATCGAGCTCTGAGTCGGACCCGGACATTTCTCCTTTAAAGTAAGTTAAAAATCTGAATGTGATCATAACGGTTTCTGTCAATACTGAAAGAAGCACCGAAGGTAAGAAGCTTGAAATTGTTTGCCTTATGACCTCTGGAAATCTATATATCCACAGTAGAAAAGGCATGAGTTGGGTGAGTAGTGGAAGTTGGGAAACTAAGCCGATGAATGAAACAGGAATAACATACAAAATAATGATGCAAATAAACAAAACATTGACGAAATACTTCTCTATTATACAAAAAAGTACATTGTTCCTCGAAAGATTGTTCCATAATATGTCTCCAGGGTGAACCTCCATCAAGGTCAGGTCTAAATTGAATTGCGACTGAGATAACAAACATTGATGTGCAATACTGGCTCCATTTTGAGTATTAAATTCTAAAAACAACTTGTTATGTTTAGGAAGTTTGTCCATTGTTAATAGTACTTTTTGCGTGTCAATTGCCTTGTGCTTATCTTGAAGAGTTTGGATACACCAGTCAATCATTGACACTCTTCTTTCAAGTCTCAAGATTCTCATATAACCTGGAAGCTTGAAAGTTAAGTTTCTACCAAGCATGCTAAATGCTCTAAAGTATATTGGAGGATAAAAAAGTGGCCTCAAAGACTCGTCCTCCTTGTGAGGTTCCTTTTCGTTTGAAACGTCTTGAATTTTTTTGGTATTAAGGCGAAGATGAACACGGCCAGAAGCCTTGAAGTTTTTTCGTATATACCTTTTCAAATAAATGATCTGGCTTAGTTCTAGTAATTCCAAAGCATCCTGAGCCTCGACTACTTCTTGCATCACTTCTTTAAAGTCGTAAAGGAACCATATTGTTTTAATACCCCCAGGAACGGACTCAAAAAGATCTGCAAGAATGTCAACATCTTGTAAATGCGGTGGAACATTATCAACTAGTATGGTTCTGGATATGATGGAGTCACTGTGACTTGAAGATAACAAGTAGGATTGCCTAATTTTAACGAAGCTTTGAAATTCGTAAATGATAAGCCAATGAAAAAATCCAACTGTCACGATGCACATGAAAAAGTGAGCATTTAGCCTTTGTACTTCTGAGATAGATATGTTCGATAAACTGAGCTTGTCAAGACCCGATGCAGAATAATCACCGCTACCTCCAGTCCAATTGATAGGTATCAAAACAATCATGTTCAAAGAGCCTATGACTATGAAGAAAAGCAACAAAATACTCACAAATCGAACAAAGAAGTATGCATCTAATCCCATAGATAAATAGTAGTTGATGCTGTACGTGAACGTTGGTAGCACCCAAGTCAACATACCATCAGGTAACGGATCCATCCGCTCATTAATAGGAACACAGTAGCAACGTGGTTGATATAGGAATTTAAAAATAGGTCGTAAGAAACAAAAGAAGATCAATTGAGCTGTGCAAAAGCATAAAGATGTGGATAGAGTCCTTACTAGGAGGCTAAATTCAATTCCTGCTGACTCGTGTGCGTAACCCGTCTGCGTAGTATTTAAGAACTGTTCAAATTCAGGAGAATGGAAAAAGCCCATATATGACCTCGTTAGTTCATTGAAGTCATTACCATCTAGAGATAGTATAGTCAGCATTCTATTGAAATTAACTTTCTTATGTAAATATATTAGCCGCCAGTTTTACATCATATAGATTTTACAGCCAATGTCGCAACTTTCATAACCGATTACCGAAAAAATAAAAAATTTGGCAGCATTTATATATAATCTGTAAATACTTCTATGGAGCTCGAAATGCAACTTCTTCAGGCAAAGTAAAGCTTACACAAAACATTGGCTTCGTAGGTGCTACTTTTCTTACTAAATGAAAGCTGAATTCAGAAAACGGAATATCAAAATCAAGTATCTTAATAATCCTATTATATGTTCTTTTGTTTAACTCTTCTATTGACGGTTCAGAATCATGAGGCGAAAATTTTTCAAAGCAATGCACATGGATTTTAGGCAATTTAAAACCAGTTATCTTCTTTACGTCATCTCTACCATGGTAAAGGCCAATGAATGCATCCAAAAAAGTAATGGCAGAATCTGGCAAATTCATCACGTAGTCAGAAAAGAACCTCGGTATTTCCACCTTTGTTAACTCATATTCTCTTGTTGTTTTCTTTTCGTGAGTGACTGGATCTATTTTTCTTCTTTTTATCAACTTTTTCTTTTCTATGACCTTGGAATCCTCAGACCATTGTTGTAATAACTTTGGTGACTCTTGAATGAAGTCACGACCATCCAAATTGAAAGGACGTACAAAATCCTGGACCCCATTTAAAGTAATATTTTCCAAGAGATAACGATATGAAGATGGATTCAAGTCGTTAGCCAAAACTAAAACATTCTTCTTTCCAGCAGGGACTGCGAATGGGCCCACTCCTGCAAACACATCACATACCGCATCTTTTGGATTAAATTGACTAACTAATCGATCATGTTCAGTGCTAAGACGAGAGTTCCAGTATACCTTGCTGAAGTCGAAGCGAAATTTGCATCCACTTTCACTTTGCTCAACAATCAAGTCATCTTTTCCAGCTAATATTTTCATTTGAAAAGTTCGAAATTTAGTATCTATAGTATCGACCTTATCAACAACAGTATCAATCTTTGGATTTTTATCCAAAATAACTTGTCCAATTAATTGTCCATAAGGTTTAAACTCATCTCTTAAGTTCAAATGCGCCACATGCCCAGCTTGCGCAAATCCCGTCGGTATATCATCAAGTAAGTTTTCAGGTAGTATTGCTCTTAATATGTCGTCAGCCCTCCAAAAATCATACGCTAATTCTAAAATGTAAGGCTCAACTATTATGCCATATTCATGAATTTTGTTTAGAGTCAACTCCGACACTTGATTTTTATGATTATCAATGTCTTCAATGTCTTCTCTCAAAATGACCCCTTTCGAATTTCCTAAAGGTACAATATGTTTTATCGATGGGAGACATAAGATATCATTTTTGCAGACTTTCACAAACTGTCCTAGGTGCACTGGATCAGGAAAACGTGCAACTAGCATTGGGATATCTTTTTTGAAAAAGGACCTATCTAAGCTCCTCATGGATCTATCTATCGGGGGCCCAAATTTGCTCATCATCAATTTTCTTCTATCTGATTTGCTTATATTATGAAAATATCTTAAACTTGAAAATCTTATATTTGAAATCCACGAAGCGAGGCCAAAATTGCTTAGCATGTGGTAAAAATCAAGTAAATACCTTATGGTCGACACTTATACTCTCTATCTCGCACAATTTCCGTCTATATTGTTTGTTAAGAAATTAGTAGAATTTTCGTAGCTGATGAGAAAAAAATGAGATGAGTGAAAAATGACATACTTAATTATGATGATTGTTCATCTCTAATTTCAGGTAGTTAAGTAAAATAAAGTTATGGTGGAAGTAGCAGACGTAATAAGCATCAGTGTGCCAGAGCCCAAAGTCTTCGAATCAGACATGGATATCTCTGATGGGGAAGATAGTCAGGGAAAGCAGTCGATTGTTACTCCAGGTGAATTAGTAACGGACGACCCAGTGTGGATGAAGGGCCATGGAACTTACTTCCTAGATGACAAGACCTACTCCTCAGTTGCAGGAAATGTATCAAGAGTGAATAGGCTCTTGAGTGTAATTCCTTTAAGAGGAAGGTACCAACCGGAAACAGGCGACCATATTGTTGGTAGAATTACAGAAGTTGGATCAAAGAGATGGAAAGTTGATATAGGATGTAAACAAGATGCCATACTAATGTTAGGGTCTGTGAATTTACCAGGAGGAATCTTGAGGCGAAAATCAGAGAGCGATGAGCTTCAAATGAGAAGCTTCTTGAAGGAGGGTGATTTATTGAATGCTGAGGTTCAAACTGTCTTCACCAGTGGTGTTGCTTCTTTGCATACTAGATCCCTCAAGTATGGAAAACTAAGAAATGGGATTTTTTTAAAAGTGCCCTCGAGTATTATTGTTAAATCCAAGAATCACTCTTACGATTTGCCGGGCAATGTAAGTATAATATTGGGAGTCAATGGGTTCATATGGCTCAGCAAAACCACTGCACATTCTAATCCACAATTGAGCGCCACCTTGAACAAAACAACGGCGGCATTGAACTCGCAAGCTGGATACAATCCTGGTCAAGGTTCCGTATCAATTACAAGATTGGAAGAAGAAAGCTCTTGGGAGATATATTCAGATAAGAACGACCCCAACATATCGAACACAATCCGCTCAAATATAGCTAGGTACTCCAATGTCATAAAAGCTTTAAGCTATGGTGAAATAGGTCTCACCGAGCGGCGAATCGTAATGGGATACGAAACAAGTTTGTCATACACTGACTTCAGCAATGTTATAGAGAAGGAAGCTATGGAAAACATTTGTCAGGAGGTCATAACAAGTGAAAAAATGAGAGGAAACTGAAGAAACCCTCTTTGAAAACTCTTAATATGTATTAATTAAATATTAAATATACAATCAAGTCTAGTTCGATCTCAAGCAAGATACAATTGTGCTGCTCCGCCAATTTAAATTCGAATATTATTGACCTTCATTTGCAATGCTAAATTATGTTTATGATGCTATGATATGTATGATTATCATATGATTCTTTTTCTTTTCAAGTACACCCAAAAAAAAACAGCTTGACCGATTCCAAATATACAAATCACAACAATTATGACGATAGATATCAAAGTATAACCAGAAAAAATATTCTCATTTACGTCTCTTAATTTAAACTCTTGATCCACCAAAGTACGTGATAAATACTCAGATTTCTTTAAGTTCTCTTTGACATCGGCCAACTTCAGTTTCAAGGCATTTATGTTTTTTTCAAAGTCATCTTTTGCAAATTCTTTCTGTGGCACTATAGTGCCATCTTCTTGCTGTTCCTGTGAAGATGGAAAATAAGATGCAAAATTTTGATAATTAGTGCCGTGAATTGTCGAACGATTCTTGATGTCCACGGTAAATTCTATGTCTCTTGTCTTGGGATGAAAAGTCCATGACTTGTCTTCGTACAAATTGTCGAAGCATATATAAATAGCAGAGCCCTGAGATTTCAGATCAGTTTTTTTAGACAGAAGGTGAAAAAGGCCCTTCTTATCTGAATGCTCGGTGTTCAAATTCTTGAATAAAACATTGACATCTCCTTGGATGTCCTCGCTGTATCTTATTCGATAATTGTGGTTATCGAATATATTCAAGTTCAAAGATTGGGATAGCTGTTTGTCGCCACTTTTAATTTGGATCACCACCATATCATCTTTTTCTGTCGAATAACTGAGACAGTTGAGTAAGTTATTCAACCCAGAATATCGCTTTTGATCACCTAATTGGATGGGTGCGACAGAAATCCCAATTGCATCAATCACAGTGAACACTAGTAGGAATGGCAACAAAAATAGTCGCTTCATAACACCAACTATTCAAATAAATGTCACAATAGTAAGAAGTGTTTAGACGTTCGACTCTTTTAATTGGCTCCTGACTTCGTCTATCGCTTGATCTAAGCTAGGTTTGTAACAGTCTTATTTAATGTACGATAATCAAGTAAAATATACCAATATATCGGGCAAAATATACGAAGTTTTGGCTTTCCGTTTTTGTTAGAACCTATGAATAAACTATAACGAAAAATTTACCAAAAAAATTCAAATACCAAGAGTACAAGCACCTCAACGTTATATATAAGAAATCGTGTCTTTTTAAGTTCCACCTATTGTTTTCCTTTTATAACAATGAAATACTCATAAACACCCAAACTGATGTATTATCTGCTGGAAAAGACGTCACTGGTATAGTTCAGAACTTCACAAAAAGTGTAGGACTTTAAATCAGAGATGTCTACTAAACTTTTGAATTTGTGAAGATTTTAAATAAAACACCTAAACAATCCGGGATTACGATCCACCATCGGAAGTGGCCACCTCGACAAAACTTTCACGAATCTTATTTTACGCACCACGGTAAGACAAAAACTAAACTGAAGATAAGAAAGTTGTTTTCTTTCTTGTATCTTCAACAAGGTAGCGAAGCATTGCACTTGTATAAAATGTAAGGCTGATAGAATTCACCTTGATGCTCACTACCAGGTTGGCTTACATATCTACGTAGTTTGATTTTTAGCTTTCGATTTCGTGCTAGGTGGCAGACTGCGGCGTATGTATCGGCATCTCGATAATCACCCATAGACCTACGATTTGATGATGCTGACTTGAAATACTCCACGTGTTGTGAATAAGTCGGGTCGAGTCGTTTAAATGTATGCGCGGTCGCTGTACAAGTGGCGTTTGCAGCTGTCGAAGAAATACAACGACGCGTCTATCCTTTAAATGTCATTTACAAAGTAGAAAAGATTGCAGATATCTCAACCCATCTAACTGCAAATGAGAATTGTAGCTGGTCAAGCAATCTTTCAAACGTGCCACAATTTAAATTGGAAGACTAAAACTTCTCGATCGTTTTCATCTTCAAGAAAAAAGATCGATAAGACAGTCGTATGCTATTTATTGAAAATCTATATATTTTTCATCTAAAAACTATATACAGTTTGAAGGCTTTAGCAGCCTCATGCCTCACCGTCTATTAAATCTTGTAGTCTTTCCTCCAATTCATGCTGCTGGACCGCATCTATTATATCCATCAACTTTGATCCGTCCATACACGATTCTATATCATATAATGAGAAACCACACCTATGGTCTGTTACCCTATTCTGAGGGTAATTATAAGTTCTTATTTTGTCGGACCTATCTGTTGTAGTTACCTGTTCAGTCCTAATCTTTTTTTGCTCCTGTATTTGTTTTTCTCTTTCTAATGCAGCCAACCTAGCTCTCAATATAGAAAATGCTTTTGCCTTGTTCTTGGGTTGCGATCTTTCGTCCTGCTGAACTACATGTATTCCAGTTGGTAGATGCGTAATCCGTACAGCAGAATCTGTCGTGTTAACATGTTGTCCGCCCTTACCTCCAGCTCTCATCGTATCAATACGAATTTCTCCTGGCTTGAATATTCTTTCATCTTCTTTCAACGATGATTCATTTCCTTCAGAAACTTTGGGCAAAACAACAACGGCAGCCGTAGAAGTATGTATTCTACCTTTAGTCTCTGTAGAAGGTATACGTTGAACTCTATGAACTCCACTCTCGTGTCTCAAACAATCATACGAATTTGGAGAGTTAATAGCCAAAATTGCTTCATTTAAAAAACCATTATTACTAACACTTTTCGATATTAGAGTCCACTTCCACCTCATGTGGTTAGCAAAATTTTGATACATTTCTAATAGGTCATTAGAGAATATACCGGCTTCTGATCCGCCAATTCCAGGTCTTAATTCTATGATTGTTGGCTTATCTGAGTGAAGAATTTGAGGTAGTAATCTAGATTTGAGAATGTTGGCTGTCTTTACAACCTTCGGCAAAATTTCATACATTTCATCTCTAGCTTCATCGCTCAATTCAGGATCTTGTCCAACCATTTCCTTTAGATTTGAAAAATTCTCCATCTCCAGTTGATATTTATGATAATTATCTAAAATAACAGAGAGATTAGAAAATTCCTTACTAATTTCTTGATCAAAGCAGCCTTGTGAAATTTTTTTCTCTAATTCATTGAATCGTATCTTCATGGCTTCAGCTCTTTTGGTTAACAATGGATGCACAACAGGGGCTTCTGGAATCTCTACCAGACTGGAACATAATCTTGAAGCCACCAAGCACCTAGACAGTATGCGATACCTTAAAGAGGATCTAGCTAAGCTGCTAAGCATTTCTACTATCTATTCGCTGTATTAAGCGAGATAAAATTTGTAAAATGCTAAATTTTCTTTCTCAAATAATTCATTGACTTTTAACTACAAGCAATATTTCATCATGTCAAAGCCAATAAGCCTTGAAGACTTTAAAGTCGCGATACAAGATCTTACAGACGACAACTTAATATCGGTGAAATCTCAATTAGAACTTTCTTTTAGAAAGTTAAATGAATCTAATGAAGAATTGAATAAAGAGATTCAAGCATTAAATGACATATTGCAATCCGGGAGTAACGGCGATGAAGAAGAATTGAAAAGGGATTTGGAAATATACAGAGATAGCATAAAGGAGAACAAAGTCGTAATAGAAAATCAGGTTGCTCGATTAAGTATTCTACAAGAACAATTAAAACATCGGGGGCTTGTCAAAGTTGACGAAGACTCCACGGCTAAAGAAGGTATTCTTTTGTAGTCTATGTACATGTTTATAATGGGGATCAATTTCTCTTTATTACTTCGACATCCTTGCCGAATAGCTTATTATAAAATGGCTTTTCATCCACATTTATAGGATCCTGAGGTCTTTTGCATATCAATAACCATGTTGTGCCCAAGTGAACTCTCTTTTCATAGGTTATATCCAAACCAGCTTCATCAATTAGTTCTCCTATATCTAGGTTCCATCTACATGCCCAAGTTTTCATCCTTTTCTCGCTTCTAAAGTCTAAATGGTTATTGATAAAATCGTAAGTGCTTCTTCCGTGTTCAAGTAATACAATTCTCCCTCCAGGTTTCAAGAGCTGAGACATACTTTCAAGAGCCTTTACGGGGTCTTCATGGGCGCAAAGGCCAAATGCCTCAACTATGGTGTCATATTTAACTTTTGAGTTTGCAAGATCTACCAAATCCTCAGCCTTTCCTACTGTGAAGGCAGCCTTATCATATTTAGGGTATTTCTCCCGGAACTTCTTCTGTGTAATTTTAACCATATTTTCAGAAGAATCTAAGAACGTAATAGAATCAATTCCATCAGGGTTTAAATAAGGCAAATTCCTTCCAGTGCCACATGCGACTTCCAAGACATCGCCTTTCAATTGCTGCATAAGCCATTTTCTTCTACGGCCCAAGAACATACCCCTCTCTTCCCACTTGATTTCATCATCGTATTCCGCCGCTTTCTTATCAAAAAATGCTGTTGTTTCTTCAGGAGCCATGATATAAGGGTTCTCGGAATTCGAAACGGCAGATTTGTCTTCACTAGCGCCAGAATCTTCACCAACAGGAGCCTTCTTTACGACTCTCTTAGCTTGCTTGCTGTACCAATCTTCTAAATCTTGGGGAGTTGGCTCAAACATTACATCGATATTAAGTATGTTCTTCCTTCTAAATTCTTTTCTCATCATTTGATAAAGCTTGAATTTCTTATCTTCCGACGGTTTGAGTTTGTCGCTACTAAAAGCTTTCAATTTCAAATACTCATACTCAGATAAGGATGAGGGATCATCTTGATACTTTTGCCTTATATGTCTCATTTGCTTATCCTCATAATATCTATCACGCATGTAATAATAAAACGTAACCAACATTACTCCAAATCCACACAAATAATAAACAGTCATGCTTCTCTTGAACTCATTCGTTTTAACATAATTTGCCCACTGCCTCCATTTAGGGAGCTCCTCTTGTCTTTTCTTTTCCTGATGTTCCTTATGGTTTATTGGAAATGGTGATCTTCCACTATAGAATCTGGAATTACAGACTAATCTGGGGCCAATATTTCTCAATATAGAGAAGTGAAGTCCAAATCTGTGACTCATATGGATCCCAATTTGTCCAGTAACATTTCTTGTGATCATTTTTCAAAAGTTAATTCCATTACCTTTCTTCAAACGACGTAAAGAGATTTGGTTCTGGTAAAAAAATTTTGGTTAACAATCTCAAAAACCCGGAACCCTCACGTGACTACTTGACTTTCAAGCTCGAGCTTTTGAATCGACATTTTGAAGGCAAAAACGATAACGATAATTAGCGACAATTCTTCTATCGTTACTCAATCAATTACAGCTGATCTTTAAAGATACCTACGATGTCTAGTCCTACAAAAGAATTGACGGAGGCTAGGGAGGCTACACAAAACAAAAATTATGAACTCGCTGAGTCGAAATACAAACACATTATTCTACACTCTGATGAGACAACTGCGTCGGTTACCAAAAGGTTACAGGAACAGGAGGCAAGTATTTTGGAATTAGGAAAGATCTATCAAATACAAGGTGACAAAAGTAAGCTTAAAAACTTAATCACCGAATCTAGGGTCGTATTGGGTAACTTTGCTAAATCCAAAACCGCAAAGATTGTCAAAACGTTAATCGAAGACTTTGAAAAGATACCAGATTCTCTAGATTTACAAATTGCAGCTACAAGGGAAAGTATCCAGTGGTCAATTGATAGTAGATTAACATTTTTGAGACAATCATTACAATTAAAGTTGTCGGCCTTGCTCTATGAGAAGGGACATTATCAGGAGGCTTTGAAAAACATCACTGAACTCTTGAGTGAATACAAGAAACTTGATGACAAATCTTCATTAGTTGAGGTCCAGTTGCTAGAATCTAAAATTTATCTTGCATTACGAAACTTACCTAAATCTAAAGCTGCTTTGACTAGTGCGAGAACTTCCGCTAACTCTATCTATTGCCCTACTTTATTACAAGCAGAACTTGATTGCCAAAGTGGAATATTGAATGCGGAAGACCATGATTATAAGACTGCTTTTTCGTATTTTTATGAATCGTTCGAAGGCTTCAATTCTCAAGATAACTCGCAAGCAATTGTCGTATTGAAGTATATGTTGTTGACCAAGGTCATGCTCAACCTAGTCGATGATATTAATTCAATTTTGAGTCATAAAAATGTCAAGAAATATCAATCAAGAGATATTGACGCCATGAAATCCATTGCAAATGCTTATAGTAATCGATCTTTAAAAGACTTCGAGAATTCTTTATCAACATATTCCTCGGAGTTAAAATCAGATCCAATTATCAAGAACCACTTCAATGCCCTTTATGATAACTTGGTGGAACAAAACTTACTTAAAATCATCGAGTCTTATAGCTGCGTTGAATTATCGCACATATCTAAAACTATCGGTTTGAATATACAGCAAGTTGAGGGTAAACTCTCCCAGATGATCTTAGATAAAGTATTTTATGGCGTATTAGATCAGGGCAATGGTTGGCTCATTATTTATGATGAACCAAGAAAGGATGCTGCATATGATGCTTCCTTAGAGTTGGTGAAAAATTTATCAACTGCGGTAGACTTATTATATGAAAAGGCTTCTTCTTTAAATTAGACTAACTAATATACATCCTTCTAATGATACTTTAAATTCACGTGAATATATTTTTAATGCCCTTTTCGGCTGCAAGAATCGAAAACTCTCCAACTTTGACCAAAAATTCCTGCAATCTTCCACATTCTTTAAAACACTTTAAAAAATCATTTTCGTTATCATTTGCGACATCTCCCACCAATTTGAAAGCTTCTTTGACATATTTAGGGTCATTTAGCCTTGCAGCTTGATATATGAGTAATATTTCCATTATCATGTAAGGAATATACATTGACCTAAGTTCTTCAAAGATAACCTTGTCATCTGAGCTTTCGATAAGATCTTTGAACCACTTATATATCAAGCCTGTGACGCTCTTCGTGATCTTTTCTATGGAATTTCTTACATCCTTAGACTTCCAAGCTGCTGAGTTTTCCATCAGATGATCTGTCAAGAATCTCTTCCAATCATCTACAAGAACCAATTGAGTGGCAAATGCAGCGTACTCAAGGAGCTCTTGTTTTTGGTCCTCTGTTATAGATCCAACAGACTGTGGATCTATTAATGTCTTAGTATGGACCACGAAATCGTAATCCTTAATTAGTTTTTTAAAATCCTTTTCCTGTGCAAATTGCTTTAGAGATGATAGTTTACCGCATAGTAAAAATCTTCTAATTACAACTATCGAAGCCTTTATAGCATCTTCATACATCGAATTCTCAAAGAACCAATCCACGGACCGGTAGAGTCTATAATCAGTCTCATCAACTTCATTATCATCGACTACCGAAACTGTGGAGCTTGGCCTGTATTGAGATTCAGTTTCTTCCATAACCCGTTCGACTGTTCTCCTCAAAACATTCGCGATCTTTTCTTCACCCAAATCGTTTTTGGAATTACCTTTTGTAATAGAAGCAACACTAGAAAACCTCTTGGCAATCAGAATTTGCTTACTGCGCTCGTCAGTATCAGTAATGGAAGATAAAAACAATGAATATGCCTCTCTTGCATCTCTCTCGTCCGGTATCAATAAAAGATATACAGTGGCGAGTTCGCTTAAGTCATATTCGACCAATTTGGATATATATGAGGTTATAATCGAGGTTAAATCTTTCAGATCAACCTCAACCATGAACGAATAAACGAGGGCTAAATGAACTAATATCCTAGCAAGATTTGGATGCTTCATTATTTCCGATCTATCATCTTTGAGAAGGTCACGTAACAATGATTGTAATTGGTCTATCATTATGCTTCCACTGATTATTCGTATTGGATGTCTACTTTGCTCTGCTACTTCATTTTCAGACCTCAGAAGTGCGTTCAAGATTCCTTCAACTGATGAGAATTGAGGAGTTGGCTGACTCAAAGGTAAAGATTCCATCTGAAGCTCTTTCAGTGACATAGTGGATCTTATAAAAGTCTCCAAGTTATGAAGATATAATTGATTCAAATATAAAAGAAGGCTCTCTTCCCAGCTTCCCGAGGATTCAAATAAATTTGCGCTTATTTCACCGCCACTCAAATAATTATAAATAAGGCGTTCATATCTACTCAATTTCGATTCTTGAGAGAGTTTATAAACCGTATTTTTCCATAAAAGCTTATGCTTTATACCAGAGGCTGTAGGGTGCTGAGAATCTAAGGCTCCTAAGATATAAGATCCGTCAGAGTCTATGATTGAATCCATATAATCTTGAATTGCCCCTAGCAAGATTAGAGAAAGCGCAAAATTTTCCGTACGGCTTGCGTAGTCTATTGCCTCTTGAATTTTATTTGAGATCAATAGCTGGTAGATTAATTTAAAGTTTCTGGAATCCTCCTCCTCATCTCTATGATCAATATTTTTTAAAGTCCTTATAGGCGCATCTTCATCGAGATCAGTTACCAAGTCTTGCCCACCTCCTGATAATGTTTTCAAATCTCCATTTACAGCTGCTATTCTCGTGTTGGGCCATTTACTTTGATATGTCGTATTGGCATCCGAAGACTTCGAGTTTACCTGTAGCCATTCTATAATGAGCAGAAGTTCTCTCAATTTGGGTGTTTTTCTCAAAAAGTTCTCTTCTTTGGTTGAAAGTGAGGAAAATGTATATTCCTTTAACGGCTCCTCATTTTCTGAAAACCTGAAACTGTATAAAATTTCAGCCAAATGCCATAATTTTGTCTCTAGATCCCAATTCTCAAAACTCACTGCAGCGTCATTATCATTTGGATTTAATTCGAGTCTTTCGCCGGCTTCTAAAGCCTTAGATGCACTTATTGACTTGAAGCTTATGAGAACATCAACAGGACTCTGCCCATTATTCAACTCATAGTTCTGTAAAACATTGGCGAACTGAGTCTCCACATTGAAAGTTGAAGTTTCATTTAAATCCATTTCACTTCTACTTAATGTACTTATCACTCCCCAACGTTTCAAGATATCCTGTCAATATCGACCACTTTCCGGCGTGTTTTCTTTGAAAGCATCTCGATCAAAGCATACAATCAAATGTCCACGACATTCGAATATGGGAGACATAAAAGGCGACATCACGTACGCTAATGATTTACACATTGCCTATGAACTCTAGAGTCGGTAAATTGCCTCCGATAGTAACTCTTAAAAAGTATCAATAAGAGATTATATCTGCAAGCTGAGTGAAATTTACGCGGGGTTACCTCTTACTGCAATTTCGTTTGAAGTGGCCGAGAAATCATACTCTTAAGTTTATAGCAACATGAATGGTTCCTCTTTCGATGAGGAAGAGGATAACAACCCATTTTCCCAATCGCATCAAGGTATTGCAAGCATTATGAATGACCGATCCCAATTAAATGACAAGAAAGATGAAGACATCACTAATGAAGATGATGATGAGTCTATGCTTCTTTATACGTCAGGTTCAAAGGATCCTACGGTTACAAATGATGCATTTAATAAAGTGCAAATGAATTATGAGAGCAGAGTGACAATGATGCTAAAACCCAATAAAAAAGCAAAGATCCAAATCACCGAGGCAGGTAACTCTAGTGAAGGGATGCTGAATTCACTGAAGAAGTATATTGTATATACGATAAAGTTGATTGATGCTGATAACAAAGAGGACGAAGTGCAAACAAGGAGGCGATATAGTGATTTTGAAAGTTTGAGAGAAATCTTAACTAAGATATTCCCATTGATTATTATTCCCCCAATTCCACCCAAAAACTATTTTAATTTTACGATGCTCAATTTCGTGAGTCAAGATCACAATGGCAATACTACTAATACTACAAATAACAGTCTGCCAAATAACTATGCATATATCAATTCAACCCATTTAAATAAGAACAAGTTGATTGAGCATCGTAAGCGCTTATTGACGAGTTTTTTGAATAATTGCTTGCAAATTCCCCAGGTTAGGAACTTAGAATTTTTTGCTAAGTTTCTAGACCCAAATGCAAATTGGACCGATGAGATCTCATTGATAAGCAGTCAGTTACCCAAATCAATATATTTACTGAACCCTGAGAATGGATTAAGAACGGATTCGCTCTATGAAAATCTTCCCAACCCAGTCAGTAACCATACTATGAGTTTCCTAAAAGATAATAGGAAGAGGCTTTCAAAGAAGACTAATAAAATTCTTTCAACCGAAACGACTACGCCGACTGATAATGTGGTCAGTCATACTGGATCATCTCATCGTCATAATGCATTCGATACTTCTGGGTTAGATTGCATAAACAAGAAAATAATGGAAAACTTCAGCGGTTTATCAAATGATTATATGGAGCTCGGGGCTATTTTCAACTCCTTTTCTTTGATACTTTCAGAATCTCCACGAGTAGGAAGGTCGAAGTCTACGTCAGATGAAGACGAAGAAGCCACGCTTCATATTATTTTTGATAAAATAGGTCAAGTATTTGATAGATCCTATATTACAATCAACTCATTAATTGGGGATCTAGAGACGAAGTTTTCAGAACCATTAGGAGAAGCGGTGCAGTATTCTGATATATTAGCGTTCGTTACTAAATTTCAAGAACGTAAAGTACGTCAAAAGAGTTTACTTGATAGCGAATTAGTTGAAAAGAGAAATGAACTAGAAGATCTCATGAAGGCTGAGAAAGAAACGTCTCGAATTGAAAATGTTGGGGATGCTCAAGCCATAGCTAAGGATGCCAAGTTTGATTTGTCTACTGCTACCGATACATCAGTTGCGGCAAATCAACTGACAGCTCATCAGGCTAGTAAATTCAGAATGTTCCCAACCATGAGTTCCTTTAAAAAAATTACACAATACGTGACAGAAATTATTGATCAGAATCCTGAAGAGACTCGGAAACAAAGAATTAGTAGTTTGATCGATAAGATAGGCACACTAGAAAAATGCCAAACGATCATGCTTCAGGATATCAATTATGTCACAGATGAGCTAAACAAAAACATTAAGCTGTTTCATGCCAAGCAGTTCAAGTTGATTTACGAGATACTATCATGTTACACTGGATTCTTGATAAGCTGGGCAAAGAAGAATCTAGATATATGGGAAGAAATTAAATTAGAAATCGAAAAATTATAAACTCTTTTATTATGACTCTAAGTAATGTTTATATGAAACGAAAGTGAGACAACATTTAAAACGGTTGCAGTAAATATTCTATCACTGGTGGGCCCCATTCCTTAGCTCTCTTGTAATAGGCAATATCGTCAGGTAACCCATTAATGGCTCCGATAAATCGTTCACAGACCTCTGGCCCTTCTCTTTTAAGGTCAGACATTGGCATAAGATACGTTCTAATTGTAAATATCACAGCACCCGATTCTGACAATTTGGTCAAGACTTGTCTTTCACTTCGATAATGAACTTGTTTATCAAAATCTAAATCTTTAATATCAAGAGGCTCCTGGATTTCATCCTTACCTAGGTTATGGCCCTTATTGTTATCATCTACATAAAGTTTATTGTGGGTCTGAACAGAAAAATTATTTCTAGTAACAAATTGCCCTGGCTCGATTTTATCGAAAAACCTATTCATTGATAATTTCAATTTCTGCTCATATCCTGGGATAGGATGATGAATGAACGATAAAGGAGTGTCAAATCTATCCCTTGGATTAAAACCAGCAGCAAATGCAAAAACTCCGCCCTTGAAATAATATTCGGTGCCATTTTCTTCACTCTCTCGAGACGGATCTTTTAAAAGAATGATAAAATCTTCCTCTATTGTTCTGGCCAAATAAATCAAATACTGCTTGTATTCTTCTTTGCCATCGGCAACCAAAGGGATCCGATCTCCAGTAATACGGTTATAGACAACATCATTCCCCTTCTCGAAAATCATAGGATACTTTCTGCAAAGGTATTCAACAACAGTCAGGTAAAACTCTCTGATAGCTGGTACTGCCTCAGCAGTTAAAAAGACTGTATTCTTCGCTAAGTCTTTGTCAGCAGGATAATCTGGGTGATTGTTTGTTACTATTTTTTTCTTATTATTTATCATATTCAAGTACGATGGCCCGATCAAAAGCCAGTCTTGAATGTCAAGAGACCTTATTCCCATGGTCAACTTGTATGGCCCGTTTTTGAAGGGTAAAGACTTGATGGGCTCGCTAGTATCCCATTGAAAATTTTGGTCCACAGGAACGATATCTGATAATTTGTAACATTTCTTAATTCCAGTCTTTCCAGATCTCTGAGGTACCTCCTTTTGAGACCCCTGGAAATACCAATATATAAATAAAGCTACTCCAAGTGGAAATAAGACAAAAAGTAGTATTTTATTTGGTGAGATTAAGCCTCTGTCGATCTGATACTGATACAGAGTATTGTTCATACTTCTCTATGCGCCCTTTACTGGTGTTCTTTACACAATCTTCATTTTTGATTCCAAAATTTCAATATCGGGTCCCAGATCCCGACATTATTATATTTACCACATTATTTCACGGTATCACATTAATTGGGAGGGAAAGGAATCATATATATGATATCTTGTCTTATTTGATCAATCCTTCAATGACTTTCAGGAAATTGAAATGATGCTTATGATAGTTCTCCGACTGGCTGCAACAGAGGACTATTTTAAACATAATTCTATAAATCTCTTTCGAAGTTCCCTTTTTTAAGTGCTCCTAAAATTTTCACTGAAACAGATTTTTGAGTCTTAGGAACATGAAGGCTCTTCAAGAACTACACCATGAGCGTTCATTATCACTAAAGCATTTCCATCTTTACATTAGCATTCCTCGATGCGCATTATTAGTATCGAGATGCTCTGAAATAATTTTTCAACCATTTTGTAAAATCTAATCTTAATTTGAATATTTAAACTTCACGAATGCTGCTGAGTACAGTATCTGTACTTACAAAGTATTTAGATCATCAGAAAGTCGCCGACTTGGCTATTCATTTGAGCAATGATCTTTATAATGACCCTAACAACGTAAAGGGTCTATGCGATCTTCTTGATGAGCTAGATTTAGACACAAGAAAACAGATATACCAAAATATTTTTGACTATTGCATGACTATAATGAAGAGTGAAAATTCAATGGAAGAGTCCAAATTGGATGAAGTTCTCGGCTTAGGTAGAAAATTGCCAGACATATTCACTAACATACTAGGGATGATTGAAGATATCTTAGAAACATATATTCACCAAAACTCTACAGGCTTTTTACAGGACTTCAAAGAGATATTTAAAGATATGGAGGTTGGTCTGAAAACTGATCAAACCATTTCAAACGAGTTCGTGCTGTCTTTGCTCCTCAGGTTAGAATATTTTTTCATGAGAAGAAGAGAGAGTGTCAACTATAAATTGGATTTCATTCTTCTTTACTTAGTGGGGGCAAAAAACCACCCGATTTCTTCAAATGCAATGAAAGTTTTACGCTGGAGAATGAATTCCATCATAGAGAAAACTAACGATATGTATCTAATATGGAACGTTATATTCTCGTTGCAAAATTCTTCTGATTCAGCTCATAAGACTGAAGGCTACGTGCTATGGTTTCATTGTTTGCACGGATTCGATTATACTGACAATGATGTTTATCAAGCACTTATTCAAAAACCTCAATATTGGATCATGCTTCAAAATGGGTTGGCTGGTAACTCACACGAGCAGTGCAAGTTGTGTCTAACACTTTTACAGCTTTCGGTTAAAATGATAAACTGTACCATTTCAAATACAATATTCATTTGGAGTAAAGAAAGTAGAGAGACCTATCTCAATGAATGGGCTAGATATATCACCTTATATGAGATTTTGAGGATCGATACTTCTTTGCATCAAGCGGAGGCTGGGTACAATGACTTGATGAGCTTTGTTTCGCCAAACTCCCTTGTTCACCCATCCTGGGGATATTACTTATTGTCGACAGGCTTCAAAGCCACAATGGATTCGGTTAGGAAGTTTTCCCTCAACTTATTATTTAATATACCCGAAAGCAGCCTTTGCACTTTCAAGTATGCTTTAGCTCCTTTGGAAAGTGTTTTCTTGCCTTACGCGATGATCGCATCACATTTTGATGTTAGAGAGATGGATGGGGTTAATGAATGTCCTTTTGGGACAAAATTATCCAATTTCATTTCTAAGGTATTGAAGAGCATTCATGATACGAAAGATGCTGAAGATATCGTTTATTATATTTTGAAGGTTTTAGTGGAGATGAAAGAAGCATTTGACCCAGCTAGAATATATATATGCTTCGGAATTGTCAAGGGTTTGAAAGGTAGGGAAATATTGAGATTCGGCTGTCATGACAAATTACTTTTACATCTCTTTGAAGGCTCTTCAGAAGGACCACTTTTTGAAAGTGTTTCTCAAACGTTAAATTTGAAAATACTAATGTCATTCAAGTTTGATAATATAAGTGCATTTATAGGCATGATTGGAAAATTTATCAATTTCAATGGCTTTGAGTTAGTTAAACGTAATTTCTCATTAATTTCAACATATGTTGCCAATAAAAATGTTCCCTTGGTGGACATCACAGATATTCTTTCCGGTGAATATTCAATTAATCATAAGGCGATCGCGATACGTCTTATTTATCCAAGCGGTGAGCCACCATATAGCTCAGAATTTCTGGAGACATTGTTAGGTAAACTTCTTGAATTTGAATTTATTTTGAGCACTACAGCCCGTGAAGAAATTATAATGCTATATCGTAAGCTAATAATTAATGCGCTAAATGGTAATTTGAGTGTTGAACTGTATGACATATTAGCGAAGGTTGACTTTCAGAAATATCAAATATTTGTGCCAGCTACATATGATTGGTCTGGAATCTGGAAAAGCATTACTGGTGGTCTTTGTTCTAAGGTCTTGGAGCAAGTTGAGGCTTCTTTGACGCGTTTCAGCTTCTTTAATAATATATGTTCAATGATAGGGTCAAAGCCTGATATTGGTACTATTTTAAGGGCTCAGGATGCATTCATGAACAATTCTTCAAATTTGAGCAAGTGCGTTCAACACTTTTACAAAATAAAAGAGGCAATAATTGGAGAGTTCTATAATCTTCTATCATTATCTACAACGAACCATATACTTGCAGACTCTCAAATTGAAAATTTGGTCGACAAGCTCGACCATGGACTCGGTGATTACAAGGCCAATACATCGCTAGTCAACTTAACTAGTAACTTGCTAATTTCAGCAAAGGGTAAGGACCTAGTAAGCAGAATTGTGAATTTCGTGGTTGAGTTATGGGAAAATTTAACAGATTCTCGTCTTCAGCTTAATCAAAAAAAGTTGCACGTTTCAATTATCGAACTCTTACTCTGTGAAAAAGTCCTTAATCTATCTTCTTCTGATTCCAGTTTAGATTCCAGTTTGCTCAGGTTTTGTAAATCAATAATCAACTGTTCTTATGGGAGGAGGGGGTTACTTCCATGTCTTTCTAAAAGCATATTGAACTTTCAAGTGCTGAGTCCGATGCTTTTTGAAAAAATTAACTGGATGCCAGAAGTGATAGTCAGAGGGTCTCTTTTGTATCAGCTAAGAAGTAATGTGTTCAAATTAGAATCAGTCGTGGGGAGGATATTCGATGAAACACATTCGTTAAATAGTGAATCGAGCCTATACTATCAAGTATATGGGGAAAAAGAAATCAGCAGCAAGATTAATTTCACAGCTTCAGTCATGTCGACTAAAACCAAAAGTTTTGATTTTAATGTTTTTAAGTTCATCATAGACAGTTCAGAAGAATTCAGCCTATTCAAGGTGCTCCGTGCTCAAGATGGATACGAAGAATGGACCAGGATTCAACTTTTCGCAATTTTAGTTCCAATAACTTATAGACTTGATAATTCGCTTTTAAACCAGTTTTTAAATGATGTTTTAAAAGCCATTGAAACGGACCCGAGTCCCTTAGTCAGAGTCTATTTAGAATGGATCCTTGCTCTTCACTTAGACCAGAATTATTCTGACAAGCTCTTAAATGCCTTGATGGACAGTGATGGGACTATGAAGCCGACTGTTGTTACCTCCTATGAACGAATTTTGTATTTGCTGGTCAAGCAACTACCTTTTGAAGAAAAGTCAGATAAAATGGCGCGTTTACTTACCATCTTGATTCCAGCAGCAAGCTCGAATAAGGCCATGACCCGTCATTTTTCATTATCATTGATCTGCTCGGCTTTTTATGAAGTCAAATCACAAGGAATAAACTTAGAAACAAATATTTATTCAGTCATCAAAAACATGCACGATACTGCAATCCGATCCGAATCTTTTGGTCAATATAGAAGCGGTGATGCTTTACTATGGGATGTTAAAAAAGATTTGACCTTAGTGGGCTTATCTGGTGGTTTATTATTGAGATTGAGTGACCGTCAAGATATTGACTTTGTATTAAAAGAGCAATTTTTTCATTATTTATCTCCTGAAGTAATCCAATTATTAAATTATCCAATTGGAGATGACTTGAAGGACGAGTGGATACGTGAGAAGGCTAGGCACCATATTATCAAACACCCTTTGCTCCTGACATCACAGACCCCATTGCAAACCAAGAGCGGAGCTTGGAACACAATTATGAATATGGATGAATCACGGAGCACTGATGTCAAAAGAAGTGACTTAATAGTTGTTGCTTCACTTGTCGACAAGCCTCCCAACTTGGGAGGTATTTGTAGGTTATGCGATGTTTTAGGAGCCGGGTTATTAACTCTTCATGATATTAAAGTGAAAGAGCACCAGCAGTTCAAAAGTGTTGCAGTCACGGCCGACCAATGGATGCCCACAACCGAGGTGAAACAAGAGGATATTAAAAGCTATCTTTTAAGCAAGAAGAAAGAGGGTTACACTTTGCTTGGACTTGAACAAACTGACAAATCCATCCAGCTAGACAGTAAGTTCAAGTTTCCTGAAAAGTCTCTTATTTTATTAGGCGCTGAAAAGGAGGGAATTAGGGGTGATTTACTCGTGGATTTGGACGATTGCATTGAAATAAAGCAAGTTGGAGTTATAAGATCTATGAACATTCAAACTGCAACTGCTGTGATTGTTCACGCTTATTCCATGCAACATTGCTAAAGCAAGATTCCTATAGTAGACAATTTATGTATATTAAAATATTGTATTATATCCACCGTCGTCCTGCTCTATTAAATTATCTAGAGCCTTCACAATGAATCCACAATGTTTATTGCACATTCTCAAGCTTTCTAAAATAACATCTTTTTTAACTCCTTTAAAATTATTATTGTTTGAATTGGTAGCAAGGTTCAAATTATTAATTGGACTTATAACCGATTCTCCCAGAAAACTTATAACTAGTCCATTCTCTAAAACTTGTTCCTCTTCCACCGAAGGATCGAATAGCAAATTTGATCCTACTGTGCCTATTGAAATTATGATGGGTGGCTGAAACTTTGTATTATTAAAAAAATCATTCAAAGATACTGCTCTATCCCAGTCATCTGAAAATGTAGGCTGTTCTTCAACGTCTTCGTCGTTCACTTCACTAACTAGCAAAGGAAGCTTTGTACTCTTTAATGCTAAATAACTCGTAAAACTAATCAAGCTCAAAGGATACGAAGTATGGCTAATAACAATGCAATCAATAAATAGCTTGAACGTATACTTTGACGTGAGTTGCAAGCATTCTATAGGGAAGTTTTTCATTATCATGCTCGTGAGATTGTACTTTAGAGTAGAGACGAAGTTAGAGTCATCTCTGTACCCAGAAACATCAATATCCACCTCAATTATATTAGATTCCTGTGTTTTCAAGACCACTTTGGATTTAACACTTACTATACACTCACTTCCATCCAGTAGTCTTATTCTGGCTGAGCCATTGGATCCAGGCAAAAAAGAAGTTTTAGCCTCCAAGGGGCGATATTGGTATTCTTTTCGAGCATCAGGCCGTATTGGTGGCTTCTGGATAAGAGACTCATACAAAAAGTCCTTCTCAGCTGGCGACAATATCATTCTTTATCAATGAAACAATTTTCTATATCTAAAACTGAACCATTTGAATTATTCTATTAAATTTTTAGGTACAATATACAGGACCCATCACTTAAAAGATTCTGATATCGAGTAAACATTAAAAATTAATAAATCAACACAAAACATTATAGTCTTGTGAATACTTCTTGAGGTATGACTAGTATTCAAGGAAGCGCGGATGACTTGAATCCTACTTGGTTCCAGCATTCTAAAAGGAGGACAATTCCAAACCACTTAGTACCAAAAAAGAAAGCAGGGTTTCAAATAGCATCATCTACATCGTCAAAAGGAACAAAGAAGAACACTTTAGCACCTTCGTCTTCTTCCAACCAATTCAACTTACTTTCTTTTGGAAGCCAGCAACGGAAAAGTTTGAGTCAGGGTGGTACTTTTGATTCAAATAGCACTGTATTTTATGATTCAACGTCCGGTGACATAAGCAAGTATGATGATACAATTAACGAAACAATACATGAGGACTACCCGGAATATCCTACCAACGATGATGTTCCTCCATCAAGGTCTATATACGATTTGAATGATGAGGTATTAATTTCTTTGAATAAGCCTGCTCATCATGCGGATTCGTTCATCAACAAAGACCCTAAGAATTTCAATAATGTTTTTAGCAAACATGACCTGGAAATTGATGAAGGGAAACCAAAAGAGAAAAGCGCATCTTTAAACCCATTGTCTCATAGCGAGTCAGCCATCTTGGTTTTTGGATACCCTGAATCAATGTCATTACAAGTCATTCAGCACTTTATGGAATTCGGAAACGTTTTAGAGAATTTTGAAATTAACAATTCCAAGAAACCTACTCTAGCTTCACATACGTCGCAAAAGAAGATAGTCCCTATCTTCAGTGGTAGAAGTTGGATCAAGATTACTTTTGATAACCCTGCATCTTCAGTTGATGCGTTGCAAGAAAATGGATCTGTATTTAACGGTGTATTGTTAGGAGTGGTCCCCTACACTAAGGACGCAGTTGAAAAGTTGGAAAAGAGAAAATTGAGTGATGAGGAAGATATTGGGTCAGGAATCGATCTGCCAGTACCTGCTAATCGAACAAGAATTGAAAATGAAAACGAAGTCGCTGATCTGTCTTCGTCTTACATGACTAGACTAGATATAAAGGATGGTGCAGGTCTTTTCTTGAAATCAGAAGGTAATTCAAATGATCCTTCCAAATCCTCTAACAATAAAAATGAAAAACTTGGGATACTTCTGAAACTCACGAAGATCATATTTGGGTTTCATGAATTATAGATTAAGTTATGTGAATATAAGTTGATATCATTACGAATCTTAGCAACTTCACAATATAAAAGAAACCAAATTATATACATAAATGCTCGTTTATTCTCATCTCTATATCAATATTATGATACTTGAAGTCCTTTAATTTTATCTCCATCGCGGTTTGGACGGACTAGGAGTTCTAGTTGGAGATCTCACTCCCGCACTTCTAAAGCTTAGATTCCTTTGGGACTCCGGAGACCGTTCAAGGTGCCTGTAAGTACTAGAAATTCTATCCGGACTCGCAAAACGATTATCAGCGGCCCTTAGATTAGCTAACTTATTAAGCTTTATTGGGCTTGGTGTCCTATTATATAAGGGTGATTTGAAGCTGAGATCAGATTTTGCCCTTGTTGATGCTAGATTTTCATTATTCCTACTTGAATGTGAAATTTTCAGTTTTGAAGCTGGTTTGAATGGAGTAGACGAAGAGTATAAATAGTCAAAATCATCTATTTCTTCATCGTTTTCTTCAAGGCTTTTTAAGAAATCTAATCGTCTTTCGTGGTTGCCACGTTGTGTATGTGAAGGATCGTGATCAAAACTGAGATGGCGATCATTGTTGATACTGTTATTAAATTGAAGTTGGTTATATGTTTGACCTCGTGAAAATGTGTTCCCTTGGTCTCTGTCCTCTACATGATTTGTTAAATCTCCTTCATGATTGTAGTTTTTGACTTCTTTTCCATCAATATCGTGTGTGATAAAGACTTTCAGTTTATTGAAAAGAAATGGATTAACATCTGTCAACACAGTAGAGCCTAAGGGTCCACGAGTTGAATCAATCAAGACATCCTTTTTCAAAATGTTCGTCTTTGGCTTGACAAACTTGTTATTAAATTCACTAAACATCTCTTGATAAAGAATTTGTTTGTCTTCGATAAGTAACAAGAATTTTGTAATTAGAAGATGAAAAGTGAATGATATTAAGGTTACCAAAATCGAGGACTTTATGATTGATAATTCTTTAGATGTTAATTTTACGAACAAAAGATTTAAAGGATTAAAACTTATTGCCAAATATAGTTGAAATTTGGATGGTACCCACATCTTAAGCTGATAAATCTCTTTTTCGAATAAATTTAAGTCAGACTGGTCTTGCATTTCACTTTCGTTGTCGTCTGTTGTCTGATCCTGAAAACCAAGAAACTGTAAAAGTTTGTCTAAGACCCCATTATTGCTTAATGTCACCTTCATTACAGAACTACTACGTGGTTCTTCCGAACAGTAGAGTAAATAGTAGTTTCTATAGGCATTAGCACACAAGAATGCGTTTAAAAAGGCGGAGATTAGTAATGAATATGCCGTTATATTTATAAACCAAACAGTCGACCTAGAAGTATCTTTGTATTTTGCCCTGAGCTTGTCATTCTGGTTGACTTTGCTTTGATCACTCATGTCAGACAATCGCCATTTCAATTCTTCATAACTGTGGTAGTTCGTTTGGAAAAGAGAATTCAGCAGCTTGGCATTGACTGACTCATAGTGGCTCAATGCTTTTGATAGTGACAAAAATAACAAACTAAGGGTTGCACCTAGGGGAAGGGCAACATTCTTTGCATAATCATTCCAATCTATTGAAAGTCTTAATTCATTTAAATATAAGTAAAGATCAAAGGGGTAAGACTTTAACTTAGCAGATAAAGGCTGCTTTCGGATAAGTCGCTTGGGCATCCTCTTTGGATCGTTCATGGTGAAACAATTATCTTAAATTAATATTTGATTCGCTTGAGGGTGCAGCGAAGACTTTTTGTTTGTGAACTAAACGCGTATTTTAGTTCGTAAACAATCTCACCTTGTGGAGCTTATATAACAACATAGATAAACAATTAAAATATTAAAACTAAGTAAGCCGCTTAGCTTCAATGATTGACGATGCAGATATACATCAGTTACAGTCCAAGAATGCCGTGCTAAAGAACAATTTAAAAAAGTTGATACTCGAGTCCAATGATGATTATACAGATATGGACATAATGAAACAAGCGATGAATGATTTTGACAAAGAAAACGAAGACATTGGATTCAGATCAAAACATATGGAGAGTCTACGAAAGAATATTGATGCAATCAAAAGTACACAGTATGACTTGCCTTCTACGGCTTCTCTTAAAGAAGTGAGCCAGAAGATCGTATCACCCACAGAGAGAGAGACTCAGAAATCGAAAGCAGAAAATCCAAAGCCTAAATTAACCTATTCACCTCCTAGGGTAGTAGATCCTTTGGAAAGCTCTCCAAAGGATAACCTATTGTTGAATAAAGTTCTATATCAGAAAGAGTTAATACTGAATCTCAACCAACAACTTACGTCGGCCAAGGCAGAAAGTAAAAAGTTAAAGGAAAAGAATGGTGAATTGGTTTCTATCAACCAAGAGCTTATTCGTGAAAGAGATCAAGAAATTACGAGAAAAGAGAAGTCCATCCTGCGGGAAAATGAGATTTTAAGAGAAGAATTCAAGCATTGTCATGAAAAGGTTCGCCGTTTGAATCAAATAATATCAGAGAAGGAGCATAATCTTAAACTTATTGATAAGCTTAATAAACGACAGGATGTGGAGCTTGAAATTTTGAAATACGAATTAGGGGCTGCAGTCCAATTGGTTGAGAACTTAAGGTCAGTAAATAGCTTTACCAAGTTGTCTTTCTATGATCGATTTTCAAGTTTTCGAAGGCAGTTTTTCTTGCTTAGCGAATTTATTCAAAATGACTTCAAAGCTCCTCCTGTCTTGTCAGAATGCATAGAACATCGAACATTGGAGGAAAATACTACGGATTTATTGTTACGAGACAACACCACAAAAAAATTGCTTGGTGAACCTGTTAAAAAAGTTTCACCAAATATAGATTCCATCCTAATGACCTCCAGCTTTTCAGAAAATAAGGCGCAAAAATCATTTAGAGCATATATTAAAGCAGTTCAATTTATTATAAGAATTCAACGAGATGCTAAAAAAAGAAAACTCGCCAGGCAAAGAATCGTCAATTTGCATCCGGTACATAGACTGCAAGATCGCTAAACAGCTCACTTTATGTCACGGGAATTATTCAATTGTAATTTTGATTTTCGCTTTTTATGCAGCATATCGTACGAGTAACCCCCCCCAGGCTATTGTCATTTATTACTATTCTAGGTTCGTCGGTCACGAGCAAGATCTGGGGAGCATATAGAAAGAACGTCACAACTTACAGTATGGCTACCACTGTTTAGACTAGACAATAAGGGTTTATACGTTTATGCAGTACTACTGGCTGTATGGCCCTACATAGTAGAAAACCTCAATCCTAACAATAACATGCACCAGCACTGTTACATCTGAGATATTGCAATTCGTTTGGACACTTCCCACGTCTGGTGTATGATATTTCACACGTCTGCGATATTTTTCCTAGTCAAGACTTCAAAGGTATCTTTGCCGTAGAATTGCACAACACCTTGAACCACTATACATAGACTCTGACTACATTATCGTAGATGAAATGTTCGTCTACCATCATAAAAATTATCTACGTATTGAAACTGCTACAACCTAACCCAAAAATTTTAAGAAAGCAAGTCTGGAAGTCATCTTTTTGGTGTTAGGGTGTTTGAGAAAATTTCTAGAACATTATGACGTAATGATCTGCTAAATACATTTCATTTATAAATGGTCCAAGGGTTCACCATGCAAAAATTAAAAGTTTTGTATACATTTTTGCTTTAACGACGTATGAGTATTATAAAGTTGTGATTTAAATAACATCAAAGTCAAGTTAAAATCAGAACGGAGGTGAGTGGTATTGGACTGATGACAGTGGACACTGATATTCGTGACATAGGCTGTACACCGACTGCTCCGATGTCACTAAAAATGCCGTCAACGAGCACACACACTAGTCAATGTAGGCTTGATAAGACTTTGCCTATACCATATGTGTTACCGTCGAACGTGAAAAAACTAAGTAAAATAGATGACGCAAATGCATTTGACGTTATTGTGGATGTTAGGCCGTACAATCACTATTCCACGGGTCATTTGAAGGGAGCTGTTAATATATGCATTCCCACTACATTAATGAAAAGAAGATCGTATACACTAGAGTATGTTATTCGCAATAGCAATATTCCAGATCCGACGAAGGATTTGTTGTTGGGAAAAATGAAGTCGCAGCAGTCCGAAGAGGAGCAGCTTTTGAAGGTTCTCTTGTACGACCAAAAATCGGATAACGACCAAATTAGTCATTGTACTTACCAGATGATCCAAAAATTTGAGAATTACAAGGACAGCTTAGATATATACTTCTTGGGAGGTGGGTATGAATCTGGGAGTTTTGATAAGAATTTAATAGAATGTTCTAGCAAGGACCCACCATGTGATGTTCATTGCAAGAACTCATTATCTGGCTTCACGCTACCTTCTGCAACCCCTTTCACTCAAAAATTTGTATCGTCTATTAAAAGGAATACAGTTTTAACCCCCTTAGACACAACTCAGACCGACGCAACATCTGAAAGCAATAGCTTTAAAAACTATCCTCATATTTTTAAAACACCTGAGCATTTCAAGCAATATGTCGATAAATTACCCCCCTGGCTTCAATTTACGAATTCTCTGAATTGTGATATTTTGAGGTATTTGAATGACAAATTTAGTAAAATTGAAAGATTAGAACAAGCTAGACTTAATTTCGTTGCATCTAATAGTTCGGCAAAACATATCCCGAATATTTGCTCTCCTAATGGCCTTTGTCCAAGCTGTGATAATATCAAATACAAAATCCCAAAGGGTGTCGAATATGGATACAAGAATAGATACAATAATATCTGGCCTTATGAGCATTCTAGGGTCAAATTGGATGGCTCAGCCGATGACTATTTCAATGCCAATTTTATTAGTAATTATATTGCTACCCAGAACCCATTACCTGCAACATTTGAAGATTTCTGGAAGACAGTTTGGATCAATAATGTTAACGTTATTGTTTGCTTAAACCAGCAAGTGTTTGGGAAAAGTTATTACGATGATACATATTTTGAAAGTAGTAAGCTACAGATTACAAATTTTGAAAGAACTGATTACTCCGACTTCATTCTCAGAAAGATTAGATTAAGCAATGATGCGGATGAAGGTAAAGAACAAACAGTTTATCACTTAGCATATGAAAAGTGGCCGGATTTTGGAGTGCCTGGCGACTCCAACAGCATATTAAATTTAATTGAATTCAAAAACAAGCTTATAAAAGACGAACGTTTAAATAATAATATAATGGTGCATTGCTCTGCTGGATGTGGGAGAACAGGTGTTTTCATCACTATAGACTCAATGATCAGACAAGTCAAGAATTACAACTCAGGATTTTGGTCCAATAATGATTTGATTTATAAATCTGTACAATATCAAAGGACTCAAAGAATATCTATGGTACAGAATTTTGATCAATTTATTGTTTGCTATGAAATTGTGTTGCTTTATTTGATTAATCATTTTCAAGAGAATGCTACATCTCAATACTTTCCATCTAGTACATAATTTTATTTTAATGAAGTTAATGATTTTGGGACAGTGTAAGCAGCAATACGCCTGAATCCCTTTTTTGCATCGAATCCATATTCTGGGCTTATGACATTAATCTTGTAGATATTAAGCTCACGTGCATCGTATATAGTATGTGTAAAAATTCTATGTGGTGAAATTTTTCTGAAATAACAGATATGATACTCTGGGTAAGGGGCGTCGTATGGTGCAACTATATGGAGAATGTCAAAAGAAAATAGACATACGGATGAACGAATATCACATATTTTGAGTCTTTTGAGGGCTAGGAAATCAATGCTGAGCACAACTTCAGACCCAGAAGGTGGGTACGAAGATATTGAAAATGGTAATATGATTGATAGAGATGTTCTTTTGAATAAAGTTAAATTTATGCTCACTTCAAAACCTATAGCAGAAAATTCTACTGAATGGAATAGCTCTAAGAGTCAAATTGAGACTGAATCAAGAATTGTTGCAATATACAAGAACTTACTGGATGTACGAAGAAGTCATCAGGATGATGGAAAATTATTTGTAAAGAAGCATGCACAGTATGTGAAAAGATGCTTGGAGATGCCTCTACCCCATTATCGTCTGTTGGATGCGAATCATGGGTGGATGCTATATTGGTTGATAAACTCTGATAAAATTCTTAAGGAACCTATTACTCACGAGATAAAGATTCTTGTTACAGATAAAGTAAGAAGACTAGTAATAAATAATGGTTTGGGTGGAATAGCTGGAGGAGCAAATCAAATTGGGCACTTAGCAAGCGCATACGCGTCAGTATTGGCTTTGGTTCTCGTTGAGGATTTTGTTACACTTTCACAGATCAGACACAATATATATGAGTGGCTAATGAGTCTTAAAAATTATGATGGCTCTTTTTCGATGCACAATGATGGGGAAAGAGATACAAGATCGACATATTGCGCATTGGTGATCGCCTCCTTATTGGATATCTTGAGTGATGAGCTTGTACAAAATACTTTAGAATGGATTCAAAAGTGTCAAACATTTGAAGGAGGAATAGCAGGTAGCCCTGGGACTGAAGCTCACGGTGGCTATACCTTTTGTGGATTTGCTAGTTACTTTCTTCTTTTAGGAAGATATGATGATATCCAAGAATCGTTAAAAAACACACTAGACGTCGATTCTCTACTCAGATATGTGAGCATGAGACAGTATCAGATAGAAGGCGGTTTTAGTGGAAGGACAAATAAACTAGTGGATGCTTGTTACAGCTTTTGGATTGGCGCAGTTTTTCCTATGCTTGAATCGGTTATAAGAAAGAACATCTTGTTTGATAGAGAATGTTTGAAAATTTATTTGTTAGAATGTGCACAGCTGCAAGATGGTGGATTAAGAGATAAACCAGGAACTTCAGTTGACTTCTATCATACGAATTATTCTCTATGCGGACTAAGCCTTTGTGAACACCACTATGAATTGAAAGGAAGCACAGATAAAAAAATCGATCACTACGCATATTCATTCAGGTCAAAAGAAAAGGATCTAGACACCGAAACCCAAGCAATTCACCCAGTTTTTGGTATTCCTATAAATGCAGTAGAAAACTGCAGAATTTATTTTCAGAATCATCTTCACTGAAGGCATCAATATACGTATTTCATACTACTTTTTTGATCTCTACTTTATATGTAAATCCATCATTCTGATGTATTTCACTCTATGAAGTATTATAACGAAAGGAGACCAAAGAGTAAAAAAATGCGATTTCTGTGGATCGAACACAGGACCTTCAGATTAACTGTGACTGGAGTTGAACTTCAGTCTGACGCTCTCCCAACTGAGCTAAAACCGCAATATAAACCCACGGCGGGAGTCGAACCCGCAATCTTTTGATTAGAAGTCAAACGCGTTAACCATTACGCTACGCAGGCAGTTTTTTTGTACTG